ATAAAATCCAGAGAACCAGTGAATAACAGCTGGGGTTTTAAGCCTTTCTTTCTGAAAAGTTGCCAAGCAAATAGATTGAAGATCCACAGAGATCTGGTGGAGAAACATTGGCTACTGGATTCATCTCTAGTAAGCACTTCATAAATGCTTCGTCATTCATTCATGTGAAAAAGAAGACAGCAGTGATAAGAATAGTATGATGCAAGGGAAGGGGACCGGATTGGGAATCCAAGGACTTGGTTGAATGCCCAGCTCTGCTTTTGTAAATATCTCTGCGACACCCCCCCCCAACCCTATTGGGTCCATCATCCACCAAGTGATTGCTTTGAACTAGATTGCCTCTAAAGTCCCTTCCTGCTCTAAATCTATGACCCTATGAACCTGAAGACCATAATGACTTGTTCTATCTTTCCAGCAGGATTCATCACCCTCAAACTTAATTTTTTTATACTGATGGTGGTCACCGTATCCCTAGGTCTGTGCTCATAGAAGTAATTTCAGCAATGAAAGAGCTCCAAATTAGGTCCCTCTGGTTCATTACTAGGAAAAGAACATTCCTATGGAAACCTTCACCCAGTTTTTCAAATATTTCATTTGTGATCTGCAGGCCCCCTCCCTCTCATTCTCCCTTCCAATTCTGAAGTTAATGAGAGGGGAGATATGACGTGGTAATTACTGTGTAAAGAGAAAAGTGATGGTTGGATTCCCATTCCCTCTCCTTCCATTCTAACTTTGTTTGATGGACTTTTTCATGTGATAATAGAAAGAGCTTTGGCTCAGAAGGCAGAAGCCCTGGGTTCAATCCCACTTTTGATGATTACTATCTGTGTGACTTGGGACAAATTTTGTAATCTCCTTGGATCTTAATTTCCTTGTCTATGAATAAAGGAGGATAGACTGCAAGGCTTAAAAAACCCTTTAGGCTCCAGATCTGTGGTCTGGATACTTCTCACCTCTCTGGGCCCCAGTCTATTCATCTGTAAAATGAAGGGACTAAAAGAGATCTATGAACCAATGATCTGGACAAGTCTGAGTCTCAGCCTCCTCATTTGCAAAATGAGCAAGTCAGATTAACTGGCCATTAAGGCTTCTTCTCTTTCAAGATCTGTGATCTATCCCAGAGGCTGGCTGGACTGTCTCAGAAGTACTGCCCTTTTCCATGTCTCTGTTTTCTAGGCACCCTCTTCCAGTGACCCCCTGTCCTTGGGACCTCCCTGGAATGCACTCTCTAAACTAATTTCTTTAAAGTAAAGGGGACAATTGAGGCCTTCAGCTCATTTGTTGGGATTTCTGATGACAGGGGGAAATTAAACAAAGTGGCTGCCCTTGCCCTCCTTTTGGTGAGGACTTGGCACACAGGGCTGGCATGCTGAGGTCTTCATTAAAGCGTCTTTGACAGGCTCTAATTTAGTTGAAACTAGAGAGGGAGGAATGGGGGCCAGAACAAAGCAGAGACTACCACCTATGCCTGGGGCCTCTTGAACCCATGTCATATACAATGAAGAGATCATTCAGCCAGCTTCCTATGTGCTCACTTTGGAAGAAATGGAGCCTGGAAATTCATGTTCTGGCACACTATGGATGAGGTGTTTTTCCTCTCCAAGAACCTGGGAGTCCGTGAATAAAAAGATCGCTTTTTCTTATCAGCTAGGAATCTCCGATGTCACAGTGTAGAGTGGGCTGGATTTCTCACTCCCCTTTGGAGGCTTTCCAGGACAACTTCAGCTTGACCTCAGTATTGCCCTATCTTTAGAGGAGCTGCCTGAGAAGCCTGGGTGGGCCTCTGCTTATCAGAAGCAAGTTTTAACAACAGTAACAACAAAAAACACCCTGTTTTCTACTTTTCTGGTTGGTTGGCAGGATAGAAAAGGGACATGATCTGAAGGACACTGAGTCCAGTTTTTACCCAAATGAGAATCATCTGCACAAACATGCCTGGTAGTGACAGATCTCCTTTTTCTCAAAGCCTTTCAGTTAGGAGAGGGGGGGGTCCATACCTCCCAAGAAAGTCCATTCTCCAGTGGGCTCTTTTTCCTCAGGTTGGGCTGAAATCTGCCTTCACCCACTGCTGCTCTCTGGGAGCAATCAAAGCAAATCTCATCCCTCTTTCACATAAAAGCATTTCACATTCTTGAAGAAATGGTTATGATTCCCCCTTTCCCCCAAGTCTTCTTTAAGCCAAAGACCTGTAGTTCCTTCAAATGATCCTCACAAAGTGTAGTATCTAGGCTTCTTGTCATCCTGGTCTCCCGCTTTGAGATGAACTAGGGTTGATCAATGCCCTTCCCCAAATATGGCACCCAGAGCTAAAGAGAATCCACCAGATGTCAGTCAGTCAGTCAATGAGCACTGACTGCGTGCCAGGTGCTGTGCTAAGCCCTAAGCATGCAAAGAAGGGTAGAACCCATCTACATCAATGGAAAAGGAAACAAAAATTCAGAGAAGTTCAGTTACACATCTAAGGGGTGTCAGAAACAAGACTTACAGACAGGACTGATGACCCTGAGTCTAAGGCTCTGGTCACTTCATTACTTTCAACAGAATGGAGGCCCCTTTAGGGCAGAGATTGCTTCATTTACCTCACATGACCTCAAGGACATAGTAGGTGCTCGATAAATAAATAATGAATGAATGAGTGAATAATACAACTTTTTACAAGCAAAGGGTCAAGTGGTTGTTGCATGTTATGCATCCCAGATGCCCAAGAGGACTCAGCCCGAGTGAAAAAAGATGATATGACTCTCTCTTTTTTTTTCTTTTATGCAATTGGGGTTAAGTGACTTGCCCAGGGTCACACGGCTAGTAAGTGTCAAGTGTTTGGTCTGAGGCCAGATTTGAATTCAGTTCCTCCTGACTTCAGGGCCGGTGCTCTATCCGCTGCACCACCTACCCGCACGATATGACTCTCTTAAGAGCTTAGCACAGTGCCTGGCACATAGTAAGTGATATACAAATGTTCACTATTATTAATATTAACATTAGTATTAGGCTTTTTTTTTTTGGACTGTCATATCACATAGTTTACTAGTGTTGAGTTTGTAAGCCACTGAAACCTCCAGTTCTTTTTTTTTTTTTCCTGAGAAGTCACTAATTCTACCTTTCTCATCTTGTGAAGGGTTTTTGTTTTTTAGGGGTTTTTTTTGGCAAATGTTGATGTAATGACTGAGCTATTGACTTCCTTGTGAGAGTAGTTTGTTAATGGAGAAACTTTCAAAACTCCTCCTTAGAAGAGGCATAGTGGTAGAAAGAGCCCTGGGCTTTGCCTCTTATCCATGAAACTAGAGGTATTTGCTTATAGGAGCTTTAAATTCTCCCTGCAGTCTACATATTTCATTGATTCTAGGCAAGGCTTAAGACAAGAGAGACAACATGGTGTAGTTGAGTAAAGTGTTGGCTACAGAGCTGACCAAGGAACCAGGAAAATCTAGTTTCAGTACCTGCCAGCTTTGTGATCGTGGACAGGTCACATTCCTCTCAATAGCTGGGACTACTCTTTGTCCATGGAGCATTTGCTATTTATCCATGTTTGAGGTCCCAGGAATACAAAGACAGAAGAAAAACAATGCTACCAGAGATAGATCAGAGATTTAGATTTGGAGCAGAATAGGACCTCAGGGACAATCTAACCCAACCTGCTTGTTTTACAGACAAGGGAAACTGAGGCCCAGGGTGATCCTTAGAGGTCACTTGACCTTGTCCCCAAGGTCACATGGATGATGAATATCAAAGGCAAGATTTGACTCACACTTGCTCATCTGCATTGGTCGCAGGAGTTTTCATATCAGGGAATTCCCCATGGAAAAAATCAAAGGTCTAGGCTTGGATTCTTATAATCTAGCCACTGCTCAGATTCCTATAATCCAGCCAATGGCTCACAGCTGCTCAGATTCCTTGAGAGTCTGGCCAGTATGGTGGATCTTTAATAAACCTTGTCTTTGGCTGAAAAAAAAAAATCAAAAGTCTGGACCAAAACAAAACAAAACTTAAGACTGAAATTCATACTCAAAAATTGGGTCTCCAATCCACAGAAGAGAGAGGTAGCATGTGAATAGTGGATGGCTAGATAGATAGATAGACATGTGCATAGAGAGATGATAGATGTGGATAGACAAATAAATAGACAGATAGGTAGGTAGATAGATGTGGATAGACAAAGATGTTGGAGATGATAGCCTGATCAATCAATAGATATATAGGTAGATAGCTACGCAGATAAATAAAGATAATAGATACATAAATGACTTGAGAAACAGAATACTTCTTAAGCACTTACTGTGATCAAACACTGTGCTAAGAGCTGGGGATACAAATAAAAACCAAAATAGACAGTTCCTGCCCTCCAGGCACTTCCATTCTATGGGGGGGACCATACATAAAAGGCCGTGGAAAAGCTAGGGAGGGTGTGGGAGGATCCTGGGGTGGGATTCAGGTGGAGAAGGAGTCCGGAAAGTCAGGGGAGTCGAGGGCTGGATAGAGTCTCGAGTGTGCATGGGTGATGTAGGTATTTCCTCAGGTAGAGGTTCCCAAGATGAATCAGCAGTTGGAGGAGACCACACAAGTCAGAGTTGTCAGGTCACTGGGGTTAAAGGAACAATAGTCCAGGGACGGCATTAGGGTCAGGAAGACCTGGATTCAAGTCTCGCTCCATATACTTAGTAACTGTGTGATCCTGTGCAAGGCATTTAAACTCACAGTGCCTCAGTTCCCCATCTGCAAAACATGGGGGATGGGCTCAATGATCTTCTAACACTGAATCTCTAATCCAGTGATCCAGTGATCCACCGCTAACCCTGGCCTGCCGACTCCCAAATGCATGCATGTCATTGGTCCCAAGGAAGACCCGGTCCGAATGTAGGTGCATCACACAAACCCCTGCCTGTCACCAGAGTTGGGGGGGCTCAGAATCCCTGCCCTGCTCCCTGAAGGAGGGGATGACCATACATGCCATCTCTGCCTCCTTGCCCAGACTCACTCCAGCCTTTTTCCTTTCCTCCCTGCAGAACAACAAGGTCACCCTCTTCCGGCAGCTGCAGCAAATGACCTACAGCCTGATTGAGTGGAGGTCTCAGATCCTGTCAGGGACCCTCCCCAAGGATGAGCTGGCCGAGCTCAAGAAGAAGGTCACAGCCAAGATTGATCACGGCAACAGGTGAGCCGGGGTGGAACCGTAGCAGGTTGGTTCTGCCTGGGACTCATCCCGAAGGTCGGTGGACCTTATTCAGGGCGGATGAATAATGCTGACAGCCCCACTTCCTTATAAAGTAACCGAAACCCTCCTCCTCCTCCCCTTCCCCCTCTGTAAAGCCTTAGAGAGCGCTTAACTCTCAACCACTGTTTCCTGCTTAGTATAATGGGGGCAATAACCCGTTTATGTCCTCTTTGGAATGGTTGTGAGGAAAGCCTTTGGTGAAGCTTCAAGCTGTTCTGAGGCCCCAAAGACAGCCTTGGTGCCAGGCATGGATAGACCCTTTGGGCCAGGCACTGTGCTGAACTCTGGGGCTATAAGGAAGAGCACAGATAGGCCCTGATGGGACGGACAACAGAAGCCAGCTATCTCAACCCCTCTTTGCTTTACTGATGAGAACCTAAGACCTAGAAAGGCTAAGTGACTTCAAAGATAGTGTAGAGAGCAGGATTTAAACCTTGTCCCTCTGACTCTGCATCCACGGATCTTTCCACTGGGCCATGCTGTCTGCATCACAGGGAAATCCCGGTGATCTGATTATGGATCTTTTTGAGTGTTTACTAAGAGCACACAATGTCAAGTATATAGAAGGTGCTTGATAAATAATTAATGAATGAGTGAGCGAATAGTAAAACTTAAGGCTTAAGAAGCACTTTGTTGTTTTTGCAAATCATTTGACACGTTTGCTGGATGGGGGTACAACAGGGATTTTCATCCATCTCATACAGATGAGGAAACTGAGGAATGGGACAAGAAAGTGACTGCTGGTTACTGCCAAGTTAGTAGACCCCTGACCTTCTGACTTCTATTAATTTCAGTACTTCACACATATAGACTGAATTGCATAGTATATAAATACATAAAGGAAAAAAAGTAATGAATTACAAGGAGAAATAGCAAAACTTTAATACTGGAAGACCTCAGTGTTCCATTTGAAAGCTGTAAAAGCTAATGAAAAATAACAAGAAAGAAGTTAAGGTCTTGAATAAAGATGTTTTCTGATTTTAATTTTTGATTAGCTTTTTTTTTTCAATTAACAAGCATCTGGTCTCTGTCCCATGGACTCTCCTCCCTCCACTCCCACAGTGGGAAAAAGAAGAATGAAAATCCCTGAAGGTTCTTCTTGATTGTAAAAGCAAGTCTTTGGCTTTTCAGAATATCTCATGTTTTTGGTCTTTGTTCCTTTACAGTGGAAGCCACTCAATCTTGTGTGAGCTAGACTGTGGCTCCTTGGCATTTTAATTCTTTCATTTTGGGTGCTCAAAGCATTATTTTTTTCTCTAACCTGGAAGCTTTTTATTTTGGCTATAAAATGGTCAATTGCTTCTGTTTCCATTTTGCTGGTACTAGGAGATCTGGGCATTTTTCTTCATGATTTTGTGAAATTGATTTCTAGGCTCTTATTTTTTTGCTTGTGTCTTTCAGGTGGTTCAATGATTCTTAAATGATCTCTCTTTGATCTGTTTGACTGTTCAATTGCTATAATTGCTTCCATGTTTTATTTTGCTTCTTTGTTGTAATATTTTTTCATTGTTTCATGGAGTCAAGAATTTTGGTCCATTGTGAATTTCAGTGAGTCTGTTGCTTGGGTAAAGGTTTTGAACAGTTTGTGTCCAGCTATTAAATCTCTTTCCAGGTCTTTTCTCTAAAACATTCATTTCTTATCCACTTCTTGCCTGTATCACACTCATTTCATTTATTATACCATTTTAATCCATTTTTAACTCTTGAATAATTTCTTTTTCAAATTCTTAGCAACCTTATGATCAACTATTTTTCTTTGGGGCTTTGCTGTTAAGTGTTCTGTAGTTAGTTCCTTGGGCAGCTCTGGCCTCATGATAACTCTTTTTCTCTTGTTTGTTTTTTCTATTAATTGTTCCAGTGATATGCTGTAGGCAACCCAGTGTTGCTGGCCTAAAGTGAGCTCTAGGGGCTGGTTCTAAGATCCCTGCCCCTCTGGGAAACCCTCCTCTACTGTTGTCCAATGAGTACTGTTCTCTACATTATGCTTTGAGCAACTTGAGGCTAAAGGCTTTGAGCTCTTAGGCCCAATTAGGTCAGTAATCCAGGCCCTGGGCTGCTGGCCTCAGCTGAGGCTCAGATCATTTCTGAGCATCACTGTGCTATAGGCCTATATCTGAGCTCTGGACAGTGACTGCAGGCTCCTGATCCCTCTGGAAGATCCCAAGTTGTTGGTTCAGGACCCCGGGAAGAATCTACCAGTGTAAAATTTTAGAAAAGCTAGATAGGATAGGTCTCTGGTGATTATTGGATGGGAATAAAAATAAGTGTACATGTTTTTCAACTGTGCATGGCACCTTTACAAAAATTGACCATATATTAAGTTATAAAAATGTCATAAGCAAATGAAGAAAAGCAGAAATATTAAAATGCATCTTTTACTGGCTATAGTGCAATAAAGGGCTATTAATGAAAGGATTAGAAATTAACTGGAGTGTAAACAATTCAGTATACTCTCCACTGGACAGGATCAAACTTTACCAAATGTTGCTGTTATTCTATAGAAGTATTTATGCTGAAGCCCAAGGATACTACCCAGCAATCTCAAATCTTATGAAAAGCATCAATGTTATGGATGCCCTTTGCTTTTGTATCTTGTTTTAGGATCTACTCCCACAGACACATACACACACACAGCATACACATATACACATCTATCCAGCGAACATTTCCTCAGAGGAAAGACAGACAGACAAGCAAAACCACCCCCCACAGCTACCATTTATGACAGTGTATATGACATTCCACATCTCTCTTGCTGAAAGGAGGGTGGTGCTTTTTTGTCATCCCTTCTCTGGGGGCTAAGATTGGCCATTACAGTTACTGAGCAGTTGCCTTCATTTTGGGTTCTTTTCATTTACCTTAATGCAGTCATTTCTTTGTATTGGTTCTGTTGCTTTGCCCGATATTCTTTCATAAAAGTCTTCTCACAATTCTCTGAATTCCTACAATGTTCCTTTATCATGATTTCTTCAGTCATGACACAGTCAATGGGATATTGTTCCATAAATGGCTCCTACATGTCCTTCCTGTCTCAGTTCTCTCCCCTCACTAATACAACTTCCATACAACTACCAAAAGGATCTTCCTAAAGCATACTTCTGACTGTATCACTTCCTCACTCAGCAAACCTCAGTGGCTCCCCATTTGATATCCAGAGCAGAACTTATCCTCTTTCCCCCAAAGATACCCTTCTACCCAATGACCCTATTCCTATTGGAGGCACTGCCACCCTTCCAAATGTCTAGGCTTTGGACCCCAGCGCTATCCTCAGCTTTCTTTCTATTCTCCTTCCCCTTGCAGATCTAATCACCTGCCAAATCTTGGTTGTTTCTACCTCCAAAACGTCTCTCTCTGCTAGCCGGGCCACCACGTTAGTTGACATCCTCCTCGCCCTTCCTGGGCTAGTACGCTGGCCTCCTTATTGGTCTTTCATATATTACTCCCCATTATAATCCATCCTTCACTGCTGCCAAATTCATTTTTCTCCAGTGTAGGCAGACTGCATCACTCCCTTGCTCCATAAACCCCAATGGCTAATTTTGCCTCTAGGATAAGATAAAATTCCTTTACTTGACTTCTAAAGCCCTTCACAACCACCTTTCTGGCATCATTATCCAATATTCCATTTCCCACACCCGACCATCCAGCTAAATGTCTCTTCTCCCTCGTCCTCATTGGTGGCAAGCATTTCCCATCTCTGTGACTTTGCCCTGGCTGTGCCCCGTTCCTTGAATGCACTCTTCCTTGCCTCAGCCTCCCAGAATCCTCTTTCAAGACAAACCCTGACACCCTCCCTCCCATTTCCTTGTATTTATCCTGTGTATAAATATGCCTGTGTTTATGTATGTATGCAATACGTCTGCAATACTCGCAATCCATGCAAACACATGTTGCCTTCCAAATAGCTTCTAATACCGTACACTTGAGAGTAGGGATTGTTTCACTCTTTGTTATGTGTCCCCAGAACCTAGTACAGAATGGATAGTTAATACGTAGTTGCTGGTTGACCGATCGATGTTACTTACACCCATTTTCCTTAGTCCAGTCTGTCCTGTACTTCACTGCCAAAGTGATTTTCCTCAAGCGTAGGTCTGACTCTGCCACTCCGGCACCATCAACAAAGTCCATTACTTCCCTATTATTTCTGGGATAAAATATAAATTGTTTGGGCATTGAACGCTCTTACCAATCTAACCTCTATGATTTACTCCCCTCTGTATGCTCTGATCCCTCTCCAGTGGCCTGCTTGCACACATGTCTCTGTCTCTCATCTCCAGGCCTTGGTGTTGGCCAGCCATCATGTCTGGAATGCACTCGCTCCCTACCTGGGCCTCATAGAATCCCCTCTTGCCTTAAAACCTCTCCTAAAGTGCCACCTCCCACAAGAGCTTTTCCTGTTCTGCATAGCTCCTAATGATCTCTCCTCCCCCATGATCTTGGCTTTCTTTTACATATTTTTACACACATGTGTTATATCCCCATAGAATATAAGCTTACTGAGGGCAGAGACTATTTCATTTTTGTCTTTGTTTCTCCAGTGCCCAATATGGTGCCTGGCAAACAGAAAATGCTTAATGAATGCTTTTTTGACTGATTCATTAAATAAATGGGCATCCATTGGTTTTAAAAGCCTTCATCTGGGTTCTCTCAGATGTTGTTTTCTTTCTTCAATGAGCCAGCTTTGCTCCTGTCATGGTGATGTGGAAAGAGCACTGAACATGGACATAGGAATGACCTGTGTTCAAATCTTGATTCCAGTACTTAATTAACTGAGTCATCTTAGGCAAGTCATTTTCCTTCTCTAAGACTCAGTTTCCTTATCTCTAAAGTGGACATAATACTAGGGGCCCTGGGTTTGGAGTCACAAGACCTGAGAGTTCTCATTTTGCTAGCTGGGTGACGAGGGGTGAATTCCTCTACCTCTCTGAGCCTCCGTTTCCCCATTTGAAAAATGAAGAATATTAATTATAACCACCTTCGTCAGCCTCTTGAAGGTAGCTGAAGAGAGTTTTCTGGGTTTAAATGCCATCTCAGACGCCGTTCCACTTAAACTCTTGGGGCCTTAGTTTCCTTACCTGTAAAAGGGATCTTTTTGATTGAATGGCCTCTAACACTCCCTCCATATCTAAATCTTCGGTGCTGTGATCCTTCCTCACTGGGTTATTGTGAGGCCCAGAGGAATTCACATAGGAGGGTTTTACAAACAAAAGAAGGCTCCCTGAGACCCTGGAAGGATATTTTTTCACTCCTTATCAAGGACTTTCAAGATGCCTGGAGCATAATTCTGGGAGATATCTGAGGCCCTTCTGGCCCTGCCCATGAGCCTCCTTGGGCTTTGGGCCACAGAGGGCCCGAGAACCTTGGCATCCACCTCCCCCGCTCCCCTCCAGAGCAGCTTGTGCCTGCCTGCCCCAGCCAGCCCTTGGACGCCAGTCAGGAAATGAGGCTGCCCCATCACCATGCCAGGGATTAGGCCTTCTCTGCAGCCAGTCTCACTTTCATGGGTTTGAGCAGAAATCAGGCGGCCTGTGGGCCTGGCTGACTCAGAGCAAAACCCGCCAAGCCTCCTGTAGCTTCAGACAAGTTAATGAAGATGCTTGGGCTCGGGAGGAGGCAAATGAGAGAATCTTGTTTTCTAGGCCACTTTTCCTTTTCCTCTGTTTGTCATCGATGGGGTCCAGTAGCTGGAGATCAGTGTACAGGAGGAGGAGGCCAAATTCTGGGCTCCGCTTTGCTCTCCCAGTCTCCAAGCTGCTGCATGAAGTGGAACAGATGATTGTGCATCCCAACGTCCCTGACTTTTGGAGGGGGACTCTATAGGGTTACAAGGTGGGCCCACAGGCAATGGCCCATGGTTGTTCGGTTTGTGAAGCCAAGATAATCTGTGTGTGCCAAACCAAAAAAAAAAAAAAAGCAGGCCTTCTCATTTGCTGATCTTTGGAATTATCCTGAGAAAAGAATCGTGTTTTGTAAGGTAATTATTAAGCATTATAGCAGCAACTACATTTTAATCCTTAGAAAGATCTGTAATTGGTATAGGCTCTCCACCAACATAGATAGCCATGTCCCCAGGCCTTAGTAGGTGGTCTCTTAGCAAGGCAATTATTATTATTTTTTTAAAGTCATACCAATAAAGATACCACTCACTGGTATTTCTATTGCATGTTGATATCTGGAAAGCCCTTGACATATTTTAAGTACTTTGAGCCTCAAAATAAGCCAGTAAGGAAAGACTGTAAGACATAACTACAGACTCTGAGGCCCTTATTTTACAGGTGAGGAAACAGAGGCCTGCCTAGTAAATGACCAAGGCAGAAAGTGAGCCCGTGGGGTCTTGACTCCAAATCCCCCGCTCTGTCACTGTTCCCTTGGAGACTGGGTGAAACAGGAGTTATTTCTACATTGGAAGCCAGGTCTTTCCAACTCAGACTCCAGCCCTGTGACCTATATTGTTCTTTTGTCGAGTGTTTTCAGTTGTGTCTGACTCTTCATGACCCCATTTGGGGTTTTCTTGGTGGATACCAGAGTGGTTTGCTATTTCCTCCTCTAGCTCATTTTACAGGTGAAGAAACTGAGGCAAAGAGGGTTATATGACTTGCCCAGGGGTCACACAGCTAGTAAATGTCTGAGACCAGATTTGAACTCACAAAGATGAGTCTTCTTGATTTCAAGCCCAGTGTTCTATCCACTCTGCCCCCTAACTGCCCTTGTATGCCCCTAACCTGTACGCCACATTGCTTTTCAGTGGTCTTAGAAATAACAGTGCTTCCAATGATGGGGGTTCCCTTCATTGAGCACCGAGTGTCTGTGATTTAGTATAGCCATCTGTGAGAGCACTCTGGTCCCAAGGGGCCATTGTGTATGGGGGTAGTTTGTGTGATTAGAATATGATTTGTATTCCATCCACGCACCGTCCATGATAAGCAAGCATGGAGCCTTTGGCCAACCCAACCAAAGCATCTCGATGATGCGTTATCATGGAAGCCTACCCCATTCGGGTGGGATGGCTGTACAGTCCCCTACCTCTCCCCAGATCTTGGCCCCATTGTACTTATAACAAAACTAAAACCTAGGGACCCACGCTATCAGATGCATAGGAAAACTCTACCCTCTTTCAAGTCCACATACCCCCACCCAGCCCTCCAGCTAACCTCATAGCTGCAGGAAGATGAGGGGCCCCACACTCATTTTGTCAGTCAGTTAACAAGCATTTATTAAGTGCTTACTCTGTGCCAGGACAGCTAGATGGTGCAGTAGATAGAGCACCGGACCTGGAGTCAGGAAGATCTAAGTCCAAAATCCAGCCTCAGATCACTTAACCCCAATTTGCCTCAGTTCCTCATCTGTAAAATGGCGTACAATTCAGTGTAAGACACTGAAGAAGGTAACAAAGCCACTCCAGTATCTTTGCCAGAAAACCCCACGAACGAGTCCACGGGGTCACAAAGAGTTGGACGTGACTGAACAATTGAATAACCACAGCCACGACGTGCCAGGGCTCAAGCCTGTCTCCCCTCCATTCTGTCAGTCATAAGTGGTAAAAGTGATCTTCCTCGAGGGCAGATCTGATCTGATCACACCACTCCCCGACTGACTAAATTCCAACGCTTCCCTATTAGCTTCAGGATTAAATATTATTTTATCTCTCTTTTAATTTGTAGTTTTTGTGTAAGGCGTGTAGGGCAGTGTTTTTCAAAGCACAGACTGAAGCAGGGAGGAAGAAAAGACCTTTGGCCAAACTCAGACAGCAAATGGATGGAAGGGCTGAGTGTAGATTTCAAGGTGTTCTTCCTGAGCCTGGGCTCTGGCTTCGGGCTTGCCCCTTCTGGTTGGGTGCCTGAGGCACTGGCTACGCTTCTGAGCAGCCATCCCCTTCATGGAAGGTCTTTCTCACATGGACCGACTCTTCCTGTCTCTCTTCCCAGGATGCTTGGACTTGACCTCGTGGTACGAGATGACAATGGAAACATTTTGGATCCCGATGAGACCAGCACGATTGCCCTGTTCAGGGCCCACGAAGTGGCCTCCCAGAGGATTGAAGAAAGGATCCAAGAAGAGAAGGTACATCCCTGGGATGGCGAGGGGGCTTTACCTTCCCTGGAGTCCTCCTCCCCATGTTAACTGTTGATTCTAAAGATGGCCAAGAAAGGACCATGCACAGAATCTGCATCTTGAGTGGTTCAGCACTATACAGCTTCAGATAATAAAACCTTATGTCCTCTTTCTAGATCAGTAAGTTAAAGGGGGAGAGAGGATGATAATAACAGGCAGCACTTCTAGCTCTTTCAGAAAAGCCTTCACGTAAATTGATTGATTCTCACAACAATCATGTGGAGCAGGTACCATGATTATCCCCATTTTACAGATGGGAAAACTTTGGCTGACAGAGGTCTGCTAGGAAAGTGGGAAAAACAGGCATTATTACCTCTGCTTTCTAGATGAGTTCAGTGACCTCCTCCCAGTCACCCAGCTAGGAAGGATTTGAACCCAGGTCTTCCTTCCTAAGCTAGACTCATCTTCTCTCTTTCCTCCTGCCCTCAGTCCATCCTACAGAATCTGGACTTGCGGGGCCAGTCAATCTTCAACACGATGCACACCTACTGTCTCTATGTCAACTTCAAGAACTTTGTCTGCAATATTGGGGAGGATGCTGAGCTGCTCATGGCCCTCTATGACCCTGATCAGTCCAGATTTATCAGGTAACGTGAGTATCTGAAGCCCCTTCTAATGCACCCTGCTTACCCCTCCCAAAATCCAATGACCTTAGTCTGACTTCCTCATGAAGGAAGCGTAAGAAGCAATTATAGATAAGGGAAGGGTGGTGCTGGACAACAAGTGGCCAGGCGCCACACTCTGATTATTACTCAATGACAGCAAAAGGAAGGAAGGGAGGGAGGCAGGAAGGAAGGGGGGGGGGGAGGAAGGAAGGAAGGAAGGAAGGAAGGAAGGAAGGAAGGAAGGAAGGAAGGAAGGAAGGAAGGAAGGAAGGAAGGAAAGGAAAGATATATTTCAGGGTGAAGAAACTACAAGAATGGTTGGACGTTCCAGGATTCGACAGCAGCAGAGGCATGGTTTTGAAATCCATGAAAATCAGGAACAGGGCCAGGGAGGAAAGCTTTTTATTAAAGTCCTGCTATGTGTCAGGCACTGTGCTAAGCCCTGGGACGATGATGACTACTACTACTACTACTGCTACTGCTACCGCTATTACTAACTACTACTACTACTAATAATAATAATAGCTAATGTTTTAAAGTTTAAGATTTATAATGCACTTTACATATATTATCTCATTTGATCCTCTCAGTAACCCTGAGAGGTAGGTCCCATTATTATCCTTACTTTACAGATGAGGAAAGTGAAGCAAACAGAAGTTAGGTGATTTGCTCAAGGTCACATGGCTAGTAGATATCTGAGGCCAGATTTGATCCACTACCCTGTGCTTTCTTATGAAGAGAAGTGAAACAGTCCCTGCCCTCAAGAAGCTTATATTCTATGAGGAAACAACCTGTACATATCTAATTATAGGCAAAGCACATAACCATTGAGGAGAAGGGAGTATGAGGAAGAAGGCTGTTGGCATCTGCCTTCTGTCCTTCATCTCCCTGTATAAGGCAAGCAGTTAAAATACAAACAAAGGAGGTGACATTGTCATTGTTCCTGCCCACTGGCTAGGGTTAACCAGTCCCATGCCAGTCCCCCCTTCCCAGACATTTCCCTGATGACGAGTCTTGTATTTCTCTTTTTAATATTGTCAGTGAGAACTACCTAATCCGCTGGGGCAGCAATGGGATGCCGAAGGAGATCGAGAAGCTCAACAACCTTCAGGCTGTCTTCACTGTGAGTCCCACCCCTGTTTTCTTGTCTGTTTCTCCCTTCGTTTTTTTTCATTAGGAATCATGTATTTCCACTGGAATGTATTCCATGATCTCTTCAATGAGGGGAAATCATAGACCATCCTGAGAGATTTTTGCCCAGGTCCTTCCATAACTTGTTAGACCACTTGAGTTCTCTCCTTCCTTCCTCTCTCTCTCTCTCTCTCTCTCTCTCTCTCTCTCTCTCTCTCTGTGTATATATATATATATATATATGTGTGTGTGTGTGTGTGTGTATACATATATACACACACACACACACACACACATATATATATGTATGTATGTATGTATGTATGTATGTATATATTTCCCCCCATTAATTTTTTAAGGAGGCAATTGGCATTAAGTGACTTGCCCAGCATCACACAGCTAGTAAGTGTCTGAGGACAGATTTGAACTCAGGTCCTCCTGACTCCAGGGCTGGTGCTCTATCCACTGTACCACCTAGATGCACCTCATTCATTTATTTTTGAGTCATAGACAGGTTTGCCTTTCATGTTTTCTTCTTTTGAAAATAAATTGTTGTCACTGCTTGTTTTTGTATCTTCTGAATACTCCCCTTAGTCAATCAATCAATCATTAAACACTTTTGAAGCACCTACTATGTGCCAGGCACTGTGCTAAACATTAGGAACATAGAAAGACACAAAAGACAGTGCCTGCCCTCAAGAAGCTTACAATCTAGTGGGGTAGATAATACTCAAACAAGTATCTACAAACAAGATATATACAGAATAAATAGGAAACAAGTAACAGAAGGAAGGCTCCCTGTAGAAGAAGGGGTTTTGGTTGGGACTTAAAGGAGGTCGGGGAGGTCAGGGGTTGTGATGGAGGAGGGATTGCCTTCCAGGCATCAGAGATGGCCAGAGAAAATACCTGCAGCTGAGAGATGGAACATCTTGTTTGGGGGATAGCCAGGAGAGTGGTGTCCCTGGGAAGTAAGATGTAAGAAGACTGGAAAGATAGGAGGGGGTTACTCAAACCAAGAACTTTGTATTTAATCCAGAGGCAATAGGGAGCCATTGGGAGCTTATTGACTAGAGATGGATGACATGATCAGACGTGTGCTTTAGGAAAATCCCATCAATGGCTAAATGGAAGGTGGATTGGAGTGGGGAGGAATGAGAGGCAGGCAAACCCCCCAGCAGCTATTGCAGTAATCCAAGTGTGAAATGATGAGCATAGCACATCCAAAGTGCCTTCATTTATAAGAAAGAAAAAAATAACAAATACTATTTCACTTGATTACAAATAAGTGTGTATGCAGCATTATATACCCATGGTCTCCTCCCTCTCCAACTCTTGGATACCAATGGAGTTCACTGGCTGTGCCCTCTTACTACATGGCTGACCCTTTTGTTTTTGGCTTAAACTCAAGGGACTATTGCAGATGCGTCCCCTAGAACTTAAGGCAAGCATGGAGAGGGAGGAGGCATTAACACTGAGCACCACCTTAGGCCTCTGTACTAGGTTTCCCTGAAACCCCCTGTTCTTTTTTCACATCTAAATCAAGGTGGTACGTATTGGATTCAGAGATTTCAGGAAATGAACACGGATACCCACCAGGGTATTTGTCCTTCAGGTGATTTTATGTGGAATATTAAGAAATAGAACTTATCTTTTGCTATAAGTTTTGTGAATCTGCCTTATTTATAAACATACTGTTAAGCAGGTGGTAGATACCAGCCTGATTGTCTCTATTTTACTGATGAGGACCCCAAGGCTCAAAGAGGGAAATGACATGATCACAGTCACACAGCTCTTCTAAGTGTTTGAGGGAGAGGTAGGGACTAGACCTGTGGTGCCACTGATAAGGGAAACTTTCTACCAACTCATCTCTCTGCAGCTTAGACTCTTATGGAGTTGCCTCAGGCACCGAGAAATTAAATGGCTTGCTATAGTCACATAGATATTATGGGTCTTAGGCAGGATTTGAACCCAGGTCTTTGTGGCTTTGAGGCCAGCTCTCCATCTACTAGGCCGCTGACCCCACTGTGCACTTCTATCACCTCCAGTGTTTGAGTCAAGCTAAGGTAAGAAGCGGGTGCCTTGCCCAATTCCTAGATTCACCTGTTATTCTTCCAGGCCCAAACACACTTTGCCACTGCACCATGTTACTTTCTACCAACTACAAACAGCAACTCATCCATGCTCAGAGTCTTAGAGAATGTTCTGAAGCTTCAGCACATTAAATGCTTTCCCTCCAATCATGTGGCTAGTCCGAAACAGAGGTAGCATCCGAACCTAGAATTTCTGCCTTCAGGGCCCAGTTGCCTCTTTATGCTTAAGAAATAAAAATAAAACCAACCTGGACAAAATGACATGGGGGAGAATGTCTTGGGGTGGCTGTGACTAATATCCCTTGCTGAGTTGTGGCGTAACAGCTCTCTGTGATGGGCCGCTGGGTATCCTGATGACCGGATCTCTTTAGACTCAGGTTTTCTTGGATTAAGGAGGATTAATTGTTTTATCTTGTTGTGATTTTTGTTTTGTGAATCAGCATAGTAGAGAGAAATAGTAATGAGTAAGGGTGGGAATTCTTTGTTTTCATGTGTACAAAGCCCTCCATTCTCACACCAGGAGCATTCCTGGATATGTGTGAGGAGGAGTGACAGAAGAAGAAATCATTCATTTCAGTTCAGAAGCAGAGGCAGCTTCATACCATGGAAAGAAGACACGATCTGGAGGGAGAGGATGAGAGAAGGGTCCCAGCTCTGGAGCTGGCTGGGCCCTCAGAGGCCTCATTTAACAGAGGAGGAAGCTGAAGCCGGGAAAGTGAGATGCTCCATGTGATCTCTCTACACCCCCCCACACACACACACACAGAGCTCTAAGCTATGCCCCATGATCCTAAGCAGGATCCTCCTGATGCAAGCTTGGGGAAGATGAAGGGAAACAAGGCGCAGAGCTTTCCGGACAGCTGCCTCTCCTGTCTGACGCTCTCTCCTCTGCCCCCAGGATCTCAGCAGCACTGATCTCATCCGGCCCAAGATCAGCCTCGTGTGCCAGATCGTCCGCGTGGGCCACATGGAGCTCAAGGAGGGAAAGAAGCACACCTGTGGCCTTCGCAGGCCTTTTGGGGTTGCAGGTAGGAAGATGGCACTGAGAGGGATTAAAACTGCAGGCCTTGGCAGAACCACCTGGCTGGCCCTAGTGTTTCTTGTCAGTCATCCTCCCTTGTACTAAAGAATTGAAAAAGAAAGAAAAAGTGGAAACAAAGCCATTCGCCAAAGCTAACAGGGACACCAGCCAAGTCTGACAGTAAATACGAGGCCCCTCTCCCCTATTCCATCTTTCTGCCAAGAAGGGAAAGAGCTCCCCTTCCTCCCTTCTTCTGGCCAGGCTTGCTCCTATCTTCCCCAGGAGAGGTGAGTTCCCCAAAGGCCAGGTTCGTGTCTACATCATCCTATGTTCCAGAGGTTTCTCCACAGTCCCTTGTAGATCTAGAATCAGCAGAGGCCTGACAGTCAAGTCAAATCAACTTTTATTAAGCGTCTGCCATGTGCCCCAAGAGGTAGGCAGGGTACTGAGAGCTAGAGACCTCAGAAAGCATCTATTCCAGCCCCTTCATTTATATAAAAAAGTGAACTTTGATTGAGAGTGTCTTTTTTTTTTATCACCTACATATCTTACTGTATCCATCTTCCCACCCCCTCCCTGAGAGTCAACATGGATTAAAAAAAAAAGAGTAAGAATTTTTTAAAAATTCTACAAAACTAACCATCGCATCAGGAAAAAAATAGGGGGCGATGTCACATGGGTGCGTGAGCATTCCACCCATAGCCCCCCGCTTTTGAAGAAGGGAGAAGGGTCATCATATATTTCTCTTTGGGACCAAGCTTGGTTGCCATACTTCTGCAGCTTTGTTTCGTTGTTTGTGGCCGTTCTTCCCACGTGCAGGGCTGTGCTCATTTTCCATGATGATTTTCTCATTCTTCTTAATTAATTCTGCATCACTTATTTTACAGATGAGGAAACTCAGACCTCTCTTGGTAAAGTGACTTGCTCAAGGTCACTGAGCACATGCCTAGCAAGAATCCGAGATAGGATTTGAACTCAGACCCTCTGATTCCAAAGAAGGTCTTTATACTATACCACAGATAACGACCATATGAATGTGCGATAACTGTTTAATTCTTCAATTATCTAGCATATATATTGCTCTGAGTGTATGTAAATAATAAATAGTTAACTGCACTTTGGGCAAGTCAGCCCATTTCTCTGAGCTCAGTTTTGTCACCTGTAGTCAATTACTAGAAGTCTTCAATGGAAATTGATTGTCTTGAGATGCCAGATAGATAGATAGACGCATATACATATGCATGGAAATACATATACACATATGCGTATGTGGAAAGCTATATACATACATACATGTGTGGAAATCCATACATGCACATATATATGGAATCTGCATATGCATGTATATTATAAGTCATATCTGTAATGTGAATTGTATGTGTATATATGACATATGCACATATACTGCTTAGGGAATTTTTCAACACTTTTCTGCATTTTAAGAAATTCTGACTTCCTTAATGTGGGCATCAGATTTCATTGATCAGAGAACACTGATTTCGTTCATCAATTATCATTGATGATAGATTTCTTTCTTAATACCGCTCCAAGGTGTGTTACTTTTCATAGATGATTTCATGAGATGCTACATCCATCAAATACCTCAGCTGGCAACGATCTCGTGTTGCCGAGCACTTCTACCCTTAGCTAGCCCAACGCTTGAATGAGAGGTGTAGACACTGTACTAGTCATGTATGGATTGGGCCTCCAGTGCCTGTTTCCATTATTCATTGTGACCAGGCAGCTGGCCTCACACAAGCATTCTATGACAGTAGACATGGTGAGAGATGGAACAAGGGCTTTGGGATGTCTGCAGTTTGCTATAGAGTAAGATTAGGCTGCTAAGAAAGTGGTGGTTTGATGGTGGGAGCCTTCAGTGTGGCACCTGCAAAGCCTGGTGTTTAAAACTGTGCAGTTATTCACTATGTTACCTTACCTAGTTCATTTATTTTGGGCTTCACTGCCTCTTCTATCTGTGTGACCTTGGGTAAGTCACTTAATTTCCCTTGGCCCCAGTTACTTCATCTGTAAAATCAGGGCTTTTGGACTAGATGACTTTTGAGGTTCCTGCCAGCTCTAAATCTGTGATACTGTGAAATCTTTTCAATGAGCTGCAAGGGTGAGATGGCCCCCACATTCCACTTCTAGAGGCATCATGGTGTAAAACATAGAGAGCCTCGTACAGCAATGGGGACCCTGCAGCCTTGAGGCCAACATGTGGCCTTCTAGGTCCTTGGGTGCTGCCTTTTGACTGAGTCCAAGTTCTACAGAACAAATCTTTTTATGAAGGGGATTTGTTCTGTGAAGTTTGGATTCACTATCTCCTCAGGAGATGGTGTAGACCTCAGAGACAGGCAGAACCGGGTTTGGATCCTGCTTGTGACGCCCAGTGTCTTCGGGACTCTGGGCCAATTAACCTCCCAAGGCCCCAGGAAACTCTCTGAGACGCTACATGGCTGATCAGGTGACCATTTTATTGACAGAGACAGCTCCTTATACTAATGAAATCAGAGGTTGAGACCAAAACACATTTCCCTTCTATTACAAATATTCTATGACCCTATGAAGCTCAAATCTTTTTCTGACACTAAAGCACTGAAAGGATTGTACTTCCATCATGAATAATAATAATAATAGCATTTTATATCATTTTAAGGTTTGTAAAGTGCTTTATAAATAACTTATTTTACCTTAACAATCCCAAGAGTTTAGGTGCTATTATGATCCCCATTTTAGAGATGAGGGAACTGAGGCAATTGAGGTTAAGTGACTTGTCCAGGATCACATAGCGAGTAACTAGATTGGAACTCAAGTCTTCCTCGTTCCTGGTCCAGCACTCTCCTCTGTAACACCTAGATGCCTCTATCAAGCAGTGACAAAGGGCTTGCCCCATCCTTTACTGTGTAATATGGCTAGAAAGCCCATTACTAATGAAACAAGAGGAAAAAACTCTAGGCCAAGTACCTTTCCTCTCCAGTGTTGTGTGTTTGGGGGGAGGAAGGAGGAAGGTGTGAGATCATTTTCCACAGTAATTATTGGAGACACGAAGCAATTAGTCTCGTTAATTGCCCTTATCTCTTTCTTAGTGATGGATATTACCGATATCATACACGGGAAGGTTGATGATGAAGAAAAACAACACTTCATTCCCTTTCAGCAGTAAGTACCTTGGCATGGCTCCTGGCTGACTTGGGTCTGTCTTAGCCCTTCCGTCACCGAGCCAGCAGCTCATGCTCCCTCCGTGAAGGTAGGCAGCCCTTCATTGGGCCAGGAAAGAGATAGGAAACGTCTCTGAGACAAACACAGAGTCTCGGAGTTGGAGGAGACCCCAGAGGAGGTCCAGACCCAAGGCTTAAATCCTGTCTACAGCAGCCTCTACCAGCGGCCGTCAGCCTCTGCTCAAACTCTTCCAGTCAGGCAGTCAACAAGCATTGAACTTCATTTCCCTCTAGAGGGTTGATAGAAACAAGGAAAGTAATTCCCTATCCTGCTTGATCTTTTTAAAAAATGTTTTAATTCATCTTTTGTTTTCATACCTTCCTCTGTATCCCTCCCCTTCCCTCTTCACAGAGAACTCTGATTTAACGAGTTCTTTTTTTTTATAGAGAAAATGAGGAATAAAGGGGGGGGAGCTCAGTGAGACTAATAAGTGTATCCCCCACACTTGAAAATCTAGGCCATACTCCACACCGATGCGCCTTCCGCCTCTGGCCGGGGAATAGAATCTTAGATCTCAGGGGTAAGAGAGTGAGGGAAGTAAAACCTCATAGATGGTAATCCAGGGTCTAGTTTCAAGGTGTCCAAGACCAAACCTTCCACTGGTGAACAAGGGCAACATGTGTCCTGGGTGTCTTTCATAACCGCAAAAGGGTTAGAAGTCTCTGGTCTAAATGTACAAAGTAATTCAGCAATACTCAAGATGTTCCAAGATCCCTTTGATAGGGACTCCTCAAGGAGCTTACTTTAAAATATATCAGGGAGAGTCATACAGTGGAAAGAGTATGGAGTCAAGGGACCTGGGTTCAAATTCTGAGTCTGACATAATCTGTGTGACCTTAAGTCACTTAACCTCCCTGGGCCTGTTTCCTCATCTGTAAAATGAGGGCTTTGGACTAGACCCCAGTTACTTTCTGGCTCTAGTTTTGTGATTCCATGATGCAATGCACACGTTTGATGTTTCATGTGGGTTTGCGGGGACGGTGGAGATGCTTATTTACAAGTGAGGCAGACAGCAACCCCTCAGCCTGGCCCTCAAGGCCCTCCACAGCCTGGCTCCCACCTGCCTTACCAGGCTTACTACTCCCCTTCACACACCCTTTCCCAGTCCAACTGGCCAGCTGGATGTTCAATGTAAATGACTATCAAATTTCCCACCTCTGCAGCTTTGTTCAAACGGTCTGGAATGCCTTTCTTCCTCCCTTCTGCTGCACAGAAACCCGAGCTTCCCTCTCAGCACAGCCCAGGTGCCATTCTCTACACATGCACAACCAATCCTGATTCTCCCCACCCTACTAAGCTATTAGCCCTCACTCTCTCTCCCTGGAAATTATTATTATTGATAATAATAAAAATAACTAGCATTTATGTAAAGCCTATTATGTTCCACATACTATGCTAAGCACTTTACAATTATTATCTGATTTGATTCCCACCACACCCCTGAGAAATAGGGGCTATTATGGTCCCCATTTTACAGGTGAGAAAATTGAGACAAACAGAGGTTAAGTGAATTGCCCAAAGTTACTCATCTGGTAAGTGTCTGAGGCTGGATTTGAGCTCTGGTCTTCCCAACTCCAGACCCAGCACTCTGGCCACTGAACTGCCTCTAATTTATCTTGAATTACTTTGTTTTGCTTTGGGAACAAAGTTGCAGAGGCAACCTTACCTTCTTTCTGCATTTTGCGCTCATTAACCTGGGCACATATGACACCGTTTCCCTCCCGAAGGGAGTGCAAGCTGCCTGAATGCCCAGGACCTAGCTCCCTTCATGTAGCAGCAGTTAATAAACGTGTGTTGAATCTAATGGCGTTGAATCATGGATCTGGGTTCAGAATTCCCACTTCTGGCTCAGATCTTTGCTACCTGTGTGACCCTGGGACAGCCAAGGGTTTTTGTGGCATCTCTAAGGGCAGGGGGTTGTGCTGCGTGACCTCGGGAGGCCCTCCCAAGTCTCATTTCTGAGAGTAGCTCTTCTGAGGGGACTGGCTTTCCTCCTCTGCGGCAGGGGAACAGTGCCCCCCGGGAGCCCTAACCCTCCCCTTGGGGTTTTGCTGCCTGCTCGGGGGCTGAGCCAGCCTCTCTCCAGTGGCGATGACTTTCTGCTGGCTGTCATAATGCAGACTTTGAGGTTCTGGGGAACTAAGCCCTAATCTGATTACTGCTCACCCTGCTCCCAGCGGCCACTGCAAATTGTTCACCAGGCAAATTGCAGTCCCTGGCATTTGACCCGCTGACGTTTTTGGCAGCAGCCTTCCAAACACACCACAAAGGCCGCACAGTGTGCTAGCCTGTGAGAGGGGTCTCTGGGTATCTTCTGCCAGCCCCTGGAAGCTTTTAAAAGGCCTTGTTCTGTGGGCATGGGGGAGATGGCAGCACATTTTTGTCAGACCTCGGCTTTGAGCCCTGCAAAGAAAGTTGGCATGGCCAGCGGGCAGGAGAACAAAGCCTCCAGCTTGTAGGCCAGAGGCTGTCAAAGCACATTGGGCCGATGGGCCAGGGAGCTCTGCATCTCCAGAAGGCGGATGGGAGGAGGGGCGTCTCTCAGTGCCCCATTAGCTCTTCACCCTGACGGGATAATTAAAGTGAAGCCTGTGTGCTGACGCCCCCTTCCCAACTGTAGCGGCTGATAGAGCAGAGAAGGGTAAGCTTGTCATGAGAGGGATGAGGGAATCTGAGAGCAGTGATTCCAAACTCAAGAGAGCTCAGGATTATCTGTTACCTCCTAGCTGGCTGACCTTGGCCAAGTCCCTTGGGTGCTCTCGGACTTCAAATTTCCCTGTTGGTGAAGTGGGAGGGAGGGAGCCGCATCATCTTCTATGGTCATTCCAAGCGTTCTACATTCCAAGATTCCCCACAGCTCTGACATTCTATGTTCTAAGGTCCCTCTCAGTTCTAACGGCCTTGGTTTCAGGTCCCTCCTCACTTTAGTGTGCTGTGTTCTAAAGTCCCATTCAAAGGCAGCATTCTGTGTTCTAAGGTCCTTCCCAGGTCTGACACTGAGCTTTCTTGTTCATTCCATGGCCCTTTCCAGTTGCAACATGTGCTAAACTTGATAGCCTTTAGATCGTGTAATGGCTAGAAGGTGGCATTGCCATCCAGCTGATTTGGGCTGGAGGCCGTCTTCAGACCCAGACCACCCGGGTGAGGCTGGTTTTCCTTTCTTCACATTCTCCGTTTCTTAGCATGGTGCCTGGCACATGGAGAGCATTGGATAAATGCTTGTTGACTTGACCGGGGACAAATCACTTCACTCCTCTATGCTCCACTTTCCTCATCCATAAAATAGACATAGCTAACCCCTAAGGTTCCTATGATCCTATGTTCTCACCTCTTGTATTCCATTCCCTAAGTCTTCTAACACAGCCATGCTATATTCCATTTTTGACACTCCAGTCCCTAGGCTTCCTCCCAGCTTAACATCCTTTGTATTAAGAGCCCTTCAGTATCTGACATTCTGTATTTTAATGTCCCTTCACCCCTCTTAATTCTAGCGCCTTCCCTCTATTAACTCTCTCCCATTTATCCTTGTTTGTAATACTTGTGTGCTTGTGTCTTTCCCATTCGATTGTGAGCTCCCTGAGGGTGGGAACCATCTTTTGTCTCTTTGTATCCCTAGAGCTTAAAATGGTGCCTGGAACATATAGGGGCTTATGAATAAATGCTTAGTGGCTGGCTGACTGATTCTCAGATCTTATTTTCTATATTTTTTTTAGTTGCTCCAAGCTATGAGTTTCTATGTGCTAAGGTACCTCCCAGCTCAGATATTCTGTGCTTTTTCCCCATTCTTTCCCCCTAACCTGCCCACTGCCACAGCCCCAGCTCTGATGGTCTGTGTTCTATGTGCTAAGGTCCCTTCCATCACCAACATTTTTTGCTTTCCTGAACTCATGCACTCTCCAGCTTGTGACTGTAGGGACTGCATTATTACAAAGAACAGTTAATTCTGCAAAGTTGACCCCCAAGGGGGTGGGAGTGCACAAGGGTTAAAGAAATAAGATGACCATCCTTGGTGGGAGAGCGAGTGGGTGTGACCACATTTATGTTTGTGGAAGTTCCCAGGGGGACCAGGTCTGGATCAGGTTGTACTCCAGAGTCATTCTTTCCTCACCTCTTCCCTTCCCTGTTGTTCTGTTTCTCAGGATTGCTATGGAAACCTACATCCGACAGAGGCAACTTATCATGTCACCCCTGATAACCTCCCACGTGATCGGGGAGAATGAGCCCCTCACGTCGGTCCTAAATAAAGTGATCGGAGCCAAGGAAGTGAATCATAAAGGACAAGGTACTGAAGTGAGGGAGACCAGGCAGGGTGGGGTGCAGAGAGGATCCGGAGAAGGAGATGATGTTTTCAGAGCTGGACCCTTAGAATCCTCCCTATTTAATATGTTGACTTTTTTTGTCAAAATGTAAGCTATGCTGAGCAGTGACTATCTATGTCTTAGCAACCGCCCAGTGGAAAAATGAGATTCCATTTGTAGTTTAAAAAAAAAAAACAGAAAAAAATTAAAAAAAAAAACAAGAAAAAACAAAACAGGAATAAACTCAAAACTTTTTTCTTAGAACCCCTTCATACTCTTAAAAATTATTGAGGACCCCAAAGACCTTTTATTTATGTGGTTTGTAGCTATTGATATTTACCAGATTAGAAATTAAAAATCTTAGTTTAATCATTAAAATCATTTTAACCTCATCAACCTAATGAACAGGTCTTGGGGACCCTCAGGAGTACCCTTGGAAAACCACTGAACTAGTGACTTACTTCTTCAGGCCACTATATTGAGGAAATCAGGCTAGTAACTCCTCATTCTGTAGGTGAGAAGACTTGCCCAGGGTCATACAAGAAATCCACATAAAAAATTAGGAAATGGATTTATAGATAATCACATCTCAGTGACTGGATTTCCACCATGCTCGTCCTCTTCCTGGTTGGAAATGACCCTGGCTTCTTGAAGAGCATGCCATTGGCTCCCATACTCGAGGAGTTCCTACTGAACTAGAAAGGAACCTGTCTATGTGTTGTCCAAAGCGCAATGTAGCTAAGCTTGGAGAGGTTCATTACCAGACTGGCCACACAGTGCCACATTTTTTGGCCACTACAGCTCTCAAAAGCTATATCTCAAATACCTGAGGGACAGTGTGGTAGATAGGGCACTTGTACATGGAATCAGGAAGACCAAGGTTCAAATCCCACCTTAGATACTTATTAGTTATATAACCCTGGACAAGACTCTTCCAAAAAAAAAAAATCTGTGCCTCAGTTTCTTCATATGTAAGATATAAGAGTTAAACTAAATGTTCGTGGTTCTATGAGCCTTTTGAAAGATAAGTTGTGACTTATAACAACAGGGATTGTACACAACCTGACAAAATTACCTATCCTGGAATTACTGGGATATATGCCAGCACCTCCAAAGACATTGTTCCCATTCTGTTTCCAAAAGCTGAGAGAAGTGGGGCCAGGCCCCCACTTCTTATGCTCAAAATGAGGACAAGCATAAGCTAATGAATTGGTCTTTTACTTTAAAGTTTACAATACAATTAGCTTCCCAAACATAAAAAGGGAGAGGCAGAGTTAAACAGCAGTTGTTTTGAAAAAGATCTGGGGGTTTCAGTGAACCATGAGTTTAATGTAACTCAGCAGGGTGATAAGCAGTCCAAAAAAGTTAACGTAATCATTTTACAGATGAAGAAACTGAGGTCCAGTGACTTCCTTTATATCACATAAGTAATGTCTCATAAAGGATTTTAACCCACATCTTTCTGACTCCAAGTCCAACACTGTCCACCATGTTTGACCACACGAACTCATGGAGAGGCAACTGGGGCTTCGCTCCAGAATTTAGAGCCCTTAGAATACCTACAACAGGTTGGAACTACTGAATACGTAGTTAGCAAGTATCACTTAGAATTCAAATAGGAATCTTCCTTAACTCTTGGTGAGCTCATCCTCTATCCAGCCCAGCCCTGCTCCCTTTGCTGGATGCATCCTTCCAAAAAGCAACCTCTGGAGATGTACTCTACCCACAAAGACTCAGTAGCTCAGGGTCTTTGGTTTCACTGTCCAAATATTGTGTCCCAAGTAGATTTCTTCCCAGGGTCTCCTTCTACCTCCAACTAGACTTTATGGGGTTCATTTAAGGCAGCCAAGATGACAGAGTAGAGAAAGCACTCAGTTGAACTCTCCCAACATTCCTCTCCAAGCAAATTTAAAATAATGCCTCAAATTGAATTCTGGAGTTGCAGAGCCAATAAACGGTTAGAATGAGACATTCTTCCAGCCCAAGACAACATAGGAGGTCCAAAAGAGAGATCTGTAACATGGGGAAGGAGGGTGGTCCAGAGCCCACATGGGGTTAAGTGGTGGTGACAGAAGGAGAAGCAGCTTTAGGAGCTCTCAAGACAGAGATTGTAAGGGGACCATGCCATTGGTGAGGTACCCCTGTGCTAGCACTGAATGCAGGACCAGACATTGCTTGGCAACTCTATTGACTATACCTACTTCTGGGTCAGAGTTCAAGGGCAGAAAGGGTCACTTTTTGTCAAAAGGGAGTGGAAGCCCTGAGGGGCATTATCACTTCTGAGCCCAAGGAAGGAGAGGTCCTGAGGAGTACTATTAATTGCTGTCTCAAGGGATCAGGGACCCTTCCTGGGTAACGAAAAAGAGATATAAAAATTCACTGATGAAAATCACTCTTTAAAAAGCAGAATTGGCCAAGTGGAAAAAAAGGTAAAAAAGCTCACCAAAGAAAATAATTCCTTAAAAATTGGAATTGGGCAAATGGAAGCTCATAACTTTGTGAGACATCAAGAAATAATAAAACAAAGTCAAAAGAATGAAAAAAGAAAATGTGAAATATCTCATAGGAAAAATAACTGACCTGGAAAATAGAGCAAGGAGAGATGATTAAAGAAAGAGTCTAGACATAATATTTCAAGAAATTATCAAAGAAAACTGCCCTGATATCTAAGAATCATAGGGTAAAACAGAAATTGAGAGAATCCACCAATCGCCATCTGAAAGAGATCCCAAAATGAAAACTCCCAGGAATATTATAGCTAAATTCCAGAGCTCCTAGGTCAGAGAAAAAATACTTCAAGAGCCAGAAAGAAACCATTCAAATACCATGGAACCATAGTAAGGATCACACAAGATTTAGCAGCTACCACGTTAAAGGAGCAGAGGAACTGAAATATGATATTCCAAAAGGCAAAAGATTTGGGATTACAACCAAGAATAACCTACCCAGAAAAACTGAATATAATTCTTCAAGGGGAAAAAAATGGATATTTAATGAAATAGAGGACTTTTAAGCATTCCTGATGAAAAGACCAGAGCTAAATAGAAAATTTGATTTTCAAGCACAGAACTCAAGAGAAGCATAAAAAGCTAAACATAAAGGAAATCATAAAGGATTCAACAAGGTTAGACTATTTACCTTTTTATATGGAAAGATGATACATGTTTCTCTTAAGAACTTTGTCATTATTTGGGGAGTTAGAAGGATTTTACATAGAAAGTGAGTGTGGGAGTAAGTAATTTTATTGGGATGATGTTAAAAAAAATGCAGTAGATGAGAAAGAGTGGTGCCCTGGGAAAAGGGGGAAGGAAGAAGAAGAATGAGGGAAATTATCTCACATAGAAGAGGAATATAAGGGAGAACTTTCTTAGTGGAGTAGAAAATGGGGGTGGATGTAGGCAACACTTGAACTTCACCCACATCTAACCTGGTTTGAAGAGGAAAAATGTATACTTACTTAATTTGCAGTAGAAATCTATCTTACCCAACAGGGAAGTAAGAAGGGGAAAGGATAAGAAAAGACTGGGAGGTGATGAAAGGGAAGGTGGATAAAAGAAGCAAAACCAACTCTAGAGGAGGGACAGGATAAAAAAAAGGAGAAGGATAAACAGAGTAAGATAGGGTAGAGAGAAATGGGTAATTAGTAATCATAACTATAAATGTGAATGGGATGAACTCACCCATAAAATGGCAGTAGATGGCAGAATGGATTAGAAATAATATGTTGTTTGCAAGAAACACACTTGAAATAAAGAGATGCACATAGTTAAAATAAGAAGCTGGAGCAGAATTTATTATGCTTCTGTTGAGTAACAATCATGATCTCAGATAAAGCAAAAGCAAAAATAGACCTAACTAAAAGGAATAAGCAAGGAAAAAGCATCTTGCTAAAAGAAAACCATACACAATGAAGCAATATTAATTCTAAACATGTATGCATCAAATGGCATAGTGTCCAAATTCTTAAAGAAGTATTTAAATGAATTACAAGAGGAAATAAATGACAATCATCCTCTCAGAGGACTTCAACTTTCCCCTCTCAGAGCTAGATAAATCTAACCGTAAAATAAGTGAGAAAGAAGTTAAAGAGATAAATAGAACCTTACAAAAACTAGATGTGGTAGACTGGAGAAAACTGTATGGAAATAGAAAAGATTATACCTTTTTTGCAGCTGTACATGGCACCTTCACAAAAATTTATCACTTATTAGGGCATAAAAACCTCACAAACAAATGAAGAAAAGCAGAAATATTAAATGCACCTTTTTCAGGTCATAATACAATAAAATTACATTCAATAAAGGGCCATGGAAGCGCAAATATAAAGCTAATTAAAAACTAATCTAATCCTAAAGAATGAGTGCATCAAAGAACAAATCATAGGAAAAATGAATAATTTTATTAAAGAGAATAACAACAATGAGACAACATTCCAGAATTTGTGGGATGCAGCCAAAGCAGTATGTAGGGGAAAATTTATACCTTTAAATCAATAAAACAGAGAAAGAGTAGATCAATAAATTGGCATAAAACAATAACAACAAAAAAACCTAGAAAAAGATCAAATGAAAATCCTCAATTAAACACCAGAATGTAAATCCTAAAAGTTAAAAGAAAGATTAATAAAAATGTAAAGTTCAAAAAAATTAAATTATAAATAAATAAAATAGATACATAAAACTAGGAGCTGCTTGTATTTAAAAATAAATAATAAGATAGATAAACCATTGCTTAATTTGATTTAAAAAAGAAAGAAAACCAAATTACTGGTATCAAAAATGAAAGGCTGAATGCAACACCAATGAAGATGAAATTAAGCAATTAGGAGTTATTTTGTTCAATTACATGCCAATAAAACTGACAATCTAAGTGAACTGGATGAATATTTCTTTTAAAAGTATTTAAAATTTATGCATTTATAAAAATTTTTTTAAAAGCTCAGATGAACAGAAGAGGATAATAGAATACTTAAATAACCCTGTCTTAGAAAAGAAAATTGATCAAGCTATCAATGAGCTCCCTAAGAAAAAAAAAAATCCCCAGGACCAGATGGCTTTATAAGTAAATTTTATCAAGCACTTAAGGAACAATTAATTCTAATACTATACAAACTATTTAAAAAATAGATAAAGAAGGAATCCTGCCAAATTCCTTATATGACACAAATATAGTTTTGATACCTAAACCAGGTAGACCAAAAAACAGTGAAAGAAAACTATAGATTAATTTCCTTAATAAATATTGATGCAAAAATTTTAAATAAATTCTAGCAAGGAGATTATAGCAATGTATCACAAAGATCATACACCATGACCAGGTAGGATTTATTCCAGGAATGCAGGGCTGGTTGAATATTAGGAAAACTATCAGCATAATTGACAACATCAATAACAGTAACAAAAATCTAATGATTTTATCAATAGATGCAAAAAAAGCCTTTGAAGAAATACAACACTCATTCCTATTAAGCCCTAGAAAGCACAGGAATCAATGGAGCCTTTCTTAAAATGATAAGTAGTCTGCATCTAAAATCAAAAACAAGAATTATTTGTAATGGAGGTAAACCTGAAGCCTTCCCGGTAAAATCAGAAGTAAAACGAGGATGTCCATTATCACTGTTATTATTCAATATTGTATTAGAAATGCTGTCTATAACAATATGACAAGAAAAAGCCATTGTGGGAATAAAAATAAATAACTAAGAAATAAAACTATTATTCTTTGCAGATAATATGATGGCATACTTGGAGAACCCTAGAGAAGTAACTAAAAAACTAGGTGAAACAATTAGCAGCTTCAGCAAAGTTGCAGGATATACAATAAATCCACATAAATTATCAGCATTTCTATATACTACCAACAAAGCCCGACAGGACGGAATAGAATAAGAGAAATTCCATTTAAAATAATTGCAGACAATGAAAAATAATTGGGAATCTACCTGCTAAGACTGGATTCTTTGAACACAATTAGAAAACACTTTTCACACAAATAAAGACAGATTTAAAGAACTGGAGAAATATTATTCATGAGTAGACCAAGCTAATATAATGAAAATGGCAATCCTACCTAAATTAGTATACTTATTCAGTGCGATGCCAGTCAAACTACCAAAGAACTGTTTCATAGAACTAAAAAAAAAAAAAGCAACAAAATTTGTCTAGAAGAACAAAGGATCAAGAATCAAGGGAATTGGACAGCTAGGTGGCAAAGTGGATAGAGCACCTGCCCTGGATTCAGGAGGACCTGAGTTCAAATCCGGCGTCAGACACATAACACTTACTAGCTGTATGACCCTGGGCAAGTCACTTAACCCCGTTGCCTCGCCATTAAAAAAAATAATAATTAAGGGAATCAGTGAAAAAAAAATGTTAAGGAAAGCAACCTAGCAGTCCCAGATTTCAGTTGTTCAGTTGTTTTTCAGTCATGTTCAACTCTTTATGACTCCAGTTGGGGTTTTCTTGACAAAAATGTCAGAGTAATTTGCCATTCCCTTCTCCAGCTCATTTTACAGATGAGAAAACTGAGGCAAACAGGGTTAAGTAACTTGCCCAGGTCACACAGCTAGTAAGTGTCTAAGGCCAGATTGGAACTCAGGTCTCCCCAACTCCAGTCCTGATGTTCTATTCACTGTACCACCTAGCTGCCCTACCATATTACCAAGCAGTAATCATCAAAACGATCTGGTACTGGCTAAGAAATAGAGTGGTGTATCAGCGGAATAGATTAAAAGTATACAATACTCAGTAGTAAATGACCACAGTAATCTAGTGTTTGATAAACCCAAAGATCCAAACTTTGGGGGTAAGAACTCACTATTTGACAAAAATAGCTGGGAAAAGAGGAAAGCAGGGGCAGCTAGGTGGTGCAGTGGATAGAGCACTGGCCCTGGAGTCAGGAGGACCTGAGTTCAAATGTGGCCTCAGACACATAACACTTACTAGCTGTGTGACTCTGGGCAAGTCACTTAACCCCAATTGCTTCACACACAGAAAAAGAGGAAAGCAGATTGGCAGAAACTAGTCATAGACCAACATCTCCCAACATATACCAAGATAAGGTCAAAATGGACAAATGATTTAGACATAAAGAGTAATATCATAAGCAAATTAGCAGAACATGGAGAAAAGTCCCTGTCAGACCTATGGATAAAGGAAGAGGTGTGACCAAATAAGAAATAGAATTATGAGAAATAAAGTAGAGATTTTTATTATATGAAATTAAAACGAAACCAATGCAGCCAGAATTAAAAGGAAAATGGGAAACTGGATATTACAGCAAATCTCTCTGATAAAGGCCTGATTTCCCAAATATATATATGGAGCTGAGCCAAATTTATTTTTAAAAATGAGAGCCATTCTCTAGCTGATAAATGATCAAAGGATATGAGCAAGTAGTTTTCAGAAGAAGAAATCAAAGCTATCAACAGTCACATGAAAAAATGTGATTAGCGAAATGTAAATTAAAATAATTATGAGATATCAGCTCATATCTGTCAGATTGGATAACATGACAGAAAAGGAAAATGACATATTCTAGAGGAGATAAGGAAAAATTGGGACACTAATGCACTATTGGTGAAATGACCCACCCTTCTGGAGAGCAATTTTGAGCTATGCCCACAGGGCTATAAAATTGTGCATACCCTTTAACCCAGCAAAATCATTATTAGATCTGTATCCCAAAGAAATAAAAGGAAAAGGACCTATTTGTACAAGAATATGTATAGTAGCACTTTTTTGTGGTGGCAAAGAATTAGAAATCAAAGGGATGTCCATTAATTGGAGAATGGCTATATTGTGATATATGATTGTGATGGAATACTATTGTGTTATAAAAAAAATAATGAACAGGATGGTTTCAGAAAAACTTGGGAAGACAAATAAGCTCATGCAAAGCAAAGTGGAGCAGAACCAGGAGATCATTGTACACAATAACAGCAATATTTTTCTAGTGATCAACTCTGAAAGGCTTAGGACTTCTAATCAAGTTAAGTATCCAAGATAATTACATAGGATCCATGATGAAAAATGTTATCCATCTCCAGGGAGAGAAATGCTGAACGTTGAATACAGATTGAAGAGTACTTTTTTTTTAAACTTTATTTTTATCATTGTATTTTGTTTGTTTTCTTTTGCAACGTGACTAGTATGGAAATATGTTTTGTGACTTCACATGCATAATCAATATCAAATTATTTGCCTTCTCAGGGAGGGTGATAATTCAGAACTCCAAATTTAAAAAAAAAAAGATTCTTCCAAAAAAATTACATACAATGGGGAAATATTTAATGACATAAATAAAAATAATTTTTAAAAAATAAGCCAGGAAAAAAAGTTTATTTTAGGGAAAACTTCCATGCTTACCCTAGGCACAAAGAATGCAAATTACAACTCTGCCTAGCTATTTCAGTTCCAGTTTAGTAGTTATTCACCATGGCCCTGAGTGAGAAGGAAATATGTTGGCTTGAAATTTTAAGAAGTGATGTTATAAAAAAAATCAAAAGAAAGGTAAAACCCATTGATTTGAAGTTTACAACAAAATCATATAGGTATTCAAATGAAGAACACTTTGTCTTTGTCAATTTGTATTACTATTTCTTTGGGGGGGTAGAACAAAGCTTGTTGAAAAAATGAGTCATTGGTGAGAGTTTTTAATTTGTACTAAAAACCAATCCAGTTATTTCATAAGATTATCATTCTGATGACTGAAGGTAGTTTGTTTCCTCCAGGAAGATAGAGATCTGATTGATTTAGATAAATTTATTGTTTTTAGACTGAGTGCTTGTATCATTAAGATCAGGAAAGGAGCTCAGAGACCATTTAGTCCAATCTTCTTTGACATATTAGCAATTGAGGTCCATGGAGATTCAGTGACTTGTCCAAAGTCATACAGGTAGGAATTAGCAGAAGTAGAGCTCAAACACAGGTCTTCTGAGTCCAAACCCAATACTCTTCACCTTTTGTCCCAGTCTACCTGTCCAGATGCCATTGTTTCAAATTCAGCCCTTTCTGGTGCCTTCATTTTGTTCAATCCTTTCCTGCTAGGTCTTTGGGTTTCTCTGAAGCTACTCCCTGGTGACCTCACACAAGTACAGAAAGATTTCTCACACTTGGTTGACAGGACCACAGCCATTGCCCGAAAAATGGGTTTCCCTGAAATCATCCTTCCAGGTAAGCTCAGCCTCAACAATGACTCCATTTCCAGCATTAGTTGAATTAATTTTATGAAGTCACAGGAATGCTAGCTAGAAGTACTGAAATTCCTTTATGTTCATATGACTATTCCCCATCAGGACATTGGAAGACCTAAAATAACCCCCAAACATTCAGGTTTCTTAGAGGCCAGGACTTTCAGGCTCTAAAAGTCTGTCTTTGACCATCCCCCTATTAAATTTGGACAAAATCTTTTAGTGATCTATGTCCTAGAATTTCCATTCCAATGACTTCTCCCTTGCTATGTGCAATATGTTTCTTTCTGTTCAAATATATTCCCAGCTATCTAGAAGGAGTGGTTGTGTTACCACATCATAAGGTTCAGAAGAGATTTGATAGATATCTCCAAACATTGCCAGCTGTGGCTCTAGAAATGTTAGCCATAGCATTAAAGCCAGACAAAGTACTGCTTTCTGATGTCATGATGACTCGCTTAAAAAGTCCTGGGGAATCAGGGGGAAAAAAAAAACATCGATTCAATAGCTTCAGTAAAGTTGCAAACTATAAAATAATCCTATAAAATTGACAGCATTTCCAGAAAGCAATAATAATAATTATTATAATAATAATAAACAGGTAATAATAATCAAAAGAGAAGTCCCGTTCAAAATAGCTGTAAAATGCATAAAATATCTGGGACTCATTCTACCAAAGTACACAAGATACCTGTATAAATGTAATTACAAAATACTCCTTAAGGAAATAAAACAACTTAAGAACTAATGAGATATATTTAGCGCTCATGGCTGGGCCATGCCAACCTAATAAGCAGACAAAAGTACCAAGATTACTTTACAGAGTTAGAGTAATGCCAGTCAAATAGCCCTGCAAATAATTTGAAAAAATAGTAACAATTGGAGCAGCTAGGTGACGCAGTGGATAGAGCACCGGCCCTGAAGTCAGGAGGACCTGAGTTCAAATGTGACCTCCAATGGAACACTTGGCACTTACTAGCTGTGTGACCCTGGGCAAGTCACTTAATCCCAATTGCCTAAAAAAAAAAATAGTAACAATTTATTTGGAAGAATAAAAAATCTGGGATTCCAAAGGTAACAAGAACAATAAAGTAGAAATGAAAGAGGCATGGTACTTCCATACCTGAAACTCTAATAGAAATTCATAATCATCAAGATTATTTGTCACTGGTTTAAAAACAAAATTAGTGAAGTAGATCAATGAGTTAGACTTGGCAAGGAAGAATTAAAAATCCAATGTACAATAAACCTTGAGCCATAAATTGTCTAGAAAAGAGAAATTCAACAGAGATTAGTTTAGTCTCAGTCTGCACAAGCTGAGAGGGCAGGGCTAGGCTCAGTGAGTATGGGTTTCAGAAATACACACTTAGGCTTGATATTGGGAAGAAAGCTTTCTGAGAATTATAGGTGTCCAAAAATAGAATGGGCTGTCTTGTTTGAGTTCTTAAAGGCAAGACTGGATAACTTATTGAACACGTGGCAAATGAGATTTATTCAGGGAGCATGGGTTGAACTATATAGCAATTGAGGTCCTTCCAACTATCATTCTGTGAATTGCTTATTTTTATGATGGAAAATAGTCCTTTTTTCTCTAGGAAGATACAGACCTGATATGGGTCTGATTGAATTAGACAGCTTTACTGTCTTTGGGCAGACTGAACACTGCTGAATATATAAGAGGCGGAGGATCCTAAAATGTCTTCTGATTTATCTCCCCATCTCCAGGCTGGGTGGCCTCTGAAAGAGTGGATGATTCTAGAAAGGTGCTTGTCCAATCATGTTAATATGCTTTCCCCTAGACCACCACTCCAGCTATTTCTGTTTAAATTCAAAGATGCCCATTCTCAACTGTCTCCAGACTTCAGCATCTCACTCCAGTCTGGGTGGTGGTGAATATCAGCATGCCAACCACAGAAGGAATTCTGCCTCCCAAAAACTTGGTCTGATTTCCAAAACACACAAGAGAGAATTCCTCTGGAGATGGCTGAAAATTGAATCAAGCTGCTTTAGCCTGAAATAAAATACTCTATGGGCTTTCAGCAGCAAGGCTTACTGGGGAGAATAAAGTAACTCTAGCATCATACCAAGATGAGATGCAAACACCACCCGGGGTTCAAGGCAGTGTAAAAAAAAGATCGTCTCTTATAATGGCAACTAAATGTGCTGCACGTCTTAAATCAGCCAAAGACTATTAATAAAGTAGAAGCAGACAAATGATTCTGATTTGTGGGTCAATCAACCAGCAAATAATTATTAAATGTGTGCTAGGTTTTTTGTAAGTATGTGGGATAAAAAGACAAAAAGGTCCCTGCCCTCAGTTTCTTCCTCTATAAAAAGAAGGGCTTAGACATACAGCTTCTAAGTTCTCTTCCCCCTCTGATGCTGTGGGCCTCACTCCTCATTTCCATGTTGCAGGTGATGTTAGGAATGACATCTATGTCACCCTGATCCATGGAGAGTTTGACAAAGGGAAAAAGAAGACACCAAAGAATGTCGAGGTGACCATGTCCGTGTATGATGAGGACGGCACATTGCTTGAGGTATGCTGTTCTTCACGGGGATGCACCTACCTACTGCAGGGCTTCTGATTAGTGATGAGTCCACATCGAGCAAGAGCAAAAATAAAAGCCTTCCTAATGATTGAATGTTCAGCTGTGTCTGACTCTTCGTGACCCTATTTGGGATTTTTCTTGGCAAACAGCCTGGAGTGGTTTGCCATTCCCTCCTCATTTTACAGATGAGGAGCCTGAGGCAAACAGGGTTTAGTGACTTGCCCAGGCTCACCCAGCTAGTAAGTATCTAAGGCCAAACTTGAATTCCAGTCTTCCTGGCTCCAAGTCCAGTGCTCTATCCACTGCACCACCTGGCTGCCCTAACAATTAAAGGCGTCCAAAGAATCATAGCAGTATAGGATAGGTCTAGAACTGGAAAGTTCCATCAAGGCCTGCAAGTCTGAATGGCCTCATTCTGAGGTGGACATTGACAAGCTGTGGGAACACTACCTACTCACAGGTTTAGAGCTGGAGAAGATCTCAAAGCATTTTTAGTCCCACCCCATCATTTTACAGATGAGGAAACTGAGGCCCACCAAATTCAATGTTCTTTTCCCTACGACTCACTGCCATAGGAAAAAGTGGGTTTCCCCCATTGTAGGTCCTCAGTCCGGTAAATACTGGAAGGACTCTTGTCTGCTCTATTGTGGTCAGGATTCTTTCTCAGGTATAACTTGGTCTAGGTGGTCACTGACGTCTCCTCCAATTGTGAAAATGCTGTGATTTTGTGATGTTATCCCAGTTTGGCCATAGCACAGAACAAATGGAAAGGAATAATTCAGAAGAGTTCTGGAAAGGTAGGTAGGAGCCAACTTTATCCTGGGGGCAGCAGGGAGCCATTAAAGGTTTTTTAATAGGGAGCTGCTATGATCATATCTCTACTTTTGGAGTGGAGTGGAGAGGGAAGAGGCTGGAGGCAGGGAGATGATTTAGGAGGGTATTGTGATAGAGTCGGTGAAAACTGTAGGCAAGTCACTTAATCTCTGTTTGCTTCAGTTTCCTCATCTGTAAAATGGGAATAATAATGGTACCTATCTCCAGGGCTGTGGTGAGAATTGAAGGCAAAAATAGCTGTAAAAAGCGCTTAACACAGTGCCTGGCATGTTATAGAAATCGTTATTGTCGTAGTTATTTCTTAAGTAAGAGTCTGTTAGGTCTTTCTAATTGTCGCCTCCAATGCCGAGGTTCCTGGCTTCATGACAGTGTCTGCAATAACACTGAAAGGAGTATCGTTTCTTCTCAGAACCGTGGCCAAGACTCCTCTCACATATCCCAAGACAGCATAATTTCATGTTTCAACTTGAATTGGACATTTTCAAGCTAATGGATCATTTTCAAACATGTCAAATTCCTCAAGTCCTTGAGGGCAGATAATTGGGAACATATTTTTTTTTTTGCTTTTTTTAAATGGCAAATAACATTTTCGACACTTGGATTCCCTTGAGCAAACAGAACCAAAGGTGTTCTTCACTCATCTAACTTCAGAGCTGGAAGGAAACAGATCCTCTCATTTTATAGATGAAGAACCTAAGATTCAGAAGTTAAGTGACTTACCCAAGGTCACACAAGGCCTTGGGAAATCAAAGTCTTCTGACTGTTTATCAATACCATGTCTCTCTTACAATATGTCTCCCATGATACAAAAATCATAATAATGGCAATAATAACAGACATATATAGCACTTTGTTTTTTTATTTCATTTAAGCCTCACAAGTCTGTAAAGTGGGTTCTCTCTAATAAGCATTAAGTGCCTACTATGTGCTAGGCACTGTACTGTGAACTGAGAATACAAAGCCAAAACAGGTACTCCCTCCAGGAGTTTACATTCTGTTGGTGGGGAGAGACAGCATGTAGGTAAAAAAAAGTGAAATGTAAAATATATGGAAAGTGATTTCCTAGGGTAGGAGGTACTAGCAGCTGGAGGGATCAGACAAGGCTTGCTATAGGAGATGGCATCTGAGCTGCAGTTCTGAAGAAAGCTAGGAATTCTATAAAGTGAAGAGAAGGGAGCCCAGTTCAAGCAGAAGGGCCAGCTTGTGCCGGGACATGGGAATGGCAGCTGCAAAGTCATGTGTGACTAAGAGACAGAAGGCCTGGATGTCAGTCAGATCCAATAAGCAACGAAAGGTAGCCTGAAGCCAGGTCGGGAAGGGCTTTAAATGCCAAGCCAAGGAGGTGACATTTTGAAGGAGCCGTTGGAGTTTCTTGAGCAAAGACCCAATGTCTTACACACTCTTTAGGAATATCTATTTGGAAGCTGAAGGAGGATGGATTGGAGTGGTCAGAGACTGAACGTAGGAAGACCAATGAGGGAGTGGTCTTTCAATAGGTCAAGAGAAGAATGACAAGGACCCATCCTAGCAGCAGTGGCTGTAGTATGAGTGAAGGCAAGGGATTGGATGTGAGAGATGCCCTCGAGAGAAAAATGGCAAGATTTGGCAACTGATTAAATAGAGAGGTTGAGACAGAGTGAAGCATTGAGGATGAGAACCTGGGCTGACTAGTGCCCTCGGTGGTTTACAGAAGATAAATGATGAGCTGAGTTGTGGACCTGGTGTAGTTAGGATGTTTCTGGAGAATCCAGTTGGCGATAAAGCCAGCAGACTATTGGTACTCAGTGAGGAAGTGTAGTGGATAGAGTGTTAGACTAGGAGTTGGGAAGACCTGAGTTTGAATTCTTCCTGTATGACCCTGGGCAAGTCACTTAAACTATTTTAGCCTCAATTTCCTCATCTGTAAAACTGATATAATAATAGGTCCTACCTCCCCAGATTGTAGAGAGAAACAAATGAGATAATGTACATAACGCCCATTACAAACCGTTAACCATTACATAAATGTTCAGTAGTAGTAGTGATAATTATAATTAACTGTTACTAGTAGTAGTAATCTAGGTTACTAACCCTAACCCTAATCTAATCCCCAAACCACTTATTAAACTCCTGTTTTGTAACAGGCATTGTGCCAGGCTCTGGAGATACAGACATAACAAAAAAACCATCCCTACCTTCAAGGAGATTCCATTCTACTATAAATACTACCCCTATTTTATGGAAGAGGAAACTGAATCATAGGTGATGTGCCTAAATTCAGGGAAGAGAAGGACTCAGGATAGTCCAGACAAGAATCATATCCTCTTTCCCATGTGTCTGCATTTGATAAAATGAATTTAAAAAACTCATTTATTTAGCACCTACCATTTGCTAAATACTGGGGATACAAGTTCCCACACATACACACCCCAACACACCCTCTGGGAACTTACTTTCTAAGGGAAAAAAACAGTACACATAGGGCAGTGGAAGCCAGTGAAGGAAGCTTTAGCTTAGAAAGTTAAAGGGATGGTAATTTGGATGATAGGGAAGTAAATTGACACACCCCATCCAGGAACAATAGCAGAATTGACTTGATCTTGGTCCGTGGTTCCAAAACTGTGGGAATTGGAAGGGGTGGGGGTGAAAAGTAAAGAGTAACGAGCCTGTTTCTAAGGAAGTTGTGGAGGAAGTGGCCAGAGAGGAGAAAGTGAAGTGAAGCATGACTGGGTCATTCCTAAAATATTGTTTTGGGAGGAGTAGTCACTAATTTAGAGAAGCAAGCCCCAGGAAGGATGTTCAACCACTGTTGCTTTTCTGAGCACTTAAAAGTGAAAAGGAGAAAAGGACAAACTAGAAGGGTGGGGGGATGTGTAATTTATTTTTTTTATGCTGCCATATTTGGGTCTTTGTCGTTGCTGTTTACTTGTGTCCAACTCTCGGTGACCCCATTTGGGATTTTTTTGGCAAAGATACTGGAGTGGTTTGCCATTTTCTTCTCCAGCTCATTTTGACAGATGAGAAAACTGAGGAAAACAGGGGTAAGTCTCAGAAAAAGTGGTAGATTGGTGCCTTTGTCCCTTTCGCAGTCTTTCCTATCTCCAGCTGTTTGTGCAAAATGGTAGTGAAAGAGTATGGTGGCACATGGGTCAGGGAGCATATGACTGGTGGTAAATGGATGTGTCCTTACTGGATCTTTTATTCATTTTTATTCCTTTTTTTTTCTATTTCCAAAGAAAGCTATTCATCCAGGTGCTGGCTATGAAGGTATTTCGGAATACAAGTCTGTTGTCTATTACCAAGTCAAACAGCCCTGCTGGTATGAAACGGTCAAGGTGAGTGTGTAGACCTTGGTTAAAAGAAGCATTTCTGCCATTCAATTCAACAAGAATTTATTAAGTACCTTCTGTGTACTAGGTGCTGTGCTAGGTGCTAGAGATACTGAAAACATGAATGAAATAGTCCTTGCCCTGAAGAAGCTTACAGTCTATTGGGGAAAACAACATGTTCATAGATAAGTCAATACAAAATGTATACAAAGTGAAGGTGAGACAATTTCAATTGGGGATGTGTTGGAAATTAGGACAGTTTTGTAACGTGGTCAAAGTACCCTACTGGGCATTTCTTGTCCCACATAGGAAATTTACAAAGGATGGTTCCTGGCTCAGACAATGGCTGAAAAGCTACAGTCCAAACGGAAATGAAAGGGGCTCTTGGGAAGTACAATTTCAAGCCCTGACAGCCATTTCTTGCTATTTTCTGTCCTTGGTTTCTAATGAAATCCGCAGTTTTAACATCCCATTTTATTTCCCATTGTGGCCCAAACCTTGCTTGTTCTGTGCATTTGAATTTTTAAAATATCAATTAGGATTTTTTTTTTCATTTACCAAGAACTATATCATCATTGGGGATTTTTACAACAGGCCTGTTTGCTAGAGTGGTCAGACATTTTACAGGTGAGGAAACTGAGGTTGTCATAGGCTAGGTGACTTTTCCTTAGTCACATAGCTAGAGAGATGGAATTACCACTGGAAATCATGAAGACCTGAGTTTGAATCTTGGCTCTATTACTTATACTTCTATGATCTTAGACAAGTCATGCTTGCCTCTTTGAACCTCAGTTTCCTCATCTGTAAAATGAGGAGGTTGGACTAAAATGGCCTCTGATCTTTCTAGCTGTAAATCTATGATTCCATGATCCTAATTACTTGTTAGACATGTGACTCTGGACAAGTTGCAACATCTCTCTGACACTCAGTTTCCTCATCTGTAAAATAAAAGGGGTTGGACTTGAATGATAACTATGGTCTTTTCAAGCTCTAAAGCTCTGAAACTGATTCAGACACTTGGTAACTATGTGACCCTGAACAAGTCGTTGCCTCTTTCTGGGCCTCAGTTTCTTCAAGGTGTAAAATAGGTCATCGTCAGACAGTCCACCAGCATTTATGAAGCACCTTCTTTGTGTCAGGTATGATACAAAGAAAAGTCTCTCAAGGAACTGACAGTCTAGTGGAGGAGAGATCCGTTTCAAGGAGCAAGTGAAGCTCTATATTTAAGCGCTCTGTAATTGACAGTTGTTAGCACTAGCAACGTCATTATAAGGATCATTGTTAATCCACCGGTCAATAGATGTCCTCCATGAACCCTGGGCTTTTGACTCTCCCTGCCCCTCTCCCATCCTTAACATAGTTCTGTGTCATTCTCTTTCCTCACTTCTCTCCCAGTGATTCTCATCTCCCACACTCCTTCTGTTCTCTCTTCAGTTTCATCTTCTGGGAGCCCCTCTATGGACCACGGAAGCCCTGTCCTCATTCTTTTCCAACCCTTTCCTGGCTATAGATTCAAGCCTTGTCTTGAAGTCCACACTTTATTTTTCACCTGTTGTTTCCATAATGGTTCTCCTTTCATTAAACCCTGCCGCCATCCCCCCCCCCATTACAATAAAAGCTAAGGCTAAAAGAAAAAAAGAAGTTATAAAATCAATGGATGGGTGAGTGAATGAATAAGTACTGTGTGCTAAGGAGGCACTGAGAATACAAAGAAAAGTCCGACAGCTCAAGGAGCTCCCATTCCAACGGATGGAAGGGAGCCATAGCACATGTGGAAGGGTTCAGCTGCAAGTTGGATGGAGAGGTCTCAAGGTCCTCCAGCATGGAGGCACGAGCAAGTGGTCAGGCCTCTTCTTCAGTGTCATTTCTCCTCATAAAGTCAGAGTGTTTTCTGATGTAAGAGCAGTTGACAGCACCGAGGACTTTGGTGGCGAGAGCTTTCTTTTAGGGTCTTCAGGAGCTGTGACCAGGACCTGCAGAAGTAGTTGCAAGGTCACGTCTCCATGAGGGTTGGAAGTCAGGCCAGTGAACAGGGGACTACAGGGATCCCTGGGGGTCTTGCACTTACCTGTCCATTGGTGGCAATTGGTCAGCAGTTGATATTGGTGCCAGTGAGGAAGGGGGGCCCTTTTTCTTTTTTTTTGGTGAGGCAATTAGGGTTAAGTGATTTGCCCAGAGTCACATATCTAGTGAGTGTTATGTGTCTGAGGCTAGATTTGAACTCAGGTCCTCCTGACTCCAGGGCCAGTGGGGGTGGGGGTGAGGGGCTTTTTCTAATCAACTAGTACTTATTAGAGCCTACTATGTGCCATGCACTGTGTTAAGTTCTAAGGATAAAAGTAAGGCAAAAGCCTATCACTGCTCTCAAGGAACTCACAGTCTGATGAGAATCTGATTCTCCATGTTGGCTATGTGAACCAGACTGGAAGTAGAACTGGGTGGTCAGGGGAGTACTGCTATTCCCAAGGGTCCTGGGCTCTCTCCTTTGGGTCCAAGGGGAGGTGGTGTTCAAGGTGATGATTTGGCTTTTCATCTCTGCCCCAACTCCTTTTACTGTTAGATACACACTCTCACTGCATTGGTTGTATTGAAGGTTGAGTTTGAAAAGTCTTTAAATGGGGAAGAGACTTTGACTAGTTTTTCCTACCCAGTTCAATTTAGTGGAAAATGACATTTTCCATCAGCAACTCTGCTGCATTTGACTCTAAGGTGTACTAGGTGCTTTCCTCTGCCCCATCCCTCTTCCTCCACCCCCCAGGAAAAGCTGAACATATAAATTCTCATCACCATGCAGATGGACTCAGATTTTCATACACAACTGACCTTCAGTTGCCTGACTAGAGATTCTCTGACTAGAGATTCATTAAAGGTTACCTTGACAGCTGATCAGAAATAGGAATGGGATGTCGTGGGCCTCCAAATCTTCATCCAGATTGAGGTGATGCTAAGGCAGTTCCCCAGATTGCGGTGCTGATGTAACAACTCCAAAGATAACTTCCCATTTTCCCTTTTGGTGTGGAAACATTACTAACTTTAATACATGTTTGAAATGTTCCCTTGTTATGGGGGATGGGAGTGGGGAGGGAGCACCAGAATGATGGAAGCAAGGTGGTACCTGTCACTTTGTTCCCAGATTTTTGCTTTAAAGTCTTTGAGCACAATCATTGGTTGAGATGAATGAGAATATTTGATTCTGATATTCTGATTTCTTATTTATTCAGGGTTATCTAGCAAGAGGGTCTTTTCTAAGATTCTAGATGTTATGAGGACTTTGGGGCCCAGAGGGACACTTATCCATGCAGTTATAATTGAAGGGGGAGAGAGAGAGACCTCAGCTGGTTTTAGGAGTAAAGGAAAAAGAAAAAAATAACACTTTAAAAACATGAATATAGTAATATAACATAGATATATCTTACTGAACTGTGCATTGAATCAGAACCTGTTCCAAAACCATTTGGCAAACCAGTTCAAACTAGAACTGAACCATTGTTTCCCATTAACAAAAATTGATTTTTTTTTCTCCCTACCCTCCACCATTGAAGAAAGAAACTAAGAGAGAGAGAGAAAGAGGGAAGGAAGGAAGGAAGGAAGGAAGGAAGGAAGGAAGGAAGGAAGGAAGGAAGGAAGGAAGGAAGGAAGGAAGGAAGGAAGGAGCAAAACCCTTGTAACTAATACGCATAGAAAGGAAAACCAACCCCCACAATGGTCGTGTCTCAATCTGCCCTGGGAATCCTTTACATCTGGCCGGCAGTGGGTACGCACTTCCTCCTCACTGGTTTGGCTGCATTGATCAGAGTTCTTAATCATCTTTCAAAGGAAGAAACAATAAACACTTACAGGGATAGAAACTGAGCCAATGATTTCACTGGTACAGGGAATTTCCAGGTGAGGAAGCTCCCTCTGTCAGTGCAGGTCCACATCTTTCCCCTTAGAGTCTTCCAGAACTGCCTGGACTAAGTGATCTGGCCAGGTGCCCACAACCAGTATCAGTGTGGTTCTGGTTCCCAGGGGCTCTCACTAGGCTCCATACTTCTCCCAAGCCAACTCTGGCACTCACAGGGTGCTAGCCAAATGACACGGAGAAGAATTTTCTGGGTAGTTCTGCTGAGCAAAAGTGCCTGACTAGTGAGAAGAGGATGGCCTGAGTTCATTGCCCAGTCTTTCTATCTGCTTTTGGAGAGGCCTCAAGGTGGAGTATAGGACACTGGCCTTGGACCCAGAACACCTGGTTTGAATTCCTGACTCAACTGCTTCACAGCTATATGACTCCGGGAGCCCAGTTTTCTTTACTTTAAAGTGAACAAGTTGGACTTCATGGCCTCTGGGATCCCTCATGACTCTCAGTCTGTGGTCCAATGAAACCACAGGTCTTAGAAAGGTGCTTTTTGTCCTCCAGCATTCTCAGAATTCTCCAATAGGAATGCTAACACAGATTCTATAACAGGGGTGTGGGAATGAGTTCAGAATGCACAAAAACCCGAACTGGGAGAGAAAAATTAACCATTCAACAAGCAATTATTGAGATACTACTTTTTAGGGGCAGCTAGGTGGCACAGTGGATAGAGCACCAGCCCTGGATTCAGGAGGACCTGAGTTCAAATCCGGCCTTAGACACATGACTCTTACTAGCTGTGTGACCCTGGGCAAGTCACTTAACCCTGTTGCCTAGTCAAACCAAAAACAAAAAGAGAGACTACTTTTTGCCAGCTACTGTGCTGAACACTCAGAATGCCAACTGTTCCCACCTTCAGTGAGCTCTCATTCTAAGGGGAGAGACAACATGTAATTATGTAAAGATATGTATATGCACATACATGATTTTCCAGTAAGCAACATAAATTTCTCTATATTCCCCAGAGTGGAGAAGGCTGATTCTAAGAACCCTCTCTATCCTTACAAACATCATGACTAGAGTTACACAAGCTACAGACGAAATCCCATGAGATGAATCATGACATACAACATTCAGGCATTGTGTGTGTAGTCCTCCTTCTTCTACTTACTTTGCTCTGCATCAATTTATAAAGGTCTGCCCATATTTCTGTCAATTCCTTCTATTCAGTGTTTCTTACAACTCAATAAATTTCCATCATATCTAAATATCCCAGTTTGGTTAGCCATTTACCAATCAATGGGCACCTACTTTTGTTTTACAGTTTCTTTGTTATCACTAAATGTGCTGCTATAAATATTTAAATATAATAGTAATATATAATATAAATTTTATACTGTTAAATATAATAGTAATATATAATATAAATATTTTGATAGATAATCTTTTTTTTTCTGTTTTGGATCATCAGATGGCAACCTCTGCTCAATAGTGGGATCAATGGATAAAAAAAAGCATAAATGGTTGTATCTTAAGAAACCAACTTTTCATTGAGTTTCTCTTAGTTCTAAACGGAAACTTCTTTGGTTGGAAATGGAGCTGTCTTCTACCAGATTGCTTTCTGTGGGCTGCAGGGCTGCAGTGAGTCTCTGTCAGCTGTCCTGTAATATGGAGTTAGCCGCAGAGCTAGAGAGCTACATTAAGTATTCATTCTTTTCTTATTAATATGCAGGTATCTATTGCAATTGAAGAGGTCACCCGTTGTCATCTAAGATTTACTTTCCGGCACAGGTCATCTCAGGAATGTAAGTATCAAGATGTCTGTACCACAGACTTTCTCCAAGAACAATATTGACTCTTGCTTCACAGTACTTTTTAGGGGCCCTGGAGACTGACTGTGTTTGGAAACTAGACATGGCCAAGTCTAGCCCTTGGCAGCTTCATCCTTCAAAGCTGAGCTTTCCCTGGTACTAAGGAAGGAGTGGGACTATTTATGTGCTTCTGAGTTTCCAAATTCCACATGGCCAAGCTAAAGAAAATGCCGTCCTTGGTCCATGAGAAGCTGATGGGTTTCAGGCAGATTTCCAAGTTCTCAAAAGTTTGTTGTTTCCACATGGCACTATTAATGTTGACATTAGTTGGAAATTGCCATGTTGATACTCTACCTCTATGGAACTGATCTGTCCTTCATTTGAATTCTTCATAACACCATACTCATTTCTCTCCTGCTCAATTCAGTTCAATGAACATTTACCAGCCGTCTACTATGGGCAAGACATTGTGTTAATTGAGGGGATTCAAAGACAAAAACAAGCACAGTTCTGCCTTAAAAGGACTTCCTTCCTCTGGTGTACTTACCGTGTTTTTGTTAATGTAATTATTGTTATGATAGAGACAATGGGGGATGGTAGACAGCAAGCCAGTCCCAGAGAAGAGACAGCATGGATAATGAACATGTAGAATTTTAACTACAGGCATCAAGGTCTATCAGTCATGTATTAAGCGCTTACTGTGGTACTGTGTGAAACACTGGGGATACAGAGAAGGGCAAAAACAGCCCCTACCTCCAGGAATTCCCAATCTAATGTGACAGACAACATGCAAACGACTATATACCTTTGAGATATATGCAGGATAACTGGAGGTCATCTCAGAGGGAAGACACTAGCCCCTTCCAGGGAACCCTGCAGAAGTTGGGGGTTTTAGGTAAATCTTAAGTAGATCCAGGGAAACCAGGAGATGGGGAGCAAGGATGGAGACATCAAAAGCGTTGGCCTCGGAACTCAGACGGCCTGGATTCCAGTCCTGACTGCGTGACAAAGGACTTAACCTTTCAGTGGTCTGCACAACTCTCTAAGGCTAGAGAAGATTTCAGCTTGAATTAGTGGAGGAAATTTCCTTTGCCTGGAGTTCCCGGTTCTTGTGAAATCATCGGACTAAGCCCTAATTATTTTCTTGCATGGCTTTCCTCTTCTCCTAGACTGTTAACTTTATGAGGAAAGAGACTGTGTCTTACTTATCTTTGTTTCATTTTGGGTCTGTTTTTTGTTTGTTTGGTTGTTTTTTTCAGGCAATTAGGGTTAAGTGACTTGCCCAGGGTCACACAGCTAATAAGTGTCTGAGGCCAGAGTTTAACTCATGTCCTCCTGACTCCAGGACCAGTGCTCTATCAAACTTACTTATCTTTGTATCTCCTTCAGCACCCTGCCTTATAAGTATTGGACACTTAATGAAAGAATAGATTGCCCCATGCCCTTCTCCTAGGTACTCCTCGCCCTCCAAATAAAATTAAGTGTAGAAGTGGGAGACCATCTAGGTGGGCCACAATCACTGGCCTCTCTGCATCACTTAGAAACAAAGTTTTCCTCACTTTACAGCCAGAGATAAATCTGAAAGAGCTTTTGGGGTGGCCTTTGTAAAGCTGATGAACCCAGATGGAACTACATTGCAGGATGGGAGGCATAACCTGGTAGTGTATAAGGTAAGAGCAACAGAACGAATCTCTAATGACTGTCAGTTCTTTCCTTGTCCATCAGGAACTGAAAATCTCCCTCAGGTTCATGGCTGCGATGCTTTGATGAATTCTTGATCTCTTTGACTTGTAACTGTCCCATCTTCTCATCCCATGGACTTTTTGTCCATGTCGTTCCAAAAATACTTCACCTCCAGAACTGGGCACACATCCTCATACGCATCTTGTTTTGTTCTCTTGGGGTAAGGTAGGGTTCCTAGATTTAGAATAGAAAAGGATCGTAAGCATCTTCTAGTCCAATGCCCTAATTTTATAGATGATAATTACTCACAAGAGCGTATATTCTCTTCTGTTATAGGTTCATAAGTATAGAGCTGAAAGCAACCCCAGAGGCCATCCACTACAATGCCCTCATCTTACAGATGAGAGAACTGAGGCCCAGAAAAATAAAAAAGCCAGTCCTAAAGAAGGTCTTGGCCTGGATTGTATCAGAGGATGATAGATTCAAAGCTGGAGTGGAACTTTGAGGTCATAGATTAGAATCCTGGATGCTCTGCCCCTGAGGCTGTAAAGTCCCGCACAGTGAATGCTGAGTCTAGGTGGAAACTTATTTGGCTTGTGAATAATAAATTATTCCTCCTCATTTAGCATTCCCAAACCACTGGGTGTGTGTTTTCTTTTCAGGGGGATAATAAGAAAATGGAAGATGCTAAATTCTACCTGACCCTGCCCAGCACAAAGATAGAGATGGAAGACAAGGATTTCTCCCCAGGCAAAAACACGCACTTGGCCAACTTCACCCCAACCAAAGACAGCACAAAGGACAGCTTCCAAATCGCCACCCTTATTTGCTCCACAAAACTGACCCAGAATGGTGAGTCAGAGTTGGTTTTCTGAATGTAGCTGCTGGGGTCCTTGGTAAGAATGCTGGGGTTCTACCAGTCACCAAGCATTATGTGCTAAAAAACTGAGGACCCAAGGATAAGTGAACAGGCTTGCCTTCATGGAGCTTACATTCTATTAGAGGTACAACATATCCACATTAACAGCTGGGGTCATGTAAAAAGGTCTCTTGAAAGGGATGTCGCTTGAGCTAAACCTTGAAGGGAGCTGGGGGTTGTAAGAGGTGGAAGGAAGGAGAGAATGTTTGAGGAATGGGGGAAAGCCTAGGCCAGGGCACACGGGTGGAATTTGGAGTGCCTTGTCTGGGTAAGAGCAAGTAATGCAGCCTGTGAACATGCCATCCCTCCCTAACAGAATGTAATTGCTTGATGAGGCATTCAGACATTTAATCAGAATCACAGCAGGGGCTTCAGCTGGGGAGACAAGTCAGGGGGACATAAGTCCTCAAGAGCGGAACAAAGACTTGGTCATAAGGGATGAAGAAATAACCCCAGTACTAAGACTGGGGGATACTCAGTCAGACAGTCCTTGAGGGTGGGGACCATTCTGGCCTTTTTCTGTTATCTCTAGTGCTTAGCACACAGTCTGGCACACAGAAGGTATTTAATAAATGCTCGTTGGCTTGACTTAGCAAGGTGAGAATGTTGTAACAAATAGCTGGTTTGATGCTGAACTTTAGGCTCAAGGACAAGTCTGATTCATGAGTCTAGATCAGGACTGCAAGCCAGGGTTAGGTGGCTCCAGATGATGGGACAGGACATATGTGAGGGCAAGCCAGCTTCAGTGAGAAGCTTTTCTGTATCTATCGTCAGGCACCTTGGGCCAAACACTGGGCAGCTAGAACCCTAGCTGTTGGCCGGGGGAAACAAATCTACAGCAAGAATCCCTGAGACTCAGAGAACTCAGGCTCCATCAGGATCCAGATCAACCCTGCTTCTACCCCAAAACAAAACGCCACCTGCCAAGACAGTCACACAGAGCACCTTTAGAATCAATGACCAGGCGTCACATGGGCAGATTTTGGCGTCATGTAGGAAAAGCTTTTTGACCAGTTAGTCCTCAAGATCACAGGACTTAGATCTGATGGGGACCTCAGAGGTCATCAAGCCCACCCAATTTGTCTCTTTCCAATGTCAAGCACACAAAGTCAAACACCAAAGTGCAGGAACCCCAACTCAACTTTGGAGAAAAGAAATTTACAGCAAGCATGCCAGGGAACTCAAGCTTCACCTTAGAGGCAATCTCACTCTCATTTTATCAATGAGGAAACTGAGATCCAGAGAAAGGAAGTGATTTTCTTAAGGTCACACAGTATATGAACCCAGATCCTCTGACTTCGAATCCAACATCTTTCTACTAGACCAAGCTTTACTTTCAACTCCAAGATTCTGTGACCTCCATATACCTAAGCTATACCATAAAGTACAATAATGCATCCTCTTTGTGGACACATAGGATCATGTCAGATCTAGAAGAGACCTTAGAAGTCATCTTTTCCAAACCCTACCTTACTTGGTAAATTTTATTTTCTTTTTCCACTTGGTCTATTTTCTCTCCCTCCTACTTCTGCTTTGCCCCATTGTAGGACAGACTGATGGATGGACAGAGACAGAGAAAAGAGACAGACAAGCACACACAGAAAGACAAAGAGCTCATGATAAATATGAATAATCAAAACAAATCATCTCACTGTCATGTCCAAAAACTACATGTCTCAGTCTATCGCCTACCTCTCTGGTTGTTCATTGCATTGATCGGAGTTCTTAAGTCTTTCAGAGTTGTTTGTCTTTACAGTGTTATTGTCATTATGTAAATTGTTTCTTCAGATTCTGTTAATTTTTCTCTGCCTCAATTCCTGCAAATCCTCTCAGACAACCCCTTCCTTCAAAGAGGGGAAAAGGAAGTTCAGAGAAGGGGTGACACTGTTAGTGAAAGAGCCAGATCCCTAACTCCAACTTTCTGGATCCCCAGTGTTTTGTTTTTTTTTCCACTCATAAAAACAGTTCACATTTTGGTAACACTTTAGGTGTACAGCATGCTTCCCTCAATACCACCCTATGAGATGTGCAACGGAGTACAAATTATTGTTATCTTCGTTTTGTGGAAAGGGAAACTGAAACTCCAATATTGGCACAGCAGTCACGGTGATAGTAAGGATCCAAGCCAGGTTCTGAACTCACATCTTCTGACACTGAGGCCTGAGCCCTTAGCCTGCTATGCCTCCTATGTCCCCTTCCTCATGTAAGGAATCCAGTGGAGTACAACCCAGGACCTTGCCTGTAAAGGCTTCTCCCAAAAGGCTATGGTGGTGCTTGTTTGCTCTGCCATCTTGGAAGTTGGGCTCGGCTCTTTGTCATGATGCTGACCAGAGGCAAATCTAAGGTTCTCCAAACATTTTAGATATAAAATCCATCCAAGTATCAAATGGCAGTTTGATCTCCAAAAGCAGCCAACACTGGTTCTATTTTTGTGAATCATTGTTGGCTGGAGGTGAAGGTTAGTATTTCAACGAGGAGAAGTGGCCAGACACAGCAGAGGGGAGCTCAGGCCAGCCCACAGACAAGGTAATCAAAACAAGCTTCCCAAGTCCCAGAGAGCAAAAGAATGTCTGGGTCGTCCTGCCAAAAATGCTCCAAAAGTCACAGAAGACCCCATACAGAGGAATGGAGTGCACTGTCGCTCAAAGAACACACAAGATAGGTGGGATGTATGGAAACGAAGGCTGTCTTCTCTAAGTTTGTTTCCTCATTGGTAAAATGGAGGCAGAAATAGTCATAACTCTTAATTCCCATGTTTCTCGTGATGATCTAAAGATAAAATGGGTTCAACCATTTGTGAATCTGAGAACACAATGAAAAGTCAGTTATTATTATCATGTCAGTCTATCAACAAACTTTTATTTCATGCCTACTGAAGTGCCAGACACTGTGCAAAATGCTGGATTCAAATACAAAAAAGAAAAGAAAGTCCTTGCCCTCAAGGAGCTTACAATCTAATGGCAGAAGAAAGCTGAAAAGCGGAGTAATGGGGTAGCCAGGGAAGGTGCCCGACACAGGGGCATGGTGGGAAAGTAAGAGAAGTCCCAAAAAGTAGGGCAGCCTGATGAGAAATGAGTGATGTAGGAAGGGACCTTTGATGTCATTGAGTCCAATCCTCACATTTTACAAATAAAGAAACTGAGGCTTACAAAGGTAGCATGACTTATTCAGGGTCGTACAACTAATAAATGTCTGAGATGGGATTTGACCCTAGGTCCTTTTGCCTCCTAAGTCCAGAGCTCTATCCATTATGTGACCTTGCCTCTAATTAGACCATCAACTCTAAATCTATGGTCTCACGGAAGGAATTCTTCTGATAATGTATATTCATGGCTATATGTGTGTATAGCCACGTCCATGTGTACATTTTTGTTGTTCTTATGTGACTTCTTCCAGAATTTGTGACTTCACCAGCTGGGATATTGGGTTTGAAGCCAATGTACCTGGGTTAGGATCCCACACCTTACTTACTGCCTGTCTGACCTTAGGCAGATCATTATACTCTTTGGACCTCAGTTTCCTCATCAGAAAAATGATGAGGTTGGACTAGGTAGTCCCTAGGAGACCTTCTAGCCCTAGAGCTGTGATCTATCATATCTACTTAATTTCTTTAGATGAGAGAGGAGACAGAGACGTGCAGTGGAGAGAACACTGGCTCCCATCCTGCCTGGGATACTATTTGTATGGCATTGGGCAACCGGTTCAAACTTCCTGAATCTCGTTGCCTGATCTATAGTATGAGGGGGAGGGGAGGGAGGTGTTAATGATCTCCAAGGTTCTTTCCACTGTAAACCTGTGACCTATGATCCTATAATTCTCAGCCGTCTATGTCATTTGTCTTGGTGACCACCTAAAGCTTGGCACCTGCCCAAGGCTCTGTGGGCTCAAAGGTTGAAGGTTGTACTTGATAGAACCTCTGTCAGGATCACCTTGGTACTGGCTGAGGGAGCATTTTCCCACAGGCAGCCTGGATCGGCTTCTTCTGACCTCCAAAAGGGGATCCTACCAGGATGTTCTCATTCGGCCACACCTTGGGGAAGTGTGTTTAGGGTGTGGGAGATGGTGGGAAAGAGCAAATCCCTTCTGGGACATCTAGTACTATGGAACAAACAAATAATTCTGTTCAAATAAGGAGTTACTTAAGAGAGCCGGCAATGTGTGATGGAGAGAGCATGAGATTTGGAGCCAAGACCTGCCTTGAGTCCTGTCTCTCTACAACTCTGTAAATAAACCTGGAGAGGTCACTTCCCCTTCAGGTTCAGGGACATTGAACCCTTTTCCTTGTATTCTCAACACCTGATCCAATGCCTGGCAAATGGCAGGAGCTTAATGAAGTCGCGTCAAAAGAATTAATTAAATGCCTATTACTCTGTGCCAGGGACTGTGGGATAAAAAAGACCAACATCTCGCCTGCCTGCAAAGAACTTAGCCTCAATTAGGGGACACCACATGCAGGTAACTGTACACAAAGGCTTCATAAATGCCAATTGAATTGAATTGATTAAAAATGGGTGTGTGATTCCAGGTTATCTGTAAGGTCCCTTACCGCTGTAAAATGCTAGAATCAATTGGTAAGCATTACTAAGCAATCCCACATCTATCAACTAAACAAAAAGCATTTATTAAGCTCCTACTGGATGCCATACACCACGCTAGGCACTCAGGCAATAAAGTAAAAAAAAAAAAGAAACGATTCTTTCAAAGACTTTATATTTTGTTCAAGGAGACAACATATACATATGCAAATAAATGCTGAATAAGTTTGTTTGTTTTTTTTAAAGGTAAGGCCATGGGGGAGGAGGGTTAGCAATCTGGGATGTAAAGAAAGTCTTTAGGGATGGAAACGGTAAGAAAATGTTCCTAAAGCATAGACCTGACCATGGCACTGATGATGATGATGATGATGATGATGACGACAATGATAAATTAATATAACTGAGACAGAAGACAGCTAAGTGGTGCAGTGGGTGGAGCACTGGGGCTAGAATCAGGAAGACCTGAGTTCAAATCTAGCATCAGACACCTATTAGCTCTGTGACCCTGGTTAAGTCACTTACCCCTTATTTACCTCAGTTTCCCCAACTGTAAAATGGGAATAATAGTAGCACCTGCTACTCCCAGAGTTGTTATGAGGCTCAAATGAAATAATATTTGTCAAGTGCTTGGTGGTTGGGTGCTTAATAAGTGCTCCCTTCTTTTCTTTCCTTTCCTTTCCCCACACTGCACCACCTTCCTGGCTGCCTCAACAGCCGACTCCTCTGCCTAGAATTTCCAGCCTTCACACCTGGTTTCCATTTACCTTTCCAGGGGATCACACGTTATCCTCTCCACAAACACTCTATGTTCCAGCCACGCTGGCTTCCTTGCACTCCTTCTCCCCTCTCCCACCTCCATACCTTTGCATGGTGAAAGTTCTCTCTCTTCCCCTCCACCTTTTATGGCTCCTCTCTCCTTTCAGGGGTCGCCTCCTTCTGGGGCTGCTCCTGCTTCCCTGTTAGTGCCCCCTCCCATTCCCACAAAATCTCTTCATCGTGTTTCTATTTCCATTTCACAAGGGTCTGAGATCAAGCTTTAATAAATGTGAATTCTCCTTAAGATAACTGTCCTTGACATTCTTAGGAATTGATCCAGTGTCCTAGTGTAGAAAGTCTTATTAGGGATTGGACTTAATGCGCCAAAGCAGACCAGTAATGGCAGCAGAGCATGGAGTGGATGTGGATTCACAAAGACCTGGGTTCAAGTCATGCCCAAGACCCTAAGTAGCTTTGTGACCCCAGGACAGGTCCCTTAACCCCTCTGGGCCTGTTTCCTCATCTATAGAATGAGGGGGTGGGCTTGACGGCCTCTCACATCCCTTCCAACTCTAAATCTATGATCCTATACATCCATACTCAATAATGTTGTTCAGTCATGTCTCATCACATCGGCCGTGGGGTTTCCTTGGCAAGGGTACTGGAGTGGTTTGCCATTTCCTTTTCCATCAAATTAAGGCAACTAGAGGTTAAGTGACTTGCCCAGGGTCACACAGCTACTAAGTGTCTGAAGCTGAATTGGGACTCAGATCTTTCTGACTCTAGACCCAGCACTCCAATAAGAGACATTAAATACCAAAGTCCACACAATCATCTTCTAAGGCCGACCACTATTCCAGTGTGCTTGGCTATTAGTTCTTGTAACTGAAGCAAATAGATTTGCTTCTTACTTGATTTCTAATGTTTTCTTGTCTGTGGTTTTCCTCCCTAGTTGACCTGTTGGGGTTGTTAAATTGGCGTTCCAATTCCCAGAACATCAAACACAACTTAAAGAAGCTAATGGAGGTGGATGGAGGAGAAATTGTAAAGGTAGGTGTGTGCACGTGCGTCAGTGTATGCAACTCTGCCCATATTTCTGCCAATTCCTTCTATTCAGTGTTTCTTACAACTTAATAAATTTTCACTACATTTAAATATCCCAGTTTGGTTAGCTATTTACCAATCAATGGGCACCTCCTTTTGTTTCACAGTTTCTTTGTTATCACAAAAGGTGCTGCTATAAGTATTTAATATAATATAATAATAATATATAATATAAATGTTTTTATAGTCTTTTTTTTTTCTGTTTTGGATCCCCTCCAGATGGCAGTCCCTGCCATCTGAAGTGGGTCAAAAGGTACAACAGATTGTATCTGGAGAAACCAACTTTTCATTGAATTTCTCTTCGTTCTAAATGAAAACTTCTTTGGTTGGAAATGGAGCTGGAAGCTTAGAAATGTCTTTTTCATGACTTGGATTGCATAGACATCTAAATTGATACATTAGTTTGAAATCTATGGTTTTGTGGTTTCTTGGTTATATTCATGTTTCTTTTGCCATCTGTGAGGGGTAGTGTCAGGAGCTATAATGAGTATAGGTCAGTCAGTCAGTTAATAAACATTGATTAAGCACCTACTTTGTGCCAGATCTTAACCTAAGTGCTAGGGATACAAAGAAAGGCCAAGGCAGTCTCTGCCCTCAAGAGGCTCACAATCTAAAGAGGGAAACAGAATGGCTTTGAATGCCATATTTTAAAGACCATTAATAGTATTCCAGCAGCATAGAGATATCTCAGTTTAACACCTAGTTAAGAAGAATAATTAATTAAATTATATGCAAATTCCTCTCCCTGTTATTGCCTCATCCTATATGTGATATCCCGGATAGCAGGGTTGTGTAATTTTTCCCAATGATCTCCAGTCATGGGAGCCAGCCCCAGCCACCATGAAAACAACTTAATTTGAATATTTTTTAATTGAACCTGAGTCGCAGATACTGAATAGCTGTGTAACCCTGATACTAAACCTCAGTTTTCTCAGCTCTAAAATGGAGATAATAATAGCATCTACCTCCCAGGGTTGTTGTGAGGATAAAATGAGATATCTGCAAACCTTAGAGCAATATATAAATGCTACTTACATCATCATCATTATCTTTATAATAATAATAATTATTATTATTAAAAAGTATATTTGAGAGCACTTTTCCTGGTGTTGCACCTAATGTGAAGCATGACCCAGGAACGTGCACACACACACACACACACACACACACACACACACACACAATATTAATTCTGAGTCTGATCCAGCCCCATAACTCCATTTCTCAGGGCATCCGGGACATAACAATAATGATAGGTATAGCAGCAGCTGGTATTTATTTAGCATCTTAAGTTTTTCAAATCATCTCATTTGATCTTCATAATTCAATGCATAAATGCAATTATTATCCCACTTTACAGGTGATGAAACTGAGGCTCAAAGAGATTAAGTTGCTAAGGGTGCCACTAAGTAGTAAGCATCAGAGGGAAGATTTTGAAGCCAGAAGAAGCTGACTCTTAAGCCCAGCCCCCATACCAGATGAGTCAAAGTAAAGTCCTCTTCTTCTTTCTCTCTAGTTCCTACAAGATACACTCGATGCACTTTTTAACATAATGATGGAGATGTCCGACAACGAAACCTATGATTTCCTTGTATTTGATGCACTGGTAAGTGATAAGCACGCAGGGTCATGTGTGTTCATAGAAAGGCATGAATCTCAAAGATGGCCCCAGTTGGAACCTCAGCTACCTTCGGCTACTGGGAGAGGTCTCTTTTAGCTGCCTCCTCTGCCTCTGTCAGAGGAAGCATTGAGTCACAGCGTCAGAACTGGCCCCAAAGGCTGTTTATTCTAACTGGTCCCTGAATAAGAATCATTCGCCTACATCATCTGAAGCAGGGTCATCCAGACCTCCATGAAGGGAAGCCCAGTACCTCTCATCATAGATCAGCTATGGCCTCATCAGTAGTGGAGTAGGATCATAGCTTCAGAGTTGGAAGGAATCTCGAGGTCAGCTCGTCCAACCTCTCATTTTACAAATGAGGAAACCGAGACTCACAGGGGTGAAATGAGTTGCCCAAGGTCACACAATGTAAAACTTAAAATATTACTAAAAACTTGGAAATTTTTGTTTTTGTTTTTTGCTCATTAAGTTTTTGTGGCATAATAAAGTAATAATGGGATGAAAGGCTCACAACAGTTATTTAGAGAAAAGCCACAGAGGTCAGATGCTGTATTATATACTACATACGGACCATTGTTTTCTTGTGCTTTCACATTTTAAAGGCCACGGGAGATAATACATAATTTGTAGATTCACTTTAATATGACAGAATAGACTTTTTTAAAAAAACCAACACAAAAGAATAAAGTACAACAAAGATGCTAATCCTTCACTTACTTTTACTACATGGAATGACAATTTCTTCCCAGCCCACCATGGGGCAGAAAAAAAAGTTTAATACATTTATCTTCAGCTATGGCTTTCTTGTTTTCTTTTTCCCCTAAAACACTCAGTAAAATAATTGTTACTGTTTTAATAGGTTTTTAAGTTTAAAGTTAAAACTTTTTTTCCCATGAGTTGGAAGGCACCTCAGAGATTATATAACCTAACTTTTCATTTTGCAGATGAGTTAGTGATGATCAAACAAAGTCCACCTGCCCAAAGTCACATGGGCCCTAAGTTACAGGTCAGTGGCTGGATATTACAAAGATACAGATTTAGGCTGAAGTAAAGAAAAACCCCTTTGCAGCGGGTGCCATCCCAAAGGGAACTAGACTGCCTCGAGAAGTACGTTCCCCCCTCACTGGAGGCCTTCAAGTAGAAATGAGCTTACCATTTGTCAGCATGGTTGTAGATAGCATTTTGGGTCCAATCCAGACTGGACTGAACGGGCTTTTCAGGTTTCTGTGATAGCCAAGAGACCGGGACGTACTAGGTATGACTTTAGATTGTTACTGCTGGCTAGCTCAATTCAGCAGCTCAGTTAGTGGACTCATTACCACTGGGAGATGACCTCAGCTCCAAGATTTATACCTCGGGTTCCGTTACATTATCCGTTATCCATTTGAGTTTATTGAAATATTGCTGCCGTGTCTTCAGCAAGACTCTTTTTCGATCCTGCTCATTCCTAGAGTCTAACACTCTAATATTAATGCAGCCTGAAGCCTACATTAGCTTTCCTGGCCACCACATTAAGCTTTTGGCCCCTCTTCAGTTTCATTGCAGCCATTCACTAAAACCCTTGGGCCTTTTTCAGAGGAGCTCAAGTCTATCTGTGGCTCCCCTTGCATGCATTAGGGAAATTACTTTGGGGATCCCAAGAGGAAGACTCAGAGCCTCATCTCCTAAGAAAATAAAGTGCTCTTTCGTCCATCATTTACAGCTTTACAGATACCAGTACAGCAACACACATTTAACCGTCTCCTGTGTGCAGCTCACTGTGTCGTAGGGGAGATTCAGGGTTTAAAGATAGCCTGCACCCTTTTCAAAGTCACAATCTTGGAGCAGCAAGTTACCAACCCTTATAAACTAGTAGACATTTTGTGGAGTCAAAGGAACCTCCATTCAAATCTAGCCTCTGATGTGGGACGTTGGCCAGGTGACTTAGCCTCCTTCTTGAGTCACCATCCACAAAAGGAAGAGATCTGAGTGGATGGCCTTCAAGGGAGGCCACCATGGCACAGTGGAACAGGCATTGAGTGAGAAGACCTTGGTTCAAATATTTAATCTTCTTCATTTCTCTGAGCTTCAGTTTCCTCATGTGTAAAATGAGGAGGTTGGACCACATGACCTCTCCAGTCCCTCCAGCTCAAGATCTATAAGCCTTTAATGAAGAACTGGGTTCAGTTCCCACTTTGGACCTACCGTAACTATACGCCCTTGGACAATTCACGGGCTCTGAACCTTTCCTCGTCTTTCAACCCTGCAATTCCTTCCAGTGCTGTGGCCCCATAATCATCGTGGGTGGAAGGTGGGAAAGGGGATCTCATCAAAGTTCCTTCACTGATTGACTCAAAGCACTTGGACTTTACTGTCCTCAGCCAGCACAGAATGGATGGAAGACTTACAGGAAGGGCAGTTTATGGGAAAGCCTTGAGACCCACATGGTTTACCTGGAGCCCAGATTTGGGGACTAGAGAGTTGCTTTCAGGAGGAAATTACTAGGAATCTTTTAGTAAGTCCCAACCTTGTTGTAACTCGAAGATGCCTTTAGGTCGGCCCCAGGTTTGGCTTCCCCTCTAACCTAGAATGGAGAAGGGGGAATGGGGCAGGGGGGTGGAGAAGATCAAGCCCAGATGGAGAGATCTGTGCTGGATGGCTCCAGCTGGGGGCCAGAATGTCTGCAGATTATGCAGGGCGGCCGATCCTTATCATTGTCTCCTTTGGCAGGTATTTATTATCTCGCTGATAGGAGACATAAAGTTCCAGCATTTTAATCCTGTACTTGAAACCTACATTTACAAACACTTCAGTGCCACCTTGGCATATGTGTAAGTATCATTGGCGGGGGCTCATGGAACTTGTGTGAGTTGTCTGTGTGTGTGTGTGTGTGTGAGAGAGAGAGAGAGAGAGAGAGAGAGAGAGAGAGAGAGAGAGACAGAGAGAGACAGAGAGAGACAGAGAGAGACAGAGAGACAGAGAGACAGAGAAATATTAACAGAGAGATTGAGAGAGAGAGATCGCGCAGGTTAAGGCTTACTGTTTGTCGGCAAAAACTCTTGTTTCCCACTGTGGCTCTCCTCACAAACTACATTTCAGCCAGTCTACCCCAATTTCTATTCCATTTCCTGCCTGCCCCTAGGCTTTTGCATAGGCTGGAACTCATGTCCTGCTTCCTCCATCTCTGGAATTATGAGCTCGGCTCAGGCACCACCTCCCATGGAAATCTGTTCTTGATCTTTCTTTTCCACACCCTCATTCTTTGTGCTCTCTCCTTCCTCACATCATCTTTAATTTATTTACTTGTTTATATAAGGGGCAGCTTAGAAGAGTAGGGTAGAGAGCTGGCCTTGGAGGAGGGAAGATCTGGATTAACATAAATTGCCCAGATGACCATGAGCAAATTAGTTAACCTCTCTGTATTCAAGGCAGCCCTCTATTGCTTAAAGTTATGTAGAAGGTGCCAAGCTGCATTGGTAGAAGGTTTCTCAATTAATCAATAAACATTTATTAAGCACCTACTTATGTTCCAGGTTGAGACAGCTAGGTGGTGCAGTAGATAGAGTACCGGGCTTGGAATAAGGAAGCCTCATCTTCCTCAATTCAAATCTAGTGGCAAACAATTACTAGCTGTGTGACCCTGGGCAAGTCACTTCATCCTGCTTGCCTCAATTTCCTCAATGGTCAAATGAGCCAGAGAAGGAAATGGCAAACCATTCTAGTCTCTTTGCCAAGAAAACTCCAAAAATGGGGTCATGCAGAGTTGTGTACATCTGACACAACTAAACTACAACAACAGTGTGCCAGGCACTGCAGTTGTGATTCCCTAACTCACAGAGCCAGGCCTCTGTTTACATATTGCATCTCCTAGGAGAATGTAAGCCCCTTGAGGGCAGGAACTCTTCAGATTTTTCTCCTTGCACCCCCAGCACCTAGAAGCGTACCTGAGCACAGAGCAGGCCCTTGACTGGTGAGTGCTTTGTGAGTCGAGTTGAATGACATGGAGCAGAACTGAAGGTGGTACCATCACTGCGTTCTGATCCTGACAACAGTGACAGGGAGGTTGACCAACGCTCTGTCCGTATTTTTCCTTGTGCCCACCCTCTGATTCAATCAAGACCAAGAGTTTTTAACCGGGGGTCTATAAACTTCACACACACACACACACACACGCATGCTTGGATATGTATATATATATGTGTGTGCATAAACATGTACATGCGTGTGCATATATCTACGTACATACATGTATCCACGCACATATATATTTATTGGTTTCCTTTGTAACTCGTATGCATTTTATTATATTCATCTTCAAACATCACCACGTGAAAACATCCATAGGTTTCACCAGACTGTCAAAAAGGGTCCAGGACACAGCCAACAGTAAGAATTTTGCTCAAAAAGATAATGATAAATTATAAGCAATAATATCAAATGAGATGATCTTTGTAAAGCACTTAACACAATGCCTGGCACACAATAAGCATTTACTAAATGCTCATATCCTTTTCCTCATCTACAAAGTGGGGATGACCACTCCAGAAGATGGAGAGCTGGCCTTCAAACTGGGAAGACCTGGTTTTCTGTCCTTTAACCCCTCGGTGCTCTGTGGGCCACAGAGGAAAAGAAATGCCAGTCTGCACTGGTAGGGGGAGCTTCTTCACCCAGGAGTTGCCATAGTAATGAATTAATTATTGGTCAGATCTCTATCCCTGTCTCTCATGGTTGCTGCAAGTAACAAAGAAAATAATTCATTTTTTTTTTTAAATTAAGTACCAGCTATGTTCCAGGCACTGTATTGGCTTCTGGGGAAACACAGAAAGAACATGAAACAGTGCCTGCCTTTAAGGAACTTCCATTCTCCTGAGCCAGGAAAAGATAAAAACACAGAGACATAGAAATACTTTGGCTCTATTCTTTCACTAATGAGGGTGCTGCCTATCACCCACCATGACTCCAGGACTGCCCATCTTGGGGACTCTAGTTCTCTAGGTAGAATGACTACCAGTGAAGCTTATGGCTCAATCAATACTCAGTTTATAAGCATTTATTAGGTACTTACTGTGTTCCAGGCACTGTGCTAAGCACTAGGGATACAAAAAGAGACAGAAGGCAATCCCTACCTTCCAGGAGCTTACAGTCTAATGGGGCCACTGACAGTCCGAGACCAGAGAGTCAACCCTTGTAACAAACAAAACAAAATTTAAAGGAAGAAGAAGAGGGAGAAAAGAATGAGGAAAAATCTGCCAAATGAATCCTATGTATATGCAGCATTCCCACCATGTGCCCCTCACCTTCAATAGTTAGCACCAGACTATAAATTGCAGAATAGTTTTGAGGTTTGAATTACTACTAGTATTTGTCATCATTCAATCGTTTTCAGTTGTATCTGACTCTTCATGACCCTATTTGAGGTTTTCTTGGCAGAGATACTGGAGTGGTTTGCCATTTTCTTCTCCAGCTCATTTTGCAGATGAGGAAATTGAGGCAAATAGGGTTAAGTGACTTGCCCAAAGTCACTCAGCTAATAAGTGTCGGATGCCAGATTTGAACTCAGGTCTTCCTGAGTCCAGGCCTAGCACCCTACCCACTGTGCCACCTAGCTGCCCTGCAACTACTACTACTATTATTAGTAATAATAATAATGGTGATGATAATAATTGTCATTTACATAGCACTTTGCACTTTGAGGTCTGAAGCCTGCCTTGCATACACCCTCATTGGATTCAGCGAGGTCATGGACTTACAAAGATGAAAGATGACACGGTCTCTTCCTTCATGCACCTTGCAGTCTGCTGGGGGCTGGGGGACAATGACTGCCACAAGAACAGCATTCATAATAATAATTAGTACATTAAAGTTTGCCTTCAAACAGGTATTAATTTCCCTTTTTCATAGATGGGGAAATTAAGTCTTTTACAAAAATAATTAAATAAAGTAGAATAATAATGGGGAAAAGGACAAGTCCAGATAATTGGAAAATTAGAGGAGAAAATGGCAAGTTTCAGCTGACGGAATTAGAGGAGGGTTCTTGGAACCGGACCTGGAAGGAAAGAGAAGGGAGTTTTGTTTCAATGAACAAAAATGAGAAGGGAGTGAGGGCTAAATTTGGATTCGGAAGAATCTGGGGCCATATCCCACCTCTGACATTCCCCACCTCTGCTATCCTAGGCAAACTACTTAACCTCTCAACCTCAGTTTCCTCACCTGTAAAATGGAGGTAATGAAAACCCTCACCTCCTACGATTATTGTGAGACTAACAGAATTGTGAGAGTAACAGAATATATTTTTGTAAACCTTGAAGCGCTAGGTGGCTGTGGCCTATAATTAGGGGCCTTTTGGGCCTGGGGGGGTGGGGATGCCCTTTGTGAAAGCATACAGGCAGAAGCCTTAGGGGAACACCTAGTATTATAGTTGGGCTGAATCATAGACTATGTTTTTTTTTTTTAAGCAATTGGGGTTAAGTGACTTGCCCAGGGTCACACAGCTAGTAAGTGTCAAGTGTTTGGTCTGAGGCCAGATTTGAACTGGGGTCCTCCTGATTTCAGGGCCGGTTCTCTATCCACTGCGCCACCTAGCTGCCCCATGAATCATAGACTATGTAAAGAGGAATCGTGTGAAGTAAGGTGCCAGTGTAGATTGGAGCTAGATGGTGGTGGGGTGTGAATGGTTGTTTTTTATCTTGTTGGTTGGAAGAAACTATTGATGGTCTTTTGCAGCTAGGTGGTGCAGTGGAGTCAGGAAGACTCTAATTTAAATCTGGCCTCAGAAACTTATGAACTGTGTGTCCCTGGGTAAGGCACTTAAGCCCTGGCTGCCTCAGTTTCCTCAATTGTAAAATGAGGATAATAACAGCACCTACTTTTCAGTATTATTGTAAAGATTAAATGAGGTAATATTTATAAAGCATTTAGCACAGTGCTCAAGTTTACAGGTTGATAAGCTGAGTCACAAAGACTTGAGTTTGTTTTTGCTTACTCATAGCAAAGTCTGTAAGAGATCTTGAGAGACCTGATGCCCACTATCCAGTGGGCCATGTTTCCTTTTCCTCAGGGGAAATAAAGTTGATTTATCATTTCACTTCATGACATGTGTTTTTCTCTCTTTCTTTTCTTGCCTCTCTAAGGAAACTCACCAAAGTATTGAATCATTATGTGGGTAATGCTGAGGACTCCAGCAAGACCGATTTGCTTTTTGCTGCCTTAAAAGCCTTGAAGTACCTCTTCAGATTTATTGTCCAGTCCCGTGTCCTGTACCTGAGGTAATGAATGGGACATGCCGGTTAAAGTGATTTGCACCTGCCAGTATGGGCCCAGAAGCCTTGAACCTTAGAGTGGGCGTCTCAAATCCAGTCTCCTGGCCCATGCAAGAATACCTTGATAGGTGGTTTTCCAGTGTTGTCCCTTCCCTCCCCTTCCCTTCTCTTCTCTTCCTCCATCAGCCATCTTCACTTTAGCTACCACTTCAGATGTCTTTTTCCTTCTTCCCTCTTCTTTCCCTTCTCCCTTCCCCTCACTTCTCCTTTTCCTTTCCCCTAACTCCTCCCTTCTCCCTTCTCATCTCCTTTTTTTCTCCTCTCATTTCTACCATCTCCCTATTCCTCTTCTCTCTCCCCTCTGCCTCTTTTTTTCTTCTCCCTTCCCAGAAAGCTCCTTCCTACTTACCCACCCCCGGTCCATTAGATGGTAAGCTCCATGAGGGTAAGGTCTTCTTGTTCCCCATGCCATGACATGGCCATTGCATACAGTAGGCACCGACTCAATGTGTGCTGAGGTAAAATGGTGGAAATTGATGGGCAGCCCATCAATTTTTGGAAAGTTAAGAAGTTATTGGAGGACTACTCCTATTCCTAGGGCTAGGGACTGGACTGGGATTTACTGGTAGGTAGGGATGTGTCGTTTGTCCTTCCTTCTCCAAAAAGACCATGACATCAGGAAGGTGATGTCTTGACTTGCAAGTGAACTGGATTTAAGTGAGGCAGGGCTGTGCAGTCACCAGCCTCACCCTCTCCTCCAGTCATCGTAGTCCAGTGGGGTATACAGGGAAATTCTAGGTGAATAAGCCCCCTCTACCAAAGCAGGCCAGCACCTTCCCTGCAATTGTAGCCTTGGAGAGCGTCCTAGAACGCTGACTAGTTAAGTGACTGGCCCAGGGTCACACAGCCAGGATGTGTCAAAGGCAAGACTTGAACTCAGGTCTTCCTGGCTTTGAGGCCAGCTCTCTAATCCATAATAAGCTGGCTCTTATTTGTAAAAGGTGCTAAAATGGTCATCCCCGGAACTTTGAGGAGTTAGGCCTAGATCTGCCCTTTGAGACTTCTCAGAGTAAATCTTTTCAGAATTGAAGATGAAGAAGACAGTGGCCAGACGCCTAATGCCTGTCACGTCCTTTAGAAACTTTAAAGCAGTGGTCCTCAGTGCAGCAGTGCCCACAAAAGAACATTTGAATTTGTTTAATATTAATTTATCTTGCCCAGCGTACCTAGTATGGTAAATATAGTCAGCAAAATTGGCCCATGAACCTCACCGACAACCTGGAAGTCCGAAAGGAGTCAACAAAACCAGATGCTCACATTCAAGGGAAATCACGCGATTCTCCCAAGGTCACTGCCTGGTGTGCCACGTCCATCATGGCCCAGTTAGTGTGAGGACTGCTGCTTTAACAGGCTGCATCAATGCCATTCCTTCTCATTACGCTACTGTTTTTATAATATGATCGATTTATAGAACAATTGATTGACTGCGAGCACTTATTAAGCATTTACATCAGGTCAATACTCTGCTGGGCCCTCATGTGATACAGATGCCAAAGCCGTCCCTCAGAGAGTTTCCTTTGCATGGGTGCCTTCAATCTCTTCTTCAGGTTAAACATCCCAGGCTCCCTCTCCATTATTCATAACATCAGTTCAAGACACCTTTCAATGCTAGTCGCCCTCCTGTGATACACTGCAGTTTCTAGTGTCCCTGCAAAAAGGCAGAATTTGAACCCGGATCTTTTGGAGCGCAAGTTCAGACCTCAGTTCACTATGGATCGAATAAGTGCCACCAGCTAGTCCCACCCTACTTTGAATAGCCAGCACTTAACATGGTGCCTGGTACATAGTAGGAACTTTTTTTCCTTTCGCTTTTTCTTCAGTTCTCTTTCTTCTTCCTTTCCTCCTTTCTCTTTCTTTTTTTCTCTTTTTCTTTCTTTCTTTGTTTTTTTTTTCCTTCTCTGATTTCACTGGTATAGGGAGCTCACTCAGTCTCCCTCAATGGCACCCAATCCATGACCCTGCAGGCATTGCCCTTACCAGGGCAGGATACAGTGGGATCATTTCATTTGGTGTCTTCAGTTTGCATTTTATCCATGAGACTATGATGAGTAACTTAGTCAAATGCCTTGCTGCCATCCAGACTTCATTTGGGGATTTGCTTTTGTTTGTTTTTTATTCACATCAAGCTTGCAAATGGAATTCTCTAAGTCTCTGCCACAAGCCTTTCTATTAACCTCACATCTCTGCTTTCTTGTACTTATAGACGTGATTTGTATTTTTTAACCTAAGCACAGGACATAAAATTCACCATTAACTTTCATCCAGCTCATTTCTGTGTTGGTGCATGGAATTAATGCACAGAATCTGAACTATATTAAGTCCTTTTTACCCTCTTATCCACAGTTTTTGAATCTCGATTTAGTCATTCCGTATAATGGATACATCTCCTAAATGTGTGTCACATGTAAATTTGACAAGCCTGTGTCCCGCGTTTTTTCTCAAAGTCTTTTATAAAAACGTTGAACAGGATGAGGCTGAGAACAGACCCTTGAGGTGCTCCATCATTGACCTCTAACCCTTCTGGTATCAGTGAATGCTCTTTGACTATTGTTGAACTAGCTATGAGTCCATCTAATTATCCAGGCCCCATTTCTGCATCTTATGAGTGATCTTATCAAATGCTTTGCTAGAATTCAGATATAGTATAGCCATGAAAGTGCCCTGATCCACCATGAATGAATGAATGGAGTGAATGAATGAAAAAAATGTATTTAGCAGTTACTGAGCTCCTGTCTTCCCTCCCATTAGAATGTGAGTTCCTGGGGGGCAGGAATCCTGTTTTCAGAGGCCTTTCTTTCCCCCCAGTAGTGACCACATAATAAGAACTTTTTAGATACTTGTGATTGATTGGTTATAGCTGAGGCTACAAATATACAAGATAGTCCCTACCCTGAAAGAGCTTACAGTCCAACAGAGCAGACAATTCCAATAGGGAAATGGTGGCCTAGGAAGAGAGTGTTGGCCTAAAAAAGTATGGTGAATGGTGAGTGAGCTATCAGGCAGTCAATGAACACAGCCTTTCTAGAAACCATGGTAGCATTGATTTAATTACTGTACCTTGAACTAGAGGTGAATGAGAGGGCTGGGGCATGCCATTGAGCCTCCCAGGAAGATGGCCTGAAGTGCTTTTATCTTTTAAGTTTATCAGATTAGTTCAACGTAAGGTGTTCATAATGAATCCATCTGGCACCTGGTAATTACTGATCCCTTTTCTAAGTTCTTGTAAACTGTCTGTTTCGCTTCCCTGTCTAGAATTTTACTAGGGGCTAACATCAGACTCACCAGTCTCTACTTGCTGGCATCTACCTTTTTCTCCTTTCATTTTCCCATGTTCTATTTCTTGCTCTCAATAGTTCCTTATATCAAATATTCTCATTCCACAACCACACCTGCGAATTCCTGAAGAGTGAGTGGCAAAGATGAGATTGTGGAGGAAGCACAGGAGTAAGGCTGGCCCTGCCACCCGCTTCTTTGTGTCCTTGGGCAATCACTCAACCTCTCAGGGGTTCAGTTCCACATCTGTAAAATGGGAATAGTGGTAATATGTGTCTTGATGACTTCGGAGCTTCAGAAAAGGTTCTTTTGAAGATGCAGTGAGGTGATGAATTTAAAAGAGGTGGGTTTTTCAAGTGTCATGTAAATGTAAGGTGGTGTTCTTGTAACAATATAATCAGATCTGTTAGCATGCACCTGAGAATAATAAGAATAAGAATCTCTAGCCTTTATGTAGGACTTTGAGATTTGCAAAGCACTTTACTAATATTATCTCATTTGATCCTTACTGCGACCTGCAGAGGTGGGTGCTGTTAGATCAGATTTGAATTTGGGTCTTCCTGACTCAAGGAAGCCAGATGGCACAGTGGATAGAGCACCAGGCCTGGAGTCAGGAAGACCTGAGTTCAAATCTGGCCTCAGACTCCTACTAGCTGTGTGACCCTGGTCAAGTCACTTAACATGTTTGCCTCAGTTTCCTCATCTGGAAAATGAGCTGGAGAAGGAAATGGTAAACCACAATTATTTAGGTCTGTCTTTATTTCTGCAATGAATATTTTATGGTTAGATTCATATAGTCTCTGGGTGAATCTTGGAAGTTACACACCCGTTTTTTATAGCATCTATGGTTATTAGAGTGGAATTTCTCTTTCTAGCTCTTCTTGCTGTATTCTTTATCACACACACCAAAAAAAACCAAAAACCAAATGTTATTTATTGTTATTATTATTATTCTAATTATAATTTTATTATTCTTAATTTGGACCCAGAATCTTAAGCTAATTTACCATAGCTTGGCCTCCTCACCTGTTTTGGCTCTCCATTCCCTCATAACTGTGTTTGCCAGGTCTTTCTTGGTTGCAAACCATCCTGTTTAGAAGAGAAGCTGAACTCTCTGCCAGATCTTGCACCATCTTCCTCAAGCTACGTGTCTTTTCCTTCCTTGTTACTGCCCCGACTAAGCTTTTGAAAAACCACAAATACCCATTCACTGCCTTCAGAGTTTTTGTCAAGCCTCATCTCATTTGAACTTTTTATCTGGTTGACAAAATGCTTATAGTTTCTGGTCACCCATTCAATTCAATACATTTGTTGAGCACCTACTGTATGCCAAGCACTGTGCTAGATTCTGGGGACAGAAAGGCAGAAGGGAAGGGGTTCCTGTCCTGAAGAAGCTTCCATTCCCATGGCAGCAATGCCAGCTGGGCGCAAAGGGTGCAGAGCTGGCTGTGTGACCTTATTTTCGTCTTTTCCACGTGTTGTTTTCAGATGTCACATCGTCAGCATCCCTGGAGCCACCACATTAGCCTATCTCATCATTTTCTTCCTCATCGGGATCATTTGCAGTTTCATTATTAGAATTCTGTTTTTGAGATCCTCTTGAGCCTTCCTTTTCCCTTTTAGAGTCTCTGGCTTTGATGTAATCATTATCATTCCTCTGACCTTTTTGAAATATACTTTCCTCAGGTCTAGGATGTGTGTCTAACAATGCTGATCACTTGCTTCCTTAGTCTCAGACAACCTGGCCATTTTATCCCCTGGAACTTCTCACTTCTACCTCCCTGGCCAGCTCCTTACCTTTGCCCATAGTGGTCTAGGGCAGCAGCCCCCTTGTTTTTCCCTCTGCCTTTTGAAGGATGATGTGGCCCTTTCCCCCTCCTATAGAGACGTCTTTCCCCTGTATGTCTGTACTCAACTATAGCTTTGGCAGATGGCCAGTCAGTAATGTCATCTCTGTTACAAAGGATTGCCGTCTTCCTACTGAAGGGAGTAATCCTGCTTCTCAAAAGTTGCTCCCTGCAATTTCAGTAAACCTCCAGCAAGGAGTGATAGACAACAAATGCCTGGGATTATATTGATTGGTGGCCAAGATCAAAGATTTTGTGGGGAACTCCAAGCTTCTTACTGCTAAAAAATTCCCAAACAGACAAAGGTTAATTCCTTCAAACGACCATCAGACTTCATGAAGGCAGTAGTAATAACAGCTCACCTTCAGATAGTGCTGCACAGTGAGATGTGGGTCCTGGCATTGTGTGTTTGTTAGGTTTTTATGTAAAGGACTGAGAAGCACCAGTGTCTTATCAATGAGTAATACATTTCTATCAAGGATAAGTAGGCAGCATAGTGGTTAAGAATACAGGGACTGAAGTCAGGAAGGCCTGAGTTCAAATCCAGCCTCAGATACTTACTAGCTGTGTGATTTGGGCAAGTCACTTAATTGCTGTCTGCCTCTGTTCCTTTATCTGTAAAGGGATAATAATGGGCAGCTAGGTGATGCAGTGGATAGAATACCAGGTCTGGAGTCAGGAAGACCTGAGTTGAAATCCAGCTTCAGACACTTACCAGCTGTGTGATCCTGGGCAAGTCACTTAACCCAGTTAGCCTCAGTTTCCTCATCTGCAAAACGAGCTGAAGAAGGAAATGGCACACCAGTATCCTTGCCAAAAGATACAACCCATCTGCCATGAATGAAAGCCCCTTTTATGTGTTGTCTCCACAGGTTGGATGCAAATTCCTTCAGCTCAGGCACAATCTCATCTTCTCTCTGTGTCCCCAGAGCTTAGCAAAGGGTTTGCCATTCCATGGTTGGCTAGCTGGGGACTCTGGTTATAGAATAGCAATTATTAAATTATTTCCCTGCTTTCCTCCAGATTTTGGCCGTCTCAGGTTATTCAACTAGATCCTATCAAATCTAAAAAAAAATCATTCTAACAGCTAACATTTATATAGCATTTCAAGGCTGGCAAAATGCTTTATAAGTATCATTTCATTTGATCTTCACAACTACCCTGGGAGGTAGGTGCTATTATTATCTTCTTTTTACAGATGAGGAAACTGAGGCAGACAGAGGTTAAATAACTTACATAGCTAATAAGTATCTGAGGCTGGATTTGAGCTCAAATCTTCCTGACTCTTAAGTCTGGTGTTCTATCCACTGCACCACCTAGCTGCCTCTTGCTTTCTGCCTAGCTAGGAAGAGGAGTAAAGAGTGGAGAACTGGGTGGGCTTTAGATTTGTTGAGGCTATGAATATAATCTAGATTTCCTTGAGGTTGATTATTCCTTACCCTCGCCTCTTTTTTCCTTCAGATTTTATGGTCAAAGTGAAGATGGGGATGAATTTAACAATGCAATTCGCAAGCTGTTTCTCTCCTTTAATAACCTAATGGACAGACCCCTGGAAGAGGCTGTTAAGATCAAGGTTAGTATGATCTTCACTGACCTACCTTGTCTTATAGACTGGGCACGTTCCTGGAAAATTGCCTAGAAGAAGTTTTTTTGTTTTGTTTTGCTTTTTTCCAAGAGGAATAAAACTTCAAATATACTAGGAGAGCTTGGGGGACTATGGGCCTTTCTATGGAAAGACTGGATAATTTTCCCCATGCTCCTCTGTTTTATACAAAATGTATTTGCATACATGCCCTCGCTTTCTTTTTGACACGTGTAAATTCAGAAAAGTTGTTAAGGGCACTGGTTCACTTAGTCTTCCTGTCCTTGGAGAGTCTCCCCTTCCCAAGAGTGTCAAGCATCTGTAATTGTCATCACCATTCATTGGCTTTAATTCATTGTCCTTTCATTCATTCACTCATTTCTCTATCATTCATTCAACAGGCAAGCATCAGTTATCTCCCTACTATGTACAAAGCAGTGTGCTGGTTACTCGGAAAATTTAAAGATGAATAAGACACTTCCTCTGCTCGTGAAATATTCATAGTCTAGTAGAAGTGATGAGTGAGAGACACATAAATGAAATTTCAAAGGAAAATATGAAAAGTGCAAAAGAGAAGTACAAAATTCTCTGAGAGTTTGAAAGAAGGTAGAGGGTTGTGAGGGCCCAGGGACCTTACACCTGACGGTCACTGGGGCCACTTCTTTCTTGATGCCATCCTTTGGAAGGTCCTAAGACTGAAGGAGAATTAGCATTTTCCTTGGATAAATAGAAAACTTCTTTTTCCAAAAAGAAAATGCTTTCTGTTGACTCCAAGAACATCTAAGAGATGACCCCAGAGGAAGCAAATATTGCTAATGGCTTGAAATCCAACTCACATTTTTTGTCAATTCTTTGGGATCCAGGGCCCAGTGGGGTCCCCAGGATCATGCACAGATCTCAGGCACTTAGCTGGGTGACCCTGGGCAAGTCACTTCACCCTGTTTGCCTCAGTTTCCTCATCTGTAAAATGAGTTGGAGAAAGAAATGTCAAACCACTCCAGTATCTTTGCAAGAAAACCCCGAATGGGGTCATGAAGAGTCAGACAGGACTGAAACAACTGAACAACAACACAACCTCTGACTCTGAAGATTGTGTTTTTCCCGCCCTTTTCATAAGCCAAGAGATCTAGAGTTGGAAGTGACCTCATCCCTCATTTTATAGATTGAAGCACCTAGGAGACGGTGAATACTGGCGTCAACTTCAGCCTGAATTTCAAAGATCTTTTCTTTGTGATTATTTGCTTTTTTGTCTGGCAGTTTTTTTAACACGTGTTTATTAATCTTTTGTTTTCACATCATCTACATTTCCTAATGTATTTCCCTTTTCCCTTTCCAGAGAATAATTCCTTGTAACAAATAAGAAAAAGAGACATTATATGCAGTGTTCTGTACCCATAGGCCCCCACCTCTGAAGAGATAGGAGGGAGTTCCTTTTCTCACGTCTTCTCTGGGGTTAAGAATGATCATTCTAATTTCACAGCGGTCAGACTTGGTTGTTTCATTCCTGCTATTCCTTCCATTTACATCATTGTGGTCACTGTGTATGCATTTTCAAAACAAAAACCCTTTATCGACCTGTCCCTGGAGCCTATTCCAAGATTGTCTCTGAGCCTCAGTTTCCTCATCTGTAGACTGAGAGGCTTGGGTTGGTTCTGACTCTCCGTCTGTCTCACTTTTCTTGCAGGGCGCGGCTCTGAAGTACCTTCCCAATATAATTAATGATGTCAAGATGGTGTTTGATCCTGTTGAACTCAGGTAAAGAGGAGTGAGTTGGCCATCCACATGTAGCCAAGACAGGTGTTGCCCCTTGATCTGACAAGGGAGGAGGCCCTCATCATTGGCTTGACCAGCGTCTCTACTGAGCGCACATGTGTACATGTAGGGACACTATTGGACCAAAAGATGCGCTCCAGGCACTCCTAACCTGCCTGCAGGGGCCCTGTGCCCAAGGGCCAAAGGAAGACACAGGGCAGGATCTTCTTGGTGTGGGGAGAGGCAGGTGGAGGGCCATTCGAGGTGGGCCAGGTTTTTGCAAGCACCTGATGGAAGAGGATGTGTCGAAACGGGGTGAGCGAGAGAAAGGAGTGTTTGTCCCGAGCCTCTGGGAAGGCTCCAAGAATCTAATCTTCCTTTTCTCCTTCGGAGAGAAGGGCTCCCTCTCAGCCCAAGTCCCAGGGAGGGCGGTGAAGTCCAGGATGGCCCCTGGCAGTGCAGCCTTGAATGGGGGACGGGCGAGGGAGGCCTCTGATGGATCTGGTTCTTTGTAGCATCCTCTTCAGCAAATTCATCCAAAGCATTCCTGATAACCAGCTGGTCCGACAGAAGCTGAACTGTATGACCAAGATAGTAGAGAGTAACCTCTTCCACCAGACAGGTGAGTGTCACACCAAGGCAACTCAAGTCAACTTGGCAACAAGAAAACCCCTGATTAGGAGTCAGAGGACCCGGGGCCCTGGGCCAGCTCCGCCACTTCCTCCCTGGGCAACCCTCGGCAGGAGTTCGCTTGTCTGGTCCTCCCTTTCCTCCTCTTTAAAAGCAGGGGGCCGGACTCTATGATCTCTGATCTCTTTTCTAGCCCCAACTTTACGGTTACATTTTACTTGAGGAAGCCTTTAACCTCCCTGTGCCTCAGTTTCTCCAAAGATAAATAATGGCCTCTTGGGTGCTTCTTACCTCAGAATCTAAGATCTTATGATTTGTATTAGTGGAGGGCATCCTACCACATTTGAGGTCATAGAACCATCACTATGCATTTACGCAGCCATGGAATCCTCCACATCCCCTTTTTAAACCTCAGTTTCCTCATCTTTAAAATTAGAATGTTGAGCCAGATGACCTCTGGGCCATCTTACTGTTCACCCAGGCACTTTGCTAAGAACTGGAGATAGAAAGAAAAAATGACAAAGTTTCTACCTGTAAAGAGCTAAATTTTGCCAAGAAGGAAAAATACATAAGGTCAGAGGCCCCTAAGACAGGAGCTCCCTCTGGGGGAATGGCACTGGGAGTGGGAAAGTTGATGATTTAGGGCAGGGATGGGAAACCTGCAGTCTCGAGGCCACGTGGCCCTCTAGGCCCTCAAGTGCGGGCCCTCTAACTGAATCCAAACTTCACAGAACTGTTCCCCTTCATAAAAGGATTTGTTCTGCAAAACTTGGACTCAGTGAAAAGGCCACACCCAAGGACCTAGAAGGCCACATGTGGCCTCGAGGCTGAAGGTTTTCCACCCCTGGTTGAGGGAAAGCATTCTAACATCTCTAGGACCCTTACTGATCCAGAGCTCAGTAGGAGTCAGAGATTTATAGATCTAGAATTGGAAGGGATGGTATCTCAGAGGACAACTAGTCAAATCCATTCATTTTACAAATATGGAAACTGAGACCCAAGGAGGTTAAGGATTTGTCCAAGGTCGTGGAGGATGCAATTGGACCCAAGTCATTGGACTGCAGAGTCAGGGTTCTATACTGAGGCCTGAAATGCTCACCCAGCCCCTTCTCTGGCCAACGGTCCATTATCCCAGAATGAATCGCCAAGGTCCTCCCTAGGAATTGTCGACGGGTGCTCCAGGCACCCCCAGGGAACCCGCTCTTCGGGGGAAACTGAGGTCAGTTCCTGAGTCTCTGCAGTTCCCCAAACATTCCGGACTTGAATCGTCTTTCTGAGAACAATCAACCAGTGTCATCCTGTGTTCTCAGACTCTCCCCCTGCTCACAGCGTGATGGAAAGTGAGGGGCAGACACACAGTGGGGAGCCTTTTAAGCACTTTCTTCTTATTACCCCAAGGCAGAGAGCTTCAAACCATTCATTTAAAAATAAACCTGCCCCCCTCTGGTGGTGCAGACAGAGCCTGGCTGGCAGTGAGGCTGTAGGCCCTGGTGGCTGTGATCTTGAGCTCCTTGTCATTTTATAGATGGAGAGACTGAGAAACAGAGGCCTGGAGTGGTAGAATGCCTTAGCCAAGGTAACAGACCTAGCAAGTGGCAGAAGCAGCAGATGAATCTGGAATGGTTCTTTCTACTCTAGATGTGGCTAGGTGATGCAGTGGCGACCTGAGTTCAAATCCAGCCTTAGAACTTACTAGCTATGTAACCCTGGGCAAGTCACTTTACCTTTGTATACCTCAGTTTATTGCCTGTAAAATGGGAGTAATAATGGCACCTCTTCCCCCACCCAACTCCCTGCAAGGATTGTTGTGAGGATCAAATGAGATAATATTTGTAAAGTACCTAACACATAGTAGGCATTTTAAAATTCTTGTTTCCTTCCTACCTACCCTGATGATACCCTCAGGTTATTATTTAATAAAGCAATTATAGATTTAGAACTGGAGCCCCACCATTTTACAGGTGAAGAAACTGAGGCACAGAGAGGTTAATGGAATAAATATATTTACAATCATGCCATTTTGTCTGCCACCAGGAGTCTTTACTAAAGGTCAACTCATGCCCTCCCCCTCATCCTCCCAGCCTTCCCATATACTGGATTCTCCAGGTCCTGCCTCATCCTGTGACCCTGACTTTGAGGGCTGCTGGTGCAAGCTCATAGAAAGCAGAGGCTGATTCATGTTTGCCTTTGTACCAGTGTCTGGCACTAGTGGATTCGAGTAAACTTGCACTGTTGGATTTAATTTTACTTAAATAACCACAAAAACAGCAAACGTTTACTAGGCACCTACTCTATTTAGAGCACTGGGCTCACCGTTGTGGGGGGTACCATGATTAAATAAGACAGTTCCAGCCCTTAAGTAGTGTCCAGCTTACATATAAGACTCTGGCACTGATTGCTATAAACTATAATATCCCTAGTGTTACACAGGGTCTGAGGGTATTCTCCATGGAAGGAACGAAGGAGATGGCCCAGAGGAGGCAACATTTGAGCTGCACTCTGTTCATCAGTGCTCTGCCCCAGATATGCTCTGAGCCATGCTGAAGGCAAGGCAGTGGGAGTATGCCAAGTACTCTTCTGTGTCCAGCCAAGACCACCTGGGAGGGGGGTTAGCCTTGATATCTTCCGTGCGACCCTCCTCTCTGTCTTCTAAGCAGAGCCCCTGAACCCATCATGGCACTGAAAGAGGGCAGGGATGCCCTCCAAATGGGGTGGAGAGTCCACTGGAGATCTCCAAGCCCCCAGAGAGAGGGGTGATGACCCTCCTTACCCTCATGAGCCTATACAGAGTTAAAAGTGAATTCTTCCACTGTGACCTTAGAATGGTTTCTTCAGGCCTCAGCTTCCAAAAGATGATCAGAGTAGAAATTCTAAAAGAGCGCCTTCCAACTCTAACATTCCATAAACCTGAGTTTATATTAACATCACATTAATATATTAATAGTTTATATATGTGTTTAATTTTAATATATTATTATAGATCACATATTGTGTGTGTTATGTAGAAGAGCTAATATTATATGTTAATATATATTAGTTTATATTAATTAAGTCCCAGCTCTTTTAAGTTATGTGACTTTAGGTAAGTGACTTTCCCGATCTGGGCCTCAGTTTGGTTATCGAGCATTGATTGATCATGTCTTCATGGATCACAAAGTCCAGACTCTCCCTGCTCTCCAATTATGTGTCCAGGTTTATACATTAATTTATGGGAAGAATTATCCCCATTTTGCAGACGGTAAAACTTAGTTTGAGTATGATTAACGATTTGTCCAAAGTCACAACTAGTAATCATTGAGGCAAGATCTGAGCCCAAGTCATCTCACTCCCAGCCTAGGGCTTGGCTCGCTGCCTCTTCACACAGAAATTTAATGTTTTTGAAGCAAAAGTTGTAAGTGAAAGAAAGGAGAGAGTAACAGGGGAATGAAATGAGGGAGAGAAGGAAAAAAGGAAAGAGCGAGAGACAACAGAGGAGGAAAGGACAGAGGACAGAGAAGGAAAGGGAAGGAAAGGACAAATGAGAAAGAAGGAAAAAAAGAAATGAATGGAAGGAAGGAAGGAAGGGAGGGAGGGAGGGAGGGAGGCAGGAAGGAAGGAGAGAGAACAAAACACACATAGAGTGTGCTGAGATTGTCTGAGATGGTGCCGCTGGCTGCCGGCTTAGCTAGCCTCGGACGCCGTGGGTGCAGCGAGAAGTCTCTGGTTTGGGCAGAGAGTAGAGTGCTTGCCTGTTGCAGAAGGCTTTTGCAGCTCCCGGCAGGCAGTAGTATGGTATCCCCATTTCCTTCCTCAGAGTGCAGAGATGCTCTGCTCCCCCTGCTCATTGACCAGCTCAGTGGCCAGCTCGATGACAAGTCCAACAAGCCTGACCACGAGGCAAGCTCACAGCTCCTCAGCAACATCCTGGAAGTGCTGGACAGGAAGGATGTGGTGAGTGGCTGCATCCCCCGCCCTCCCCGGGCTGAGCTAGCCTTGCACTTGCCTGGGGCTGGGGAGACGATGATGATTCCTGTTCTCTCAGCACGGCCGCAGAGACCTCTTTGTAGGTCTGAGCAGGCCCCACCCCCAAGTGCAAAGTACCCTCAGAGTGGATTTTTAAAACCAGCTATTGCACCTTCTTATGCAATCTTGCAGCTCAGTCCAACTCACCCAATGTTGACGTGCCAGACACTGTTTCAGTGCCAGGGTGTGAGCCAACGGAGGACCTACCCTCGAATAGCTTACAAGTTAATGTGGGGAGATGGGGGTGACATAAATAGGTAAATACCCTGAATAAAGTTTAGAAAATGGAAAAGAAAGAGAAACCAGACTGGCTTCGAGAGGTTTGGGGAGGAAGAAACTGCTTCTAGGAACGCAACTAGGTGATATAATGTATAGAGCACTGGCCCTGAAGTCAGGAGATCTGAGTTCCAATCTGGCCTCAGACACTTAGGGCAACTCACTTAACCCCGATTGCCTCCAAAAGAAAAAAACAATTGCTTCTGGGAAGACGTGCTACCTAAGCTGGCCTACGAAGGAATTGTGGCGCAGTGTGAAGGACCCTAAATTTGGAGTCCTAGGCTTGTAGGACCATAGATTTAGAGCCGGCAGGAGTCAACAAATCCACCCCACCTTATTTTTTAATTGAGGAAACTGAGGCCCAGAGAGACTGGCTGCCTTAATAACTTGGGATCATTGAGGTCAAGTTGGAAGTGACCTCAGTGGGCATCTAGTAATACCCCTCCTTTTACAGACAGCCAACTGCTATACTGTGGAAGTCACCTTCTCACTGGGGGTGGGCAGGGGGTGTCCATTCCTTGCCGAGAATTTGCCTTCAAGGTAATCATAGCCATGACCAATCAGGTCATAAGAGCAAATGCAACCTCTACCAGCAGGTGGCACAGGATTTTAGAATTGGGGAGGGCCAGAGACGTCGTCCAGTCCAGAGATGTGAAACTCTTGTCCGCAGATGGCAAACAGCCACAACTCCCAGTGTGGCTTGAACCAGATTAAAATTTAATAGAGAAATGTTTGTCATTGTTCAGTAGTGTGCAACTCTTCATGACCCCATTTGGAGTTTTCTTTTAATTTTTTTTTCTTATTTTTAGGCAATTGGGGTTAAGTGACTTGCCCAGAGTCACACAGCTAGTAAGTGTCAAGTGTTTGGTCTGAGGCTGGATTTGAACTCAGGTCCTTCTGACTTCAGGGCTGGTGCTCTATCCGCTGTGACACCTAGCTGCCCCTAGGAGTTTTCTTGGCAAAGACACTGGAGTGGTTTTGCCATTTCCTTCCCCAGCTCATTTTACAGATGAGGAAACTGAGGCAAACAGGGTTCAATGACTGTCCCAGGGTCCCACAGCTAGCAAGTAAAACTGAAGCTAGATTTGAACTCAGGGAAATGAGTCTTCCTAACTCCAGGCCTGGCAATCTACTGCCATCTAGTTGCCTAAAAATGTTTGGCAGATTAAATAAAAATACAACCTAGGTAATGTTAATTTGTGGTTTTCTAAGTCAATATTCTGCCCACAGAGATGCATTTCTATGGGAGTTTGACCCTTCTGCTCTAATCCACCCCCCTCATGTTGTAAATAAAGAAACTGAGGCACACAGAAAGAAAACTAAGCCAAGTAGCTTGTGACTGTAACCAATTCGAGCACAACAGAAAATGATGCTCCAACTTCTATAGAATGAGTGTAAATATTCTGGTCTAATTACTATATGATAATAGACTATAAAGGGGCAGCTAGGTGGATGGAACGCCGGACCTGGAGTCAGGAAAACCTGAGTTCAAATTCCGCCCCAACATTTACTAGCTATGTGACCCTGGGCAAGTCACTTCACCCTGTTTGCCTCAGTTTCCTCTGTAAAATGAGCTGGAGAAGGAAATGGCAAACCAGTCCGGTATCTTTACCTGGAAAACCCCGGAAGGGGTCACAAAGAGTCAGACACAACTAAACCAGAGCAAACAATAGACTATAAAATATTCCCAGCACGTAAAAAATACCCCTCTGTGGACATAAATTTGACCTAAACTAAAAGTCACATGTGATTCAACTATTTAAACCAAAGGCTTGATTTCTAGCCTTGACTATAACTGACAAGTTGGGTTCATGCAGTGATGACTGAGGCAATATGTTTTGAACAAATGAATGAATGAGTGATAAGTCCTCTGCATCCCAACGGGTTCACGAAGGCCTGTTTTAGCAGGTCTGGTGTTCTTCCACACTCCTCAGCTGAATACGGTCAATGATTTTTTCTTTCTTTTTTTTCTTTCTTTTTTTTTTTTAACAGTCTCTTTCTTTGAAGGGAAAAGGTCACTTAGGTACTAAAAAGAAGCAGGTCACTCACTAGCTGTGTGACCCTGGGCAAGTCACTTCACTCCAATTGCCTTGCCAAAATTAAATAAACTAAACTAAACTAAAAGAGGCAGGCGTGTTCCCCGCAGAGCTCTCTGGAATCCAGGAGTACCGCTTGGAGTGAAACGGCCGGCCCTTCTTTCTGTGTTCCTCCCTCAGGGCTCCACCTCAACGCACATCCGGCTGATCATGGAGCGCCTCTTAAGGAGAATCAATCGGACTGTGATTGGGATGAGCCGGCAGTCTCCCCACATCGTGAGAACCATTCATTACAAATTCCTGAGCTTAAGTTGCTGAATTTGTTTCTAAACGACTTTCACTTCTGAATATAGACTTCCTCTCCCTACCATTTCGGCTGTCCCCTGCATCCACAGATCCCGACCATACAGGCAGTGTACATACCCGTAGTCCCTTGTTTCTGCAAAGAGGGAAGGAGGGGGGTGTTTTTTGTCCCCTCTTCTGTGAGCACCTGGTTTGTTTTGTTTCATTTTTGCATTTAAAAAAAAAATTGCAAATTTGAAAAAAAAGTCATACTGGTCACTGTTTTCTTGGATTTGCTCATCTCTCTAACTTTAATTCCTGCGTTAGGCCTTTGTACCAGACCAGACTCTGCCCCTGCAACGTGTTTGAATGGGGTGATCACCTTTGCTTGATCTTACCCTGGCATTCTTATGCTGACCTCTCCCTCCTGGGGTTAGGACCCCCTGAAACCTTGAGGTTCAGAGTGCTAGACCTCCAGGGTCCTCTCAGGCACCTCAGGCCATGGTGCTAGGGACCTCAGAACCCCAAGTCTGAGTCACTGGCCACTGCTGCTACCAAGGGTTTCCAAGGACTTCGCCCAGGGCATTTTTCTGTCTTTGGACAGAGTCTTACACAGTACAAAAGCAGAGAGACCCATTAAAAAAAAAACAGAGAGTGACAGATTCTTAGAGACAAAAGAACACTTAGAATTGCAAATACGTCCTGAGGGATGGATGACCCCCTTTGCAAAGATGGCTGGTCCAGAGCAGTGACTTCAGACTTTACACTGGCCTACCCCGAGGTCTGGCGGGCTGCAGAGTGATTCCACCCTCAGTCACCCAGAGACAGCATATTGCTGGGATGGGTCCGAAGGAACTACCCTCCCAAGACCTGAGCACAAACTGAGCTGCATTCTTAGAGCCCTAGTGTTCAACACTTTCCACCTGAGTAGAATCCCATTGTCATAAATCTGATGGCGTGAAGTTTTCCCAAGGCCTCCTGGGCGGGGCTCATCGCTGCAGGGGCCTCAACTGACCGTCCTTCCTTTCCAGGGCAGCTTTGTCGCTTGCATGACCGCCATCCTCCGGCAGATGGACGATTTCCACTATAACCACTATATCAGCACTTTCAAGACCAGGCAGGATATCATTGTAAGTGGTCATCAGAACGTCCTGCCAGCCCTGAAACGTTATCCCGGAGTCAAAGGCTCCTTTGTCCTTGGTCCAGGCCCATTTCATCACATTCAACACCCACTCTTAAAATTTGTACTTATACCTTTTCATCTTCACATCACCTTTGTTTACATCTCCCGTACCCACCTCCCACCTTAGCAAAGAATGATAAAAACCATTCAGTATAATTAACCAGCATGTCCACTGAATATGAAAATGTATTCACTAAGTATATGTGCATATGTGTACATATATACACGCACGTGTCTTTGCAAGCATAGGAGAACAATACACATATATGCATGCATATACACAATACACACGTGCATGGATACACATAGGATATAGGTGTAAAACACACACATATATACATACAATGCATATATACATACATACATATACATATACACAATACAAATATGCACATATACATACAAAATATAGGTACAGAATATATATGCATAACATGCATATAAATATACACAGAGAATATAGGCATAGAATATATATATATATACACACACATGTGCATATATACACACAAATGTATGTATATATGTGTGTATATGTGTGCATTCTGCACCTGTATTCTGCTGCGTCTACAAAGAATTGAGAGAACCATGTTTTATCATCTCTTCTTTAGGACCAAACATGGTCAGTATAATACCACAGCGTTCCATTTTGTTTTGCGGTTCTTTCCGTTTGCATTGCTGTTGTCGCTGTGTATATTGTCTTCCTGGTTCTGCTTACTTCACTCTGCATCAGCTCATGTAAGTCTTCCTGAGCTTACCTCTGTTCATTCATTCAGCTTTTCCCTCGCTGTTGCCTGTATCTGTTCATATAACACATCTGCTTTCGTGATTCACAAAGAAATGGTGATCTGCTTTATTTCCAGTTCTTTGCCACTACAAAACATGCTGCTGTGAATATTTTGGTCTAAGTGGAGACTTCCTTTCTATCTTCGGCTCACTCTAAGAAGCATTGTTAAGCACCTCCACCATGCCAGGCACTGTGCTGTTTACCGGTGGTATAAAATTAAAGACAAAGCAGTCTCTCCTCTCAAGAAGTTTCTATTTTACTGGGAAGATACAGCCTGTAGACAGGCTAGCAAACACCCAAGATTGTGGGAAGCGATTGAGCGTGAAAAGCTGGGCGATCAGCTGTCGAAGGCAGTGCATGACGTGAGACCCGAAGGAGGCTGGTGAAAGATTCATAGAGATGATGGGGAGGAGGGAGTGCATTCCAGGCGTGAGGGACAGACATTCTTTGCAGAAGCCCACAGCGGGCAGGTGATGGAATGCTGAGTTTGGGTTTGAGATGCCTACAAAGATGAGGGTGAGGAGGCATTGGTGCAACTCCAGCAAGATAAATACGAGAGCCTGGGGAGTAAGGCCCCCGGAGTCTCTTCCCAAAGCCTTGAACGTCTTGCCCATCTGACTTCGGGCAGGACAGTAAAAACGGGAGGACTTCTAGTTCCTTCTTGACTGTGTGGCACTTTGAAAAAAGGCATGCACCAAATTCCAAAGGGTTGTTGCATGCAGTTATGCAATCCTAGAGGGGCAGTTAGATGGCTCAGTGAATAGAGAGCTGGGCCTAGAGTTAGGAAGACCTGCTACTGTGAAATGGTTACTGAATCTGCTTCCTAGGACCTGGGTTCAGATCCTGCCTCTGAGGCTCAATACCTGTGTGACTGTGGGTGAGTCATCGAACTTCCACGGGTCTCAGTTTCCTCATCTGTGAAGTGAGCTGATTGGACACCCTGGCCTCTGGGCTCCCTTCCTGCTCCAAGACTGTGATCCCACGATCACACTGCCATCTCCCTCCCTGGGAGTTGACTACATAGGGCCAACAGAGAGGGTGAGCCTTCCCACCCAGGATAATTTCAACTCATTTTTGTTGAGCAATAGAGCCCCCTACAGGACACATTCGGTATAGCCTTCCACTTCGATTTTGAGATGAAAACGCTTAATCTGATCTCTTGATCTCAGTGCTTTTTCCATTTCAAAACAAAGGGACAGAAAGTGCTGGTCTTGCACTTAGGAAGACTTGAGTTCAAATATCACTTCTGCCACCTAACTAGCTTGGAATATCTCTGACTCACAGTTTCCGCCTGTAAAATGGGAACAATAAAACCTGTATTAAGTACCTGCGTTGTTGTGCGTCCTAAGGGCTTTACACTTTACCCCGACATAGTGTGTAAATCTGTCATATGGAGACTGTTTCCTGCTTTCTCTTTGTGTCTCCAGTACCTGGCAGGTGCCTGACACATAGTATGTGCTTAATTAGTGCTTGCAATTGATTGTATTCAGAAGACAGTGAGGTGGAGGATTGCAAAGCTGATGAAGCGTCTTGTTGAGCAGGTCACTTTCTTCTGAGCAATTCTCTGTTGTCCAGCTGCCTCAGGGAGCCCACCCACTCACGCTTCTACCCTTCTACCGCGGTGAATCCCCAGCAGCTCATCACACCACCAGGTGCTGATGACTTCCCATCGATTTTGAATTTTACTGTTTCTTTTCATCTTGTCTGCTCTGTTAGAATATAAATTCTTGAGGGCAGGGATTGGTTTTTGCCGGCACTTGATAGAGGGCCTAGCACAAAGTAAACTGTTAGTACGTATCTGTTGACTGTCTAAAGGCTCTTAACAAGTTTTTGATCGGTTGATTGATTCTATAAGATGAAACCGTTCATCACCACAGAGTATGTATGCTTCACTCCACACCCATTGTCCTTTCCCTTCCTAATGAAAGGAAGAAGGAAGGCGGCTTTCCTCACCTCTTCTCTGAAGCCAAACTTGGTCATTATAATTATGCATAAACGCTGACTTTTCTTGGCCTGTGTTTTGTGCAGGACTTCCTGATGGAAACCTTCATCATGTTCAAGGATCTCATTGGGAAGAATGTGTATCCCCCAGACTGGATGGTTATGAATATGATGCAGAACAGGTAAAGGGGGAAGCTTCTCCAGCTGGAGGCACTCACGGTGGTCTGATGGGGCTAAGCCTGGGCTAGACTTCAGTGATGATGCCACACCCCACCACCTAACATCTGCTGGTGGCTTCCCGAACAAACGGCACTCGCTTCAAGTCCAGTCTCTGGGCCAGACTAATTGCGTGACCCTGGATGAGTCACTTAAACTTTCAGTGCCCCCAACCGTCTCTCTAAGATTTTAAATTACAATAATAGTTATTAATCTTTGATACAGGTTAGAGATCGCTAGACCATTTCTTTGACTTCTGATCCCCTCCCCCTCCAAAGAAGAAATGAGAACTGGTTTAATTTTTCTTTGTATGTTTGGAGATTAGCCCTGCCTATAGCAGAAGGGCAATACAGCGTAGGGATAAGAACCCAGGACCAGGAGTCACAAAGATTGTCTCTGCCACCTATTAGCTGTGTGATCATAAACAAGTTATTTAACCTCTCAGGGCCTCAGTTTCCTCATTTGAAACTCAGACTGTAAGCCCTTTGATGATAAACTCCTATTTGTGTTCCCTTTCTGTATCTTCAGTACCTGGCAAACAGTAGGTGCTTAAAAAATGCTTGTTGACTTGTTGAAAAATAAGGTGGCTTAAACTAAATGCTCTCTAAGGTCCCCGCCACGTGGCAGGTTCCAGGATTCTAGCCAAGACTTGTTCTCTGAATGTAGGGAGGCCAAAGCCCGGTGATTATGAGGGTCCTTTCTTTACAAGGCTGCTTCTTCCCCCAGGGTTTTTCTGCGGTCTATAAACCTATTTGCTGAAGTTCTCACAAAGTTCTTCATGGACCAGGCAAGCTTTGAACTCCAGGTAAGACACCGCTATTCCCCTACGTTCTTCCTAAGCTGTCGCCGGGCCAAGAAAGCAGTTTTCATTGGGAGACATGCCATTTCCATTCTCCTCATACATCCAGAAAGCATACTCTTCTGTTCTGTCCTCCTTTGATGGCAGAGGCATCCACCCACCTCGTCCCCCCCAGGGCAGGAAATGATGACTGAGCTTGGTTGCCTGTGGCCTAAACTTCTTAGGAGAACCAAAGGATTGTATGCCTGTCACCTTCCAAAGCAGGAAACGTTTGACCCAGGAGGTTGGGGGAGTAAGGCCATATGTGCCAAGCTACGACTTATATGCATTTAGCAAATTACGAGGCAGTGCATTGGGGGGGGTAGAGTTCTGGGCTTGGAGTCAGGAACATCTGGGGGTGAATTCCACCTCTGAGACTTATTCCCTGTGTGGACCTAGGCAGAGCAGAAAGTTTCTCCTGTTCCCAACTGCTTGTGTCCTCCCTCCCAAACTACCCTGGAGCATATTTATTCACTTTATTGTTATGATATATATGTACACGTGGATGTATGTATATTATTATATTCTAGGTAACATAACATAACAATATCTTTTTATTATCTAGAACATAATAATATTCATTGTGTCATATAATTTATTTATAATTACTATAATATATATGTGGTTAATGTGTTCTATTATCAATATAATATATTAATAATATAGTATGTTATATTTACGTGATCTATAGGTATACTATATTGTATTATCTAAGATGTAGTAATATATTTATTGTATTTTTCTATTATACTATATTATGTATTATGTTAATTATATATATTATAACTATATTACTATGTATCTATCAATATTACTATATTATATATTCTATTGTACATTAAATATATATTTAAAAATTTATTAACATAAATATTAAAACCATTATATCAATATAAAATATGTCATGTTGAAATATTGATTACATCATATAAGACATGTTATGTCATTATACTAATATAAACCATACCATATTAATTATATATACTTGTTGTCTCTCCCATTCGAATGTAAGCTCCTTGAGGGAAGGAGTCATTTGATCATTTTTACTTGTGTCTCTAGCTCCTAACACAATGATTGGCACATAGTAGGCACTTGATAAACACTTGCTGGTTGGTTGAAAGTTATAATAATCTCTCAGAACAATAGGCAACTTTTCTCTAAGTCATAGACGGTTTGGGGGAGGGAGTTCCCACGTACCTCAGTTCCCCGGCTACCAGGATTGTTTATTCATACAATCTAGTTAATGGGATCACAGATCTTGGAGTCATAGTTGTAGAGCTGGAAGGGACCTCACGGCCATCTGCTCCAAACTCTCCCATTTTGCGGATGGGAAACTGAGACCCAGGATAGTGCTGAGTCATACAGGTATCAAGGAGGGCCAAGATTGGAACTCAGATCTTCTGACTTCAAATACAGCACGATATTCCCCTGTACCAACCTAGCTCTATAAATCTCAATCCCTGAATCTCAACCCTTTCAACAGAGAACGGAGATCATGGACCTATGAGGAACAGAAAGTTTTACAGACTTGGGGGTGGTTTCTTCCTGTATACTCAGTATGCGTCTTTCTACCATTTTAGTTCTGATCCTTAATAACTTGGTTTCTGCTTTCCCCACCCCCACCTCACTGCGGAATCCTCTGCAGCTCTGGAATAATTATTTCCACTTGGCTGTCGCGTTCCTCACCCACGAATCCCTTCAGCTGGAAACCTTCTCTCAAGCCAAGCGCACCAAAATGGTCAAGAAGTAAGTGCCCTGGACTCTCCATCATGGGGAGAGGGGGAGAGCAGAGGTGCTCACCTAAGGCTGGAGAGCGTTCTTCTTTGACACGACAGGCATTCTTTCTCAATGGCTCTCCCGCGATGTGGTCCCATTGTGAGGCATAGGACAGTCTCTGTTCTTTCCTTGAATGGATGCCATGACCTTTCTCAGTGGGGCTAGGGGATAGGATATCTGGTCCTGGGGTCAGGAAAATCTGGCCTGGAGGGAACGTCATTGTCCCAAGGTCAAATGCAAACTCCCTTGTTTGGCTTTTGGAGCCCTTCCCGACCTGGCCTTATTACACATTGCTTCCTTCCACACACTCAATACTCCAGTCTACTTTAAAAATAAAAAATGCAGGGCAATCATGAGATTCTTCTTAGAAGAGAGTTTCTACAGACCTGGTACAGAGGAGGACCTCCCTCACGTTGAGGGGATTCTCCATGGGAGTCATGGGAGAAGATGGGCAAGAATCCCACCAGATAGGAGGGAGTGGCTGGGTTAGAGTTAGTTATGCCAGGCCAGTGACTCACAAGCTCTTCTAACTACTGAGCCAGGACCCCCAACTCCCACCTACCCCCCATCCTGTGGTGTAACTGAGCACCACTGAATGTCATATTGACAGGATTGAATATAGTCAGCAGCCAGGGGTGCAGTGGGTGCCCTGGGCCTGGAGTCAGGAAGACTTGAGTTCAAATTTGGCTTCAGACAATTACTAGCTGTGTGACCCTGGGCAAGTCACTTAACCTCTGTTTGCCTCATTTTCCTCATCTGTAAAATGAGGATGATAATGACACCTGCCTCGTAGGGTTGTCATGAGGATCAAATAAGAAAATATTTGTGAAGCACTTAGCACAGGGCCTTGGTCATGGTAGGTACTGTATAATTGTTAGCTGTCATTATTATCAATATTGGTAGTAATAGCAGTCATCATAACTGAAGCTGAATAGAATTGTTTATATCATTGAATTCATGGGCCCCCAACTCCACAGAGCTCATGTGATCCATTGTTTTAAAAAAATGGGCATTCTTGATGTAGGGTAAGTCATGCTCTTTTCTCTCCAAATATGTCATTTTTATTATGAACTTAACAAATATCCCCAAATCAGCATTTCCATATATGGAATATGAAATGGAAGAATAGGACAGAAAGGAAAAAAATTTTTTTTTACATGAACACCTAGAGGTAGCACAGAGTGCCTGGAGTCAGGAGGACCTGAGTTCAAATCCAGTCTCAGATGTTCATGAGCCAAGTGACCCTAGGCAAGTCACTTACCTCTGTCTGCCTCAGTTGCCTTATCTGTAAAATGGGAATGATAACAATAGCACCTAACTCACAGAGTTATTATGAAGATAAAAAGAAATAGCGTTTGTAAAACACTTTTCAAACCTTAAAGTGCTATACAAATGTTAATGATGATGATAAAACCACAGATATCTATGTTCAAGTTGCTTCTGTTTTCAAGGATATTCTAAGTTTAGCCCATAACATTCCCAGCTGTGCTGCTTAACTGTGCTTCTTTCTGGCCAAAGTCTTCTGCATTTTTTGAAGAAGACGTCTCAGTGTGTTTTCTTTCTTTGTTTTCCCTAAAAATATTTATACTGATCTTCCTTCTAGATATGGGGATATGAGAAAGGAAATCGGCTTTAGAATCCGAGATATGTGGTACAATCTGGGTGAGTGTGTCTCCTTGGCAGGGCCGCCCGCTAGGCGGCTGCTCGTTGATCCACGTTTCACCTATGCCTTGTGTTTTCATTGTTTTTATCTGTAGTCATGTCCTGGTATCCCTGTCTCCTCTCTTCCCCTCTCCCCACCCACCAAGGTACCCCAGAAAGCCCTTTAATCCAAGCCAGTGGCCGGAGTGACTGGTGCAACAACCCCTAGCCCAGGGTCTCCTGAGAGGCAGGATGGTGAATCCCAGCACCTGTTCTCTTCTCCTCATTATTTTTATGACCAAACCTGAAATCCGGCCATGGTCAGGCAGTGCTGCTCAGTCTGAGATGACGGCTTTTATCCTTCTGGCCTCTGTTGGCCTACAAGCAGACCAGTGGCCCCATGCCATTGAATACATCCTGTAATCTCTCCTTTTCCAAAATATGTTGGTTTAGCCCAAAATCGCCTTCTTGTCTTTGGCTTCAATCCTTCACATTGAGCTCATCGGTATATTTGTTGTCTGCCCCTTCTTTCAGGACCCCATAAGATCAAGTTCATCCCCTCCATGGTGGGTCCCATCTTGGAGGTGACCTTGACACCGGAGACAGAGCTCCGGAAGGCCACAATCCCTATCTTCTTCGACATGATGCAGTGTGAGTTCAATTTCAGTGGAAATCACAACTTCCAGATGGTAAGGAATGTTGGACCCATCAGCCTGGCAAATTACCCATGCCATCATCCTTTGGCCAGCCCCTTTGTTCAATAGATTCTGAGACTCGGTTACAATTTCCTTCCACATACTATGCAGAGTGCTCAGAGTTGCAAGGAACACTTGGCTAAAATGACCCAGAAACACTTTGTAGGTATGAAGGTCAGCAGAAATAGTCCTGCTCCAAGGACTGGGCAGAAAATATGCATTGTAAAGGGAATGTGGAAAGCATTAGGGACACAAACATGCCTCCTTGTGTGTGTGTGTGTGTGTGTGTGTGTGTGTGTGTGTGTGTGCACGCGTGTGTGTGCCCGTGCATATGGGGATGAAGGATGTCTATCAGTGTGTTTTCATGGATGCCCATGAGTTTGTATGGGTGGGAGCATGTGGTACACTATATTTTGTGCTTAACCATGCACACACACACACACATACGCACATACACACATACATACATACACACACATCCTTCAGCCCAAAGAGAGCAGAGCCTAACAAAGACAGGGGCCAGGAATGTTAGAGGGGAAGCAATCCAGGTTGACTAAGGCAAGGCAGAGATTCTTGCTACTCTTCTGCAGATAGAACAGAATAGATACTCACACGTGTGTGTGTATAGATCCATTTATATAATATATCTATGCATACTTGCATGTGTATTATGTTATATGTGTGTATATATTTTATATGCATATATAGACATATACCTAAATGAGCATGGTTATAGATTTTATTTATATTTTAGATGTGTATGTCTAAATGTGCTAAATGTGTGCATATACATAAACAGCTATCCCTTCCACATCTAGATTTTCCCCGTCATAGTTCTGAGATATTACGGGTCGGCATAAGAAATTAAATGGGAATTTTAGAGGAGTTTTGCAGAAACCGCAGATGACACAGAAAAAGTTCAGAAACTCAGAAATGCACAAAATAGATGTATAGTATACTGTATAATGCCAAAATATTTTATCTTTTAATGCCATAATAATTCAGACTTGCCCGGTATGAAAGGAAAGTCAAAAAATTTTGCACAAATTTTCCAGGTGGCAGGGGATGTTGTACCCCTAGCCCCTGCAATGTGGAAGGGATAATTATAGATGTATGTGTGTGTGTATATATACATACATATAAATATACATACACGCATATATAATCATATGATAGAAAAGGCTTGATATACCGTGAATAGAGTACTAGGCCTAGAGTCATTAAGACCTCAGTTCAGATCCCTCTTCTGATATGTGCTAGCTATATAATAGTGACAATAGCAGTAAAAAGCATAATAATAACAGTCGAGATGTATATAATACTTTTAAGGTTTGCAAAGACCTCTACAGATGTATCTCATTTTATCTTCACAACAACCCTGGAGGGATCTATCCTCCTTATCTCCGTTTTATAGATAAGAAAACTCCAGTAAATAGAAGTTAAGTGACTTGTCCAGGGTCACACAGCTAGTAAGGTCTGTGGTGGGATTTGAACTCAGGTCTTCCTGAATCCTGGTCCTACCCTCTATCTGCTGTGCCACCTAGCTACTGCCTACCCATTGGGTAACTCACTTAACCTCACTGGATCTCAATTTCCTGCTCTATAAAATAAGGCACTTGGATCAATGATATAGAAGGTGCTGGTGGGGCAGAGCACAGAGTGCTGGACTAGAGCCAGGAAGATCTGAGTTCAAATCTGGCTTCAGATCCTTGCGAGCTGTGTGACCCTGTGTTTGCCTCAGTTTCCTCAACCATAAAATGGCATTGCTAATAATAACAGTTACCTCAAAGGATTGTTGTGAAGATCGAATGAGATATTTGTGAAAAGCACATAGCACAGTGCCTGCCATGTAGTAGGCTCTTCCTTTATTCACACACCCACTACCGCCAGGGGAGTTCCTACTCTTTCTTTTTTTTTAATGTCACGGACCCTTTTGCAATCTGGTGAATCTGTGGGTCCCCTCTCAGAGCAGTTTTTAAATATATTAACTAAAATGCATGGGATTACAAAGAAATCCATCTCTCCTGAGAAAGTTATTACAATATTAAAAACACTCATTTGTGGAACTCAGCTTAAGAACCTCCCCACCCCCCTTAAGGGTCCTCCTAGGTCTAAATCTCTGATCTTAGAATGCTAAATTCCAGCTGATTCTGAAAGCCCCGGGGAGGAATTTGCTGAAATCTGGGGCTGGCCCGCTCTCAGTCTGGGGCCCCCCTGATCACAATAATCAGCTTTGGTCTTGGAATCAGCCTGGTTCCCTGGGGAGGGTTAGGATGGACTTGGACCTGGGGGCTGAGGATGGACTTCCAGCCCCCTCGGAGGTTCTCACATGGTTCGTGTCTGCTGCTTCTCCTTCCAGTTTGAGAATGAGCTGATCACAAAGTTAGACCAGGAGGTGGAAGGAGGCCGGGGTGACGAACAGTACAAAGTCCTGCTGGAGAAGCTGTGAGTGTTCCCCAAACCCAAACCTGAGGCTGACTCTCGGGCTGGCTTATTAAGGAATTTGGGGCCAGACTCAAAATCATGAGGGTCATGAGTCTGACTGGTCCTTGACCAGGCTACCGGGAGCTTACGCCATCAGTTGCCAGCCCCAGGTGATGACGATGAGTCAGAAATTCCATATTTGTCCCTCACCAGCCTGGCCCAAGAGACCTGAGCAGATGGAAGAAAGGGCCAGCATCAGGTCATGCCCCACATAGGAGATGGCGCTGGAGCCGAACTTTGAAGGAGCCTGGGATGCTAAGAGGCATTAGTGAAGAAGGAGGGCATTCCAGGCAGGGGGGCAAAGACGCAGAAGTCCACCCCTCACAACAATCCTGTGACATAGGTACCCTTATTTTAGAGACGGCAAAGTTATCTGCGTAGGGGTCCCTTTCCTCACCTTTATTGTCACTGTTTGAGGATGTGTCCTATACCTGTCGTCACCATCCTCCAACAGCAACGATAAAGGGGTGGAAGGAGAGACAGACAGAAAGACAAAGACAGAGAGGCAGACAGAGAGACAGAGACAGAGAGAGAAGAGTCATTTAACCTCACAGAGCCCCATCTAAGACAAAGCACCAAACTGTTAATAGAAGGACTTTTCTCACTGGGAGTGCTCTACACTGATCAAATCACAGGTCTAGTTTAAAAAAAAAATAAGTAAAGGCTGCATTGAATGGTGATACCTTATCACCATTGGACCTGGGATCAGAAATGGACCTGAAGGCATATAAAATGGGGGTAGTAATGCCCAGATATTTAACTCACAGGGGTATAGTATAGCTATGTGCCTCTGGGCAAGTCATTTAATTGCTCTGTGCCTCAGTTTCCCCATCTGTAAAATTAGGTGGGACCAAATGGCCTTTAAGGATCCTTCCAGTTCCTGTCCTATGATTCTACATCTTTCCAAAGCTTTTCAAACATAAATGTCAGCTCTTGTTATGATTACTTATAAAATGGGAGCATTGACCCTTCTGTTGAGCAAAAGCTTTTCAGAATCTTCTTCCTCTATTTTCCCTTTGCCCCACCCTTCCTGGCTTTGGCTGCAGCCAAGAAACCAAGCCATAAAATACACACACCCCTGGATGGTATTTAGAAATACTAAGCAGCTGATGATTTCCAAACAAAGGCTCCCCCAGCTGCTCTCTCCCTTGGGGGTCCTGGATTACTGACTTCTGAGGGACAGCTTGGTCAGGTTTTGTGAACTGCATACAGGGGAGCACAAACAGAGCTCCCAAGTGCCTTCCATGCACCTTGGAGACTGGAGGGATTCCTGAACCGAACTTTTCTTATGCACGGGAAAGAACAGAGTGCTCAGAAGGGTGTACAGAGCTTGGGCGGGTCCTGCTGCTTCTGTCTCCACAGCAGCTCTGGATCTGGCTTCTCTCCACTCACACAGAGACCACCCTGGCTAGCTCGGAGCCTCAGAAGCTCTCACCCGCATCCTTCTGTTAGCCTCACAGATGCCTCCAGGCTTCCATCTGACCTATCAGTTTACACTGGTAGAACCTACCTCCCAGGGTGGTCATTAGACTCAAAGAACATAATGTATGTTAAAAAAAATAGGCAAATGGTAAAGCTTTGCCAATGAGTCAATTAATCTTTGAACATTTATTAAGCACCTACCATGTGCCGGGCAGCATATGCTTTATATATATATTCCCCAATGATACTATGATGTCACTGATGGGGACATTCCCTCCAATGTTACAGATTGCAAGCTAGTCACTCCTGGAGATCATGTGTGATTCTTAATAACAATTTGCATTTATATAGCACTTTAAAATTTGCACAGTGCTTTATAAATGTTATATCACTTTGCCCTCACAAAAACTCAAGGAGATAAATACTGTTATTATGCCTGTTTTCCAGATGAGGACACTGAGGCAGACAGATGTTTCCCCGAGGGGTCACACAGCTATTAAATGTCCAAGGCTACTGGGCACGTCACTTAACCCCAATTGCCTCACCAAAAAAAAAAAAGCAAAAATAAATAAGTGAATGAATGAATACATGTCCAAGGCTAGATTTGAACTCACATCTTCCTGACTCTAGACTCAGCGTTCCATTCACTGTGCCAGCATACTGTTAACCCCATTCTTACATAAGTTTTCCATCCACTGTGTTGGGGCATTTCTCCCTTAAGTACAAGGAGGAGCCCAGCACAACAAAGTCAAGAAAGCATCATGGATCGTATAGGATTGTGTCTGCTTTGCTGACCTGCTGAAAGCTCTTGGTACTGTGTGTACCTCATAGTGGGTGGCTCAGTTGGCTGTGCCTGGAGTCAGGAAGACTCATCTTACTGGGTCCAAATCTGGCCTCAGACACTTAGTAGCTGTGACCCTGAGCGAGTCACTTAACCCTGTTTGCCTCAGTTTCCTCACCTTTAAAATAAGCTAGAGCAGGAAATGGCAAACCGCTCCAGTATTTTCACCAAGAAACCCTAAATGGGGCCATGAAGAGCCAGACACAACTGAAAATGATTGAACAAAAAAACGCTGCACGTGGGGTCTTTGGCTAATGCTTTTAAATGGAGATGGTTTCAGGGCAGAAGGCAGGTAGGAAAGAAGTGGCATGTGATAGCAGTAGGACCCTCAGCTCATGGGATCACGGACATCTTTTCCCTTTCTTCCCCCCCCCCCAGGCTCCTAGAACACTGTCGCAAACACAAATACCTGGCCAGCTCTGGAGAAGTCTTTGCCCTCCTGGTCAGCAGCCTCTTGGAAAACCTGCTGGATTACAGGACCATCATGCACGATGAAAGCAAAGAGAATCGCATGAGCTGTACGGTCAACGTGTTGGTACGTGAGGCACCCCCCTCCCCCCGGTCCAGGGCTCACCCGCCTGCCAGTGTCAGAGGGCACTGAGTGCCAGGAACGGAGCTAGTATCTGGGAATACACACACGCACACGCACACACCACACACACACACACGCACACAGAGTAGCAAAATGGTCCTGGCCTCAAGGAACTTGCATTCTATTGGGGGGAAAGCCTATACATCTAACTATACATATGAACGTGAACATATGCACATACATGTATGTGTGTATATATGAATGCATGTATCACCTGAACATTAAATATATAAGAAACAAACACCTACGTCCAGAAGGCCTTCCAGAGTACCTGGCCAATCCTCCAGCCAGCCAAAGCTACTGTTGACCCTGGAATGACCCACTCCCTGGTCCTCAACCCTGCCGAGTTTACTCCAGCAGAAGCAGCTGATGCTGGTACCAGCTGATTAGGCTAAGGACACTTGCATATTTTTAACTTTGAAGATAAATTAAGAAACCAGGATGGAAACCTGCACCATTAGCTCCTGACCCAACTCTTCCCAAGGCCGTTCCGCCGTGGTTTCATGCTTTTGTGTCTGGTCTGGCTGGGTGTGTTTTCCACCTCAGCCCCTGTCGGGTGGGTCAGCATTTGTGTGAGAGAGAAAGATGGGGAGAGGGTAAAAACTGGTTTTAGATGTTTAATGAGAGCTGAGATGGTCATCGGTCCCTTATTCCAATGAAGGGTCCATCAATAAACCTGTATTTATAATATGTTATAATTTTATTTTGGCAGAATTTCTATAAGGAAAAGAAGAGAGAGGACATTTACATAAGGTAAGTTGAAAAAAACTGGTATTTGTCTCTATTCCTCTTAACTCTGCTCTTCTTTGATTCATCAATCCACAACAAATGGATATTGACCACCAACTACATGATGGGGGGGAGGGGCGTGGGGAGGGGATGGATGGAGGAGGAGTAGATACAAAAATGTATGAAATAGAGCACCTCTCTTAAAGGAGATTAAACCCTGCTAGTGAACACAAGACTTTTATTTCTTGGTCTGGACCTGGAATTTTCATTCATTCATCCCAGCCTCGAAACTCCCTCCCTTGAAGAAAATCAGCAAATCTTATGTAAATTATGTCATTAGAGGCACTGAGAGGTTAGGTTACTGCCCAGGATCACATATCTCCTTATCAGAGTTAAGACTTGAACCCAGATCTCCTCACATCCGAGACCAGCCTTCTATTTACCACCAAATCCTGTTTCTCAGAAATGAAACATGTACTTTATGAGCAAAGCATCGTAAATGTAGGAACAGCCCTGACCTTGGAGACAGGAGATGACTCATTCAAATCCCAGCCTTAACACTTATGTTCATGTGAATTTTGGCATGCCTCTTTCCCTTCTTAGAGCCTTGGTTTCCTCTTCGGTGAAATGGGAATGATAACATCTGCCTTCACTGTCTCATGGGCAGCTAAGTGACACCATGGTACACAGAGAGCTGGGCTTGGAATCAGGAGGACTCATCTTCCTGAGTTCAAATCCAGCCTCAGACACTCACTAGCTGTGTGACCCTGGGCAAGTCACTTCACCTGTTTGCCTCAGTTTCCTCATCTGTTAAATGAGTTGGAGAAGGAATGGCAAATCACTGCAGTATCTTTGCCAAGAAAACCCCAAAGTCAGACACAAATGAAATGACTCATTAACAACAGCAATTAACCATTACTGACATAACCTCTGAGATCTTTTCCAGCTCTATATATGATACAATTCATTTAATGTTTCCTGTTGAACACTTCTAGTATTTTTTTAATTAGAAATATTTCCCCTCAAAAAAAGACATAGTTGTCCAACGAGGCCTTGAAGAGTTGATGGCATGGATTGGCCAGATGAGAGGCAGAGGATGAATTCACTGAGGGGGCAATTTCAAATCTGTTGCTTCACTGAGAACAGAGACAAGTGCCTTTGTGTGCCAGGCATTCTATTAAGTGATAGGGATGGAATGAAAGGCACAAAGCAGGCCCTGCCCTCAAGGAGCTTACAGTCTAACTGGGGAGGGGGCGCATTCTAGAGTGCAGATGGTGGGAGGCCTTGAATGATGGTGTTAGCCTCCTATGGGTAACTTGGGCTCCCTCCTTGTCCTCCGTTCCCCCAGGTACTTGTACAAGCTTCGGGACCTGCATCGGGACTGTGAGAACTACACGGAGGCCGCCAATACCCTTCTGCTGCACGCGGAGCTCCTCCAGGTAGGAGAGACCCCGCATGTAGAAGCGCTTTACAAATGTTGAAGCGCTCCTTATGATAGGTTAGTGGTAATAATGACCGTTATTCTTGTCATCATCGTTATGGTACTGCACACAATCTGGATTTGGCCTCCGCGGTCCGGGCCGGCTGGAAATCTGTGGTCCTCTGATTGTTCTCATGACATCACGGGCCCTGATTCCAGAGCCAGGTAGACCTGGCGTAAAATCCCATCTGTGATACCCACTGTCTATGTGTGTGACCCTGGGCAGCCCCCCGGAGACTGCGTGTCACAGAGGAGCTGGCTCGAGCTGGAAGCTAGAGGTCGTCATCTGGGCCGTTTTCAGAGAAAGAAACTCACACTCACTGCCTTGCCCAAGGCCTCCAAGTGAAGCAGATGCCAGTGAATTAGAAGAACAGACACTATACAGCTACCCAGAAAGAGGATCCCAAAGGCATCAGCAATTACCAGCCAAAGGCCTCCATTAATTCTTTCTGAAATTGATTTACACGTAGATCAAAGGTATCCTTCATGAAAGTCTCAGTGGATAGAGTTCTGGGCCTGGAGTCAGGAAGACCTGAGCTCAAATCTAGCCTCAGACAAGTCACTGAGCAGTCACTTAACCCTGTTTGCCTCAGTTTCCTCATCTGTCAAATGAGCTGGAGAAGGAAATGACAAGCCACTTCAGTATCTTTGCCAAGAAAACCCCAAATGGGGTCACGAGGAGTCATGTACGACTGAATAACATCCATGATGAAAATACATGAAGGAAATAGGTTGGTCTGCACAGATGAGACATCTGACCCCATCTTCACAGTCACACAATTGACTGGAACATGTAGACAATGTGAGATCCTTTTGAATTTACCATTTGGTGATTATAAAGGAGAAAAATGCAACCTCCACGATTTGACTAGGTGGGCTCTCAGGGCCCTTCTCCCTCTAAATCTGGTGTATGACCTTGAGACAAAGGCTCTCCTTAGCCAAGAGGGCCTCATCCATTTGTTAAAATTATGACATTCTTTGATAGCTCAAATCCCATACTTTACTTTCTTTGGCCATCTTGTTATCATTATCAAGTTAATCATAAAATCAGGATCTCTTCTCAAATCTGATGCTTCTGTCCAAGAAGACGTCCTGTGCAGAGGGTAAATGGGAGAGAGATTCCATGTGTATGGAGACAGCCCCCAGCTACTCCCACTTGCAGATGAAATTGTGCTGATTGTATCCAGTTCCATAATACTGACCAATATCCCCAAAGCCACTCAAAACACATTGGTTTAATCATCCTCATTTCGATCAATTAGCAAGAATTTCAGGCACCTGCTATGTGCCAGGTGCTGTCCTAGGCTCTGGTGATACCAAGATAAAAATGAAATGTCTTCCAGAAACTCATATTCCTTTGGGGAAAGTAACATCTCTATATATATAATACACACACACACACACACACACATACACACATATATAATATATATATATATATATGTATGTATGTATGTATGTATGTATGTATGTATGTATGTATGTATGTAGTTTGGTGACACTGGAGAGTTTTAGACCTGAGTAGACACTTAGTAGTTATATGACCCCTGGATAAGTCACTAACCTCAGTTTTCTCATCTATAAAAGGGGGATAATAATAGCACCTACTTCCAATGGTTGTTGTAAAGATAAAATTAGATAATATTTGTATGACCTTTTGTAAACCTTAAAGCACTCTACTGCTGCTGCTATGATTGTTGTTATTATTGTTATACAAAATAAGTGTAAAGAAAAAAAAATCAATGAAATTTTATTAAGCACTTACTGTGTGCCAAGTTGTGGGGCAGGGGTGTGCTGAAGGCTCGTGAGAGCATCTACGCCTTGGAAATCAGCAAATGTTCCTAACCCGGGCTTGGTTTGGGGGTTTTGTTATTTCATTTGCCTTTGGTCAACTCTGTAGCACTCTCAACAACTCTGGGCAGTTACCTGTCTGGAGCAGCCATCTTTTCAGCCCTCACCATCCCCTAGTGATGCTGCAAGACTTGTAGTTATGGAATGTTATAATCTCTGATCACCCAGACTGGGCTTGAGGAAAAGAACAGTGGATGGGGAGTGTGAATGGGTTACATTTTATTCCTACTATAACTTTGGCAGAAGAGGTTTCATAGATCTTATCCAGGAACTGTAAGATCAGAAAAGGAGGTGAGCAAGTCATGTGGTCCAAGATACTGGGTAGACAACCAGAGGGCCCAGAGGCCATTGCTAGCCACACAATATGTAAAGACCCAGAAAGAGGCCTCCAGTGTGATGGCCGTATTCTCCAAGGAGGATTTACAGGAGAAAGCAGGCAAGAACAGTGCAGGATAAGAATGAATGAATGAATGAATGAATGGAATGAATGAATGCTTGTCATCGTTCAGTCACGTCCAACTCTTCATGACCCCATCTGGGGTTTTCCTGGCAGAGGTACTGGAATGGTTTGCCATTTACTTCTCCAGATCATTTTACAGATGAAGAAACTGAGGCAAACAGGATTAAGTGACTTGCCCAGGGTCACACAGTAAGTGTCTGAGGCCAGATTTGAATTCAGGAAGATGAGTCTTTCTGACTCCAGGCCCCTCGCTCTATCCAATGCACCACCCAGCTGCCCCCACCCCACCCCCTCATCTTAGCCTTTCCACTGTACCACTTAGCTATTACAGAAACAATTCAAGTTACCCATTCAGCCAGCATTTATTAAGCACCTTTTGTGTTCCAGGAACTGTGGTAGGCATAGGAGACAAAAGGAGGCAAAGACAAAAATGATGCAGTCCCCACCCTCAGGGAGCTTCCATTTTATTGGATGGAACTGTTTTAAAACATCTTCTCATACTGTGTATTCCAGATACATTCAGATCATACCATGATATATTGAAAAGCAAGGGATGGCCTTAGCTGAAGACCTGAGTTCAGGTCTTATCTGTGGCTGGTTCTATGATGCTGGACAAGTTATTTTACCTCTTTTGCTCCAGGCAATGCTGTAAGACTCTAAGTTAGAGGGCAGGTACTGATCTGTATGGGGAAAGAGAATTTCCTCACTGAGACTTCCCTGCACTCATGAAATCACAGATCTGGACAAAGCAAGGCAACCAGCATGTATCTGTCAGACACTTACCATATAGCAGGCATGGTGCAAAGTGCTGGGGGTGCAAATACAAGGAGAAAGAAAAAACATTCCCTGCCCTTAAGAATCTCATATCCTAGTGGGGGGAAGACAAAGCACAAAAGGAGGCTGAAAAGGGGGTGCCATGTATGGGCGGGATATTGAAGTCCAGAAGGGCAGAAGCACAGGAAAGAGGGAAATAAAGGCTGGCCAGCCTGAGTCTCTCTCCAAAATGGAGAATTCACCAATGAGGAAGAGGGTTAACCCAATGATGGCATAGAGGATTCTAGCTAAAGTACCACTGGAAGAAAAAACTCAGTTGAAGTCATTGTAAGGTGCAAGCATTTTGGATTTATGATATTGCTTGGTATTTGTTCATATGTCTGTTTCTTTCTTTTTTTCTAGTGGTCAGATAAGCCCTGTGTGCCCCACTTGCTCCAGAGGGACAGCTACCATGTCTATTCCCAACAGGAGCTCAAAGAGAAGTTGTACCAAGAAATCATCTCGTACTTTGACAAGGGCAAAGTGAGTGTCTTGTGGAGGAGAGGTCGGGGGTCAAGTCCTGACATGGCTATGTTGCTGCCTTGGGTCCCTCGATGGGCATGGACCAGATGGCCCATAATTCAGCTCAATCAGACGCGCATTTATTAGGCACTTACGATTTGCTAGGCTCTCTCCTAGGACTGGAGATACAGAGATGAAAAGGAAAACAGCTCTTCTGGCTTCTTAGGAGTCATTCATGTCTTGATTACCTCTGAATCCTCTTTTTTTTTTAAAATCCCCTCAAAAAAAAAAATAAGGGACACAAACCCCTTAAGAAATGAAAGGGAGGAAGGTCTGAGGGATTGTGATTCTGGGATAAGTTGGCCTAATCAGAGGAGAAAAGGAAACTAAAAAACCTCTCTGCAGCTGGACCGGGCAGTAGAATGGAAAGGACATTTTTCCTGGAGTCAGAAGACCTAGGTTCTAATTCTTGCTCGACATTTTCTGAACAAATTGACTGTGCAAAACAATTTACATCTCAGAACCTCAGGGTTTTTTTTTTTCCTCCCCATCAGCAAAAATGAGAATATGACCTACTTGGTATTTTTGCCCTTAGGTAAGCCACTTCCTCTTCTGAGCCTCAGTTTCCTCATTTGTAGAAAGAGTGTAGAAATCAATGATTTCTCAGGTACTTGGCAGCTTTAAATTCTGTGATCCTATGACTTGTGAAGAAAGGCCTTTGTAAACCAAGGAACTGTCAACTGTTGCTGTTGGTGTCTAACAAAAAGAACCTGCAGATGTGTCTCAAGGCTTGTTGGAGGTACTGGAGAGGGGGTGGCAGGCAGCCACGCAGTCCATCTCCTCTGCTCTTCCCAACCTCCTGGCTGACTGATATCGATAGGATGACTCTCTGGGGGCACCAGCCTCAGCCACTGCAGTCCGTTCTCTTGTTAGTGTTGGCTTGCACAGTCTGGCGTTCATCTGGAAGTCTGTGTGTGGTGGGGAGGAGAGGAGATTGGAGAGCTGTTTGACTTGACTGCATGATGTGCCTTGGACCTTACTTTCCACATCATTATCAAAATTCTCCTCAAAACTCACATTTATGGCTAAGTAAATCCGTGAAGCTTAATGGGCTTAAATAACCCTTTACAGTTTGCAAAGCACCTGATCCATCTTAGTGTTACTGAGGACCCCAACAACAGCCCTCGGAAGGAGGTGCTATTTTTGTCATCCCCATCTTACAGAGGAGGAAATTGAGGCTTATAGAGTCTTACACACTTGTCCGTGGTCACATAGTGGCTTAAGCAGGATTTGAACCCAGGTCTCCTGGAAACAGGATAAGAAATGGTCACTATGAATATGGATTCTTGGGCCTGTAGCTCCTGATACTAAGAGGCAGCCAAGACATAATAAATAAAGAGGCATCCTTGAAATCAGGGTGACCTGGGCTCAGGTCTAGATGAATTAACACATACTGTCTATGTGACCCTGGACAACTCACTTCACTTAACTTCTCTCGGGGCTCTTGACCAGAGGTATCAAACATGTACCCTTGACACAGGCACTCCTGAGTGTTGCCTGAACCACATTAAAATGTACTTGGGAAATTTCTAACAAAATAAATAAAAATACGATAGAACATGGATAATGTTAATATGTGGTTTCCTAAGTCAATAGGCAGCATCAGGGTTCCTTAATTTCACGGCCCTGTTTCTACTTAAGTTCCACCTGCTGATCAAGGCCGCTCTCTAAAGACTCAATGAAATCACTGGTTTAAAAAAAAAAAAACAAGAAAGAAAGAAATCGCTGGTCCAGCCTCATCTCTTGTAATCAGTCTCTCAGTTAGATAGAGAATAGGGTATTACTTGATATTTCTCTAGTGCTGTAAGATTTTTCTAAACAATTTAAATGCATCATCTCTGATACAAAGAAAGGCAAAAACAGACCCTGCCTTCAAGGGGTTTATGTCCTATTGGATAAGTCTAGATGTAAAAAGACAAGTTACATACACGTTCCATACAGAGAGGATGCGAGGTCACCTTTGCGGGGAAGACCACAATCCTATGGCCAGGGGATTCGGAATTAGAACTCGGGGCTCTCGTCCCACCTCGTTCCTTTTCTCTTTGTCATCTTACTGGCTGAACCACAGCTGGCTTTCTCATCAACTAGACTTGGCCACCGTCCAGGTCCTAATGCCTCTTGTACCTTGTCCTCTAAGCTCTTTCTGACGTTGTTATGGGAGCATGGCATTCCTCAGAGCCTGGCAGGCAGAACTGAGAGGAAGATACCTCCTTGGCCAAGCGGCCAAGAGACGTAGAAACTCTCTCATGTCAGCAAGGGGTCAGGTTGATCCAAGAGAGCCAGGCAGCCAGGAATGTGGGCAGTAACTCACCCCAGCTGCCGGACTGCTGCTTCTCCTGCGTGCTCATGAATGGTTTTTGCAGCTGATACAATCGTTCTCTTGTTTTCCATCCCCGTCCTGACCTCCGTCTTCCGGAAGATGTGGGAGAAAGCCATCAAACTCAGCAAGGAGTTGGCCGAGACTTACGAGAGCAAAGTGTTTGACTACGAGGGGCTTGGCAACCTCCTGGTGAGTCCCCGGGGAGGTCGCTCTGGGCAGGCTCTAGAGGGTCACACAAGTCACATCCATTTGGCCCCTGCTATTCAGGAGGGCTTTAGGGGGTGACGAGCCTAGCAAAGATCTTGCTAAACTTTGTTTTCTTTGAAATGTTTTCAAAATTAGGAAAACATTTTAGTAGAGGCAGTGTCCTGGTCTCTGTTGATGGAAGTTACCGGAGATAGAAAACAAAAGCGGGGGCCAACCTCAAACTCTTTAAGGGTCATCCCCTTTGCTCCAAACATCCCTAAGGCTAGACCTCTCTGAAGGATAAGGGTGCTAGCCAGCATTTATATAATGCTTTAAGGTTTGCAAAGTGCTTCTAATGTTAACTCACTTTAACCCTCAAAATGAGGAAACTGAGTCTGGAAGAAATTGTGATTTGCTCAGAGTCACACAGCTAGATGACGTCTAAGGTAAGATGTAAACTCAGGTCTTCCTGAGTTCCAAGTCTTACATTATGTCCATTGGGCCCCCTAGCTACGGCCTCATGAAACTGAATTAGGAAGAAGCAGGACCAGCCCATACTGGCCTTCCATGCATGGAAGGGTTTGGTTCAGTCTCCCAATGTTCATCCTTAGTAAACACATATACACACACACACACACACACACACAAAGCAGGACCAGGACACTGGATTTGGAGTCAGGAAGAACTGGGTTCAAATCCAGCCTTAGGTATTTATTAGCTTTGCGACCTTAAGCAAGTAACTTGCTCTCTCTTGAAACTCAGTTCCCCCTACACGCGCACACACACACACACACCCTGTAAAATGGGAATAATAATGCCTGTTCAATTTACACGCACAAATGAGGTAATATTTGTAAAAAAAAACTTTGTTCAATGCCTTCATTTCTCAATATATTCCTCCCTACCTTCTCATTGTATCTAGAAATTTATAAAAGTTGGGGCAGCTAGGTGGTGCAGTAGATAGAGTGCTGGCCCTGGAGTCAGGAGGACCTGAGTTCAAATCTCATCTTAGACCAAACACTTGACTTACTAGCTGTGTGACTGTGGACAAATAACTTAACCCTAATTGCCTCCCCAAAAACAAAACCAAAAAAAAAAAGAAATTTATAAAAGTTTAGGAAAAGCGAAACAGCAAACCAAATTCTATAGTTTTTACAGTGTCCATGCCTACAAGTCTGCAAAGAAGGGAAGGAGATACGCTTTGTCATCTCTTCCTCAGGGTCTTAATCAGTCATTAAAAACACACAGGGTTTTGTTTTCTTAGTTTTTAATCATTTTCATTGTTTTTCTTTAAATAAATTTTATTGACATCTTTTCATTTTTCATTTACATTGTTTAGACACTTTTTATAGATGTCTTTGGGTTTTTTTTTAATATCATCAAAATTTTCCCCTCTCAGAAAGTCACTCTGTTTAACAAACAAACAAAAAATTTGAATATTAAAAAAGGGGAAATTTTTGTCTCATTTCTTTTAAAAATGAATCTTTATTGATATCTACATTTCCCATTCAATCCTACCCTCCCTCTTACCAGAGAGTGAATAATAAAGAATAGGAAAGAGAAAGGGGAGGAAAACATACAAGAAAACTGACCAGCATGTTGACAAAGCCTGGCAACATAGCCAGTGTTCCACGCCCATGGTCCCCCGCTTCTATAGAAGTTAAGGGCTGGGGCAGAAGGCGGTTATCTTCTCATGTCTGTTCTTTGGGGCCATTATAATTTCACCACATTCAGTTCTGATGCTGTTCTAGCTATCTGCAATGTTCATGTCATTGTGTATGGTGTGGTCTTGCTCCTGCATCCTTCACTCTGAGCTCCATGGAATTCTTCCCATGCGTCTCAGCATTCTTCATATATATTGTTTTTTATAGTGCAGTGATATTTTACACCATTCATGTATCACACCCTGTTTAGACATTCCCTACTTGTTGGGCATTTACTTTTCCCCCCACTTTTTTGCTGCTACAAAAAGCCCCTTGTAAACCCTGAAGTGTTTTGTAGTGACAATTAATATTCTTGTGTAGCTCCATATCTATTCATTTTTTTAATTAAATTTTGATTTTGTATCACCTAAATGTCTCCTTTCTCCTTCCTTCTCCCAAAGAGTCATCCATTGTAATAAAGATCTTTTTTTACAAGAGAAAGGGAAAAAAGAGAAAAAAAAATTAAAGCTGATCAATATGTTGGTATAATGTGACATTATATGCAGTGGGGCACTCCCGTGGGGCCCCTCCCTCACTTCTACAAAGGAGTCGGTGGGTATCTTTTCCTGTCTTCTCTTGAGCCAAGTGTGTTCTTTGTCATTTTATAACATTGATGTCAGACTTTCATGGTGGTGGTCCTTCCATTTACATTGCTGTGGTCTTTGTATTTGTGGTGTTCTTGGCTCTGTTTCCCCTTGTTTCACAAAAGTTATCTGTGTGATATCTAAGCTCCATGGCTCCTAGTCCCAACGTTTCCATTCTTTCTTTCATTTCAGAAAAAACGAGCCTCGTTTTATGAGAACATCATTAAAGCAATGAGGCCCCAGCCAGAATACTTTGCTGTCGGTTACTATGGACAAGGCTTCCCGTCATTTCTTCGGGTAAGAGATCCCAGTGGGCCCTGAGGCTGTTGGACACGGCCAGGACTGAAAAAGAAGAGTTTATTCTCATCATCCCCGGTTCACTCCCCCCACGGCCTTGTGTTAGCATCTGTGCATGGTTCCTTCTCCATGTGGGTGGTAGGGGAGGAAAGCATTTCCGGAACTGTCCAACATCTCCACCCCCCTCTTCACCTCTCCTCCCTAGACACCACCAACATTCTGGCAGAACTTTTTAGCAAATGGTTTGTCCCAGGTGGAATGAGATGGAGAAAACAGGCCACTGCCGTGTCCGGCTGGAAAGAAGGGAGAGCCAGTTAATTGTTTGTTTATTAATGCAGTTTCTAGCCAGAATTGAAAACAGCTTGGCCTCTGAAATTGGCTAAAAATATACAATCTACCCACTCCCTTAAAAACTATGGAAAGTACACTGATTTCCCCAGGGTTTTTCACACCTTTAATGAGAAATCAGTGTGGTAGGCTCTTCTGATCCAAACTGTTCCCCTTCTCCTCTCTGACCATCACCAAGTGTTTAACGTCACTGAGACTCAGTGTTCTCATTTGTGAAATAGTGATAATTCTGTTTATCCTACTCCCTACTTCATGAGGGCTATTGTGACAATTGAATTAAGTTCTGAATGAAAAAGTACTCTGAAGTCTTTAAAGAGTATATATGATTCCAAAGGCAGTGCTCTATCCTCTCAGATTCAATTTCAGTGGGATTATTATTATTAATATCATTATTATTAATCTTATCAAAGTTGCATTTGAGAGGCAGTGAGGCACCATGGATAGAGCACTGGCTTTGAAGTCGAGGACCTGGTTCACATCCCACCTGAGACAACTACTATTTATGTAACCCTTGCTTCTCTGTGCCTCGGTTTCCTCATTTGAAAAATTGGAGGGTTGGACTCCAGATCCCCAGCTGGAGTGGGGAGGTCTAAATCAGTGATTCCTCTCATCTTTTATCATCATATTATTTTGTTAAGCAGTGTGATATTGGGGATGCAGAGCTACCCTTGAAGCCAGGAGGACCCACTTTCAAATTCTAGCTCTTACTCATAATGGCTGTGTGACCTGGTACAAGTTACTTAATCTCCCCCATGTTCTAAGCAGTTCTTAAGTTTCTGAGAATGTGATGACCTGCATTCTCCCTTTCCTCACCTGGGAGTTCCCTATTACATTGAAATGACAAGTCTAACCTATCCTTAACTTCATCAACATCATTAGTCTTCTCTTATTAAATGGAGTTTAGATAGAAAGGGTCTTAGGGCAAATCTCTATCCTGCTATTCATCATTGATTAATTGCCTACTGTGTGCCAGGTAGCCTAGGCACTGGGGGATTAAAAAAAAAAGGATGAAGCCATTTACATTCTATCAGACGACACCTCATGTGTCTTTGTAAGTACCTGCAAAATACACCCAAAGTCCTTCTTAAAGGGAATTCACTAGCAGCCATCATCTTTCATATTTAATGTTCTATGGTCTATTTCAGAGGAATATAAAACAGCTGCTTTTTGTAATTGAATAAAATTATTGGGATCTTCTGTGGACTCACTTTGAGCAAGGCGGAGACAACTCCAGTAGCAGACAGGCATGACAATCCATCCCCGGGTCCACACTCAAAACCCTTCTCCCTCAGGACAATCAAGATTTATCAGTGACCCTGTCTTCCAACAAATGAGCTTGAAGTTCATTGTTTCCATATGTATTGACTCTTGTAAAGTCTGCAGTGAATCTCAATGGGCCCTTGTAAAACTTCCCAGAAAGAAATGACCCAATGTTAATTCTTCAACATTTTCCAATCCATTTCCTTCCCAAAAGGAAGACCTTCTCATCCTTAGAAGCTGGATGGTGTAACCGTTGCCTAACTTCTTTTGAAAAATTTATTTATTTTTAGTTTTCAACATTCACTTTTATAGGATTTTGAATTTTAAATTTTCTTCCCCTCACAAAGATGGCATGCAATCTGATATAGGCCATACATGTATATCACATTAAACGTATTTCCACATTAGTCATGTTGTAAAATAATAATTAGAACCAAAGGGAAAAACCATGAGAAAAAAACAAAAAAAGGAAAAATAGTATGCTTCAATCTGCATAGTTCTTTCTGTAGATGTGGACTGCATTTTCCATCGTGAGTCTTTTGGAGTTGTCTCAGATCCTTGCATTGCTGAGAAAAGCTAAGTCTATCAAAGTCAGTTATCGCACAGTGTTGCTGTTCTGCGTACAATGTTTTCCTGTTTCTGCTCACTTCACTCAGCATCAGTTCATGCAAGTCTTTCCAGGTTTTTCTGATGTCTGCCTGCTCATCGTTTCTTATGGAACAATAGTATTTTATTACATTCATATACCACAACTTGTTCAGCCATTCCCCAACTGATGGGCATCCCCTCAATGTCCAATTCTTTTTTTTTCTTGTATTAATCTTTTTAATAATTTATTTATTTCAAAATTTTATTAATTTATTTTGATTTATCAACAATCACTTCCATATGCTTTTGAGTTGAAAATTTCCCCCTTCCTCCCCACCACCCTCCCCAAGATGGTGCACAATCTGATATAGGCTATACATTTACATTCCTATTAAACATATTTTCACATTAGTGAAGTTGTAAGTAAAAATTAAAACCAATAGGAGGAACCATCAGAAAGAGGAAACAAAACTCAACAGAAGAGAAAAAGAATAGCAATTCAACTTTCATAGTTCTTTCTTTGGATGTGGATAGCATTTTCCATCATGAGGCCTCTGGAGATGTCTCAGATCCTTGTGTTGCTGGTAAGGGTTAAGTTTATCAATATTAGTCATCGCACAACATGGCTGTTACTGTGTACAACGTTCTCTTGGTTCTGCTCACTTCACTCAGCATCAGACCGGACAAGTCTTTCCGGGTTTTTCTGAAGTCAGCCTGTTCATCATTTCTTATAGCACAATAGTATTCCATTACATTCATATATACCACAACTTGCTCGTCCATTCCCCAACTGATGGGCATCGTCTCAATTTCCAATTCTTTGCCACCACAAAGAGCTGCTATGAATATTTTTGTACATGTGGCTCCCTTTTCCATTTGTATGATCTCTCTGGGATATAGCCCTAGAAGTGTGATTGCTGGGTCAAAGGGTATGGGCATTTTTATAGCTCTTTGGGCATAGTTCCAAATTGCTCGATGGAAACTTTTCTTTTCTCTCTCAGCAGCACCATCACTATTCCCTACTCTCCGGGCCTTGATCCCTCAGATACTTCTGGATCTTCCTCAAAGAGTCAAAGAATCTGAGTTGGAAGGGACCTTGGTGGCCATCCAATCCAACCCACATCCGAAAAAAAAAATCCTATCAGTGAATTAAAAAGAAAATTGCCATTCAGTGCCTCCTCTGTGCCAGGCACTGTGCTCCGCACTAGGGATAACACAAATTCCACATAGCTTGCCAGTGGCCTTCCAGTCTTTGCTGGTCCTTTGATCCTCACTCCCAAGCAATCAAGCCATGCGGATGCTTCCTTTTTCATTTCTCCTGCCTCAGTCACTGCCACTCTGTCACCACCCCCTGTATAATGGTGGTAACTGAGCTGGCCTTCTTCCTTCGGTCTCTACTTCCTCCAGACAGTTTTACCCCAGCACTGCTCCTCTTATTCCTCTGCTTAAGCACCTGAGCAGCCTTCTCTGGCCTTCAAGCCTCCACCCCATGTACTTGGCCCTACCTTATATAATAAATCTTACTTCTCACCTTTTCCCCGTGTAGTTCCTCTTCTCCAAATGGGGCTGGACCCACGTAACGTGCTCATTCTTACCATCTCACCTTCACCCACATTGTTGGTGGTGGTGGTCAGTCCCTTCAATCGTGTCTGACTCATCACAATCCCATTTGGGGTTTTCTTGGCAAAGACACTGGAGCGGTTTGCCATTTTCTTCTCCAGCTCATTTTACAGATGAGGAAATTGAGACAAATAAGATTAAGTGGCTTGCCCAGGGTCACACAGCTAGTAAGTGTCTGAGGCTGGATTTGAATTCAGGTCCTCCTGACTCCCGGGCAGCTAGGTGGCATAGTGGATAGAGCATAGCGGAACAAAACAGCTTCCTGACCCTAGGCCCATACCCACTGCACCACCTGGCTGCCTCATCATTGACGGGGATAGTTTCTTCTTTATTTTACATCTATCCTGTCTACTTGTACCATGCCTCTACCCTGTTTTGTTCTAACCCTTCTCTCTTCCTTGTACATCCAGAACAAAATCTTCATCTATCGAGGAAAGGAGTATGAGCGAAGGGAAGACTTCAACCTGAAGCTGCTGACTCAGTTTCCCAATGCAGAGAAGATGACCAGTACAACCCCCCCAGGAGAGGAAATCAAGTCATCTCCCAAACAGTGTATCCTTTGCTATGGCTTTCACTTGGCTTGGCTAAGAGGCTAAGTGGCTAGACTCCCTGTGACCATCAGCTATTTGATTCAGCTCTCTGCCTCAGTTTCCCTTTGAGTAATGTATCTGAACCCCTATAATTCTATTCCATTTCATTCATTAAATATGTGTTAAGCTCATCTTGTGTGCCAGATGCTGTACTAGGTACTGGAAATGCAAAGAGAAGACAAAACATTCCCTACCCTTGAGGAATTTATTATCGAAAAGACAATGTATACAGATAAGTAAATGTAAAATAAATAAGTTGTTTTAGTGGGGAGAGATAATGAGTAAGAACCAACATGGGGGTTGGGTTCAGATGAGAGAAAGAACACAGCACTTAGAGCCAGGGGTTCTGGCTTCTAGTACTGAATCAAGCCCAGCCTGGCTGTCTGGGGCTGGGCCAACTCACATAACCCCCAGGAGCCTCAGTTTCCTCATCATGAAAATAAGAGGATAGACGAGATGGCCTCAAAGGTCCCTTCCACCTTTCAAAGCCTACCATTCTTTGAAATTCCAAGTAAACTCAAAGTTCTCCATCCTAGAAGTAGAACCAATGGGTAGGCTACCCTCCTGGGTCTTCTTGCTCAACCTACCAGGTACCAAAATTTTACTAAATCACGTGGTGTCGTGGATAGAGAGCTGGCCTAGAAACCAGGAAGACCTGTGTTCAAATCCTACCTTGACAGATACTGGCTGTGATCTTAGACAAGTCCTATAACCTCTCAAAGCTCTAGGCAGCACTCAAAAAGTTTCACTTTTGGTGTCCACAGCACAGGTGAAGGGAGTTTCCTCACCCGAGCCTTCCCCATAGCAGTAAAATCAGAGGTCTAGCTCTTATCTCTATTCTATTCTTCCTCCAGATAGTTGACCAAAAATTGGACAATTTCTAAGAACAATAACCTAAAATTCAGTATCCAGCGGTTTCTTACTTAATCTCTCCCCACTTTTAGCCTCCAATAAACCTTCTCAAATGTAAAAGAAAGCCAAAATTATTATCTATTTTCAGCCATAAATAAACCAAAGAGCAAACTTTGATTCAGCCAACATTTATTAAGCATCTACTAAACAGAAACATGGGGACAGGCCAGCTAAAAAGCTCAAACACAATTTCATATTGATCACCAGTTGCCTTCTGTCCTGGAGTCAGGAAGACCTGAATTCAAATCTGTCCTCTGATGCTTTCTAGCTGTGTGACCCTGGGCAAGTCACTTGGCCTCTGTCTGCCTCAGTTTCCTCACCTGTAAAATGGAGATAATAATAGCACTTACCTTGTAAAGGTATTGTGAGGATCACATGAGATGATCTTTGTAAAACTCTTGGTACAGTGCCTGGCACATAGTAGACGCTATGTCAATACTTATCCCCTTCCCTTCCCTTATGAGTTTATCAGCAGAAATTATTTTCGCATGTAAACAGGAGCCCTCCCCTCCCCACCCCCATCACAACCCTTCCATACTAGTCCCCTAGAGGGGCAGTTCAGAGGGAGTAGCTTGGTTGCTTTCCAATAGTGTATAACTTGGTTCCTTCTTCTTATATTTATGAGGTGATATAGTGGAAAGAATTCTGAATTTGGAGTCAGAAGACCTGAGTTTAAATCCCAACTGTTCCAGTTACTACCTTGGGCAAATCATTTCACATCTCTGGGTCTCAGTTTCCTCAACTTTAAACTGAGTGTATTGGATTAAGTGATCTCTAAGGGCCCCTCCCAGTTCAAATTTTATCGTCCCAAGTCCTTTATTAATATGAGTACATCTGGCTGGAAGAAAAAGTAATGCGTGTCCTTCATTGTTATGAGTATGTATGATAGAAAAAAAATATATGAATAAAAAAGTAGATGGGCTGGTAATGGGTGAAGAACAAGGGATGGCCAGTGAATGAGGGCATGTGTTCCACTGGCATCCTCATGATTTCAGGAGAAATAACCCAGAAGTCACTAAAACTGTTTAGCATGACCACTACTGGGCATCTACCACAAAGAGGTCAAATACAAAGCCTGACGACCACTATGTTTATAGAAGCATTTTTTATTGTTGTTATGAGTAATGAGAAACAAAGTGAGCGCCTATCAACTGGAGCACCATTAATTTAGTTGTGGCATATGAATATAATTGGAATATTAGTGCCCCATTAAAAATGTGATAAATAGAATTGAGCAATGTCAGGAGAAGTCAAGGAAGACCTCCAACATATTGGGTGAACCCCTTTGGTAAACTTAACAGAGGACATGGACAAGGGTTTCACTGGATGGACTACCATTGACATGATTGGAGGGCCACATTGAAAGATACAAGAGCCATTGGTGTCTTTTTTTTAAAAATTGTATTAATTCATTTTGATTTATCAACAATCACTTCTATATGTTTTTGAGTTGAAAATTTTTCTCCCCCTTCCTCCCCCCACCCTCCCCAAGACAGCACACAATGTGATATAGGCTTTATATTTACTTACCCATTAAACATATTTTCACATTAGTGAAGTTGTAAGTAAAAATTAAAACCAATAGGAGGAACCATCAGAAAGATGAAACAAAACTCAACAGAAGGGAAAAATAAGTGGTAGCGATTCATCTTCCATAGTTCTTTCTTTGGATGTGGACAGCATTTTCCATCACGAGGCCTCTGGAGATGTCTTAGATCCTTGTAATGCTGAGAAGGGTTCAGTTTAACAATATTAGTCATCGCATAACGTGGCTGTTATTGTGTACAAAGTCCTCTTGGTTCTGCTCACTTCACTCAGCATCAGACCATATAAGTCTTTCCAGGTTTTTCTGAAGTCAGCCTGTTCATCATTTCTTATATCACTATAGTATTCTGTTACATTCATATACCACAACTTTCTCAGCCTTTCCCCAATTGATGGGCATCCTCTCAATTTCCAATTCTTTGCCACCACAAAAAGAGCTGCTATGAATATTTTTGTACATGTGGGTCCTTTTCCCATTTGTTTGATCTCTTTGGGATATAGCCCTAGAAGTGCTATTGCTGGATCAAAGGGTATGCACATTTTTATAGCCCTTTGGGCATAGTTCCAAATTGTTCTCCAAAATGGTTGGATCATTTCACAACTCCACCAACAATGTATTAGTGTTCCAATTTTCCCACATCTTCTCCAACATTTATTGTTTTCCTGTTTTGTCATGTTGGCCAATCTGATAGGTGTGATGTTGTTTTGATTTGCATTTCTCTAATCAATAACGATTTAGAGCATTTTTTCATATGACTATAGATGGCTTTAATTTCTTCATCTGAGAACTGTCTGTTCATATCCTTTGACCATTTATCAATTGGGGAATGGCTTGTGTTCTTATAAATTTGTCTTAATTCTCTATATATTTTAGAAATGAGGCCTTTATCAGAGAGACTGGTTGTAAAAATTAACTTTCCTTCTAATCTTAGTTGCATTGGCTTTGTTTGTGCAAAAACTTTTCAATTTAATGTAATCAAAATTATCCATTTTGCTTTTCATAATGTTCTCTATCTCCTGTTTGGTCATGAATTCTTCTGTTCTCCATAGATCTGATAGGTAAACTATTCCTTGTTCTCCCAGTTTACTTATGGTATCAGCCTTTATATCTAAGTCATGAACCCATTTTGACTTTATTTTGGTATATGGTGTGAGATTTGGGTCTATGCCTAGTTTCTGCCATACTCTTTTACAGTTTTCCCAGCAGTTTTTTTCAAAGAGTGGGTTCTTATCCCAGAAGCTGGGGTCTTTGGGTTTATCAAATAGTAGATTACTATAGTCAATGACTACTGTGGCTTTCATATTTAACCTATTCCACTGATCCACCTCCCTATTTCTTAGCCAGTACCAAGCAGTTTTGATGATTGCTGCTTTATAATACAATTTAAGATCTGGAATTGCTAGGCCACCTTCCCCTGCATTTCTTTTCATTAGTTCCTTTGATATTCTGGACCTTTTGTTTTTCCAAATGAATCTTGTTTTATTTTTTCTAACTCTATAAAATAATTTTTGGTAGTTTGATTGGTATGGCACTGAATAAATAAATAAGCTTAGGTAGGATTGTCATTTTTTATATTAGCTCGCCTACCCATGAGCAACTGATGTTTTTCCAATTATTTAGATATGATTTTATTTGTGTGAAAAGTGTTTTGTAATTGTGTTCATAGAGTTCCTGGGTTTGTTTCAGGAGGTAGACTCCTAAATATTTTATAATGTCTACAGTAAGTTTAAATGGGATTTCTCTTTCTATCTCTTGCTGTTGGGGCTTTGTTGGTAATATATAGAAATGCTGATGATTTATGTGGGTTTATTTTATAGCCTGCAACTTTGCTAAAGTTGTTTATTATTTCAAGTAGTTTTTTACTTGATTCTCTAGGATTCTCTAAGTATATCATCATGTCATCTGCAAAGAGTGATAGCTTTGTTTCTTCTTTGCCTATTCTAATGCCTTCAATTTCTTTTTCTTCTCTTATTGCTAAAGCTAAGGTTTCCAGTACAATATTGAATAACAGTGGTGATAATGGACATCCTTGTTTCACCCCGATCTTATTGGAAATGCTTCTAGCCTGTCCCCATTACATATAATGCTTGCTGAAGGTTTTAGATATATGCTATTTATTATTTTAAGGAAGACTCCATTTATACCTATGCTTTCTAGTGTTTTTAATAGGAATGGGTGTTGTTTTTATCAAAAGCTTTTTCTGCATCTATTGAGATGATCATGTGGTTTCTGTTGGTTTTTTGTTGATATGCTCAATGATGCTGATAGTTTTCCTAATATTGAACCAACCCTGCATTCCTGGTATAAATCCTACCTGGTCATAGTGTATTATTCTTGTGATAAGTTGCTGCAATCTATTTGCTAGTATTTTGTTTAAAATTTTTGCATCTATTCATTAGAGAAATTGGTCTATAATTTTCTTTCTCTATTTTGACTCTTCCTGGTTTAGGTATCAACACCATATTTGTATCATAAAAAGAATTTGGTAAGACTCCTTCTTCACC